TGTCCAGCTCCTCCTTCTGAGTTCAGAACACTGTTTCTGACCTTGGAAGGATGTCATAAGCTGTTCTTCCAACTATAGGATTGCTTTTTCCTGGAAGAAGAACATAGGACAACCAAGGTTGTTCATTGTATATAGCTCACTGACTTCCTTTTTAAAATAGTATCTGTGGGGAGTACTAAAGGACAAGATGCTCTAAAACACCTCTGTTTGTTTATGAGGCTAATTCAATTTGGACAAAGCAAATGCTTAGTTGAATTAACATGAGTAAAAGCAGCTTCCAAGCATTGCTGAATATTGTAATCCATCTGGGATTATGGTTATGCAGAAGCATCCTCTTCAGGCCAGATGTTGTATGTGCTGTTGTCCTGAGCACCCACTTGGAACAAAAATTCTTAGTGAGAGCTGCAGCAAATGTTTAGATGAGGCCTGAATGTTTATGTAATCATTGTCCCTGATGTACCAACTCGGCCTACTTCTGCAGGTTGCAGTTGGGTGTTTTTCCTCATGAATGGAAACTTCTTCTTGGATAAGTTCTATTGAAAGTATCTTCAACAGAGGTGCTCCAACAGGTGCTCCGACTTTGAGCATTCCACCTGATTCATTACCACTGATGCTCTGGAAACCATGGGACAGAGGAAGATGATCAGGAATTCTAGTGGAGCTCAGGATAGGATTGAAAGAGTTCTTTGGGGGCTCAGATGTGGCATTCCTGCAGCAGGACTCCAGGTTGTTCCATGACTTCTGTAGAACTGACATTTGCTGAGAAGTCCAATTATTCTTCTAAAGAGATGTCCATTGAGCTTGGGTATACTGGGGGACTGACAGGTGCTTTGTGTTCTTTTATAAGCCACATATTTTGTTATTTACTTGACGTGCCTGCCACACCCCTAAGCCATGAGGCTCTCTGGTTGGCTCACAAGAGTAGTTAAACTAATACAGTTAAATGTCAACATACTTGACTCACTGCAAGAGGCAATACCTTCCTGGCTGGTTACAGTATAGATAGTGCAATTGTGACTGCATAAGCATTTTGCTACGTGGCAAACTGAGTCTACTATAAGATGTATTTGCAATATGACATGACACAGAAAGAAAGAAGTCATGTCATTGATAGAAAGCCTTGTTGCAAAAAATACCCAGTATGTCTTATGGCATTTGTGTAGCCACATCACAGTCTCAGTAGCAATGAATGGACTATTTGAAGGAAGTATCACAGTGTCCCAGGAGCAGAAGATTCCCTCTGAGTGGTCAGAAAATGCAACAAAAGTCCTGAAGTTATTTTAGTTCACTTGAAATATTATATATTTGCTTTTAAGATATTTCTATCTACTAGCAGCACATCTTGTAAAACATATTATTGCCAGCACATATCCACCAAAAATGACTGTCACTTCTGTAGCTTATATTGTTAGTCCTAAAAATGCATCATATGCCACTGGCTTTGTAGAAAAAAAATCAGTTCATGGTATTTTGGGGGATTTTCTTGGTAGACTTTTTAAAATCTGTGATTTACTTTGATTCCCAATACTGATGGCATTCAAATGTAACATATAATTTTAAAAAATCAGAACAAGCGTAGTCTTTTTTCCTACCACCTTTATGTGCTTTTTCTTCCTTCTATTTTCCAGTATGTGCATGAATAGGAATTTGTTGCTGCCCTCTTTGAAATTAACCACAACTTGTTGTGTCATCTAAAACAAGACAAACTGTAGTCTAATCAAAGCTATTAATGATAGCTAAGATTAGATGAAACATTGCAGCTTCATAAAGTATAGCTTGAAGTTGACTTTTTCCATGGATTCCATGAAGTTGACTTTTTCTTCATCTTGATTCTTACAGCATTGCAAGCTGTGGTTAAAAACTAAAGCGAAACTTCCAAACTTCTGCCTTGTGGCTGTGACAGAGGAGGAAAAGACAGCACTTCAGCCAATTTTTCTCATGATGCTAAAATATGGTTACCTTTATGTCTGAAGCAGGTCACCAGATTAGATCAGAAGTGATCATAACTCAAAATTTAGCCTTGTGTAAATAAGCTTTATTGAATCTTGGGCTCAGGTACTGCCCTTCTCCTTTTCCTCTGGTACATGCCAGGGATGTCAAACATTTACTTCTTTGTTTGACTGCACCTTTTTGTTCTGTAATTTGTGTTCAGAAACCACAGACTGATCTGACTTGATTCAATAAGTCATGGTCTGATTAACCACAGTTGGGCCAGTTTGGACATAACAGTATATTTTTGTTAGTTTAAACAAGATGTGGCTGCTTGCAAAACCGAGGTGTGAGGGGAAGTACTCGTCAGAAACTCATACAGGCTCAGACACAAAAAAGAAGAAAAAAGCTGATTCCCCACCCCAAGCCATCACCATATCAGACTTCTCAGGTTTGACCGTTTTTACTGAAATGCTTCATATAAGCAGTTGTGCTTATCTGTTCTGTGATTAGAAGTCTGAGTTTCAATGTAGTGGTTTGGACTGGACTTTTATTTTCTTGGTCCTAATTGTAGCTGCTGGAGTATCGGTACTGTGACTGAGCTCTGTTTAAATTGGTCTGGTGTAAAGATCTTCTTAAGCTATAGAAAGTTAGTACCTGACTTTGCTGGCACCTGGTTTGTAATGTATGTGTAGACTGAGCCCCATGGATGGCACCTAAAGATTGCCATTTTCATTTTATCTACCCCTGCCTTATGCACATTTTATGTGTCTTTCTGTTCTGTATGAGTAAAAGCTGTGTTTAACCCCAAATATTTGTACCTTTCTAGCATCACCTGATCATCTATGGTGTCTTGGTTATTTGATGGTTGCCCATAGGCTTCTATTATTGTAGGATGCATTTGGCTTTGAAGCCTGGTTGCCATCAGCTGTATGATATCAAGTTGCATTTGTTTTAATGCATTGATCTCAAGTTGCATTTGTTTTAATGCTGTATGATCTCAAGTTGCATTTGTTTTAATACATTGATAGAAAGAACTTGGGAATTTGGCTATAAGATACTCTTTGGATATAAGATACCAAAGCATTCATAAACAAAGTATGCCATGATAAAAGACACCCATGCTGTAGGGTAATAATTCATCATGGGTAGGAGAGAGAAGGGATTGATTCCCTTTATGACAGTTGACAACCCTTGATTTGGTCAACCAACATTTGCCATCAGAGGCTTGGTATGGATGTCATAATAAACTATGACTTTGGACTCATGCAGTTTGGCTCCCTTCTTTACTGACACAGCTACAACAAAAAGATCAAACGTTTTGCCCTTTGGTTAACCACAGCTTAGTAATATGCCTGATAGCTGAGGTTGTTACAGCTAACCATGATTTATTGAAACAAGCAGATTTTATAAAGCACAATTTGAAATTCACTTGTTTCAATAAGAAACCATAGTTAAGGCTGGCCACAGCTTGACTGCACTTGGATATAACACTAAATTGTGATTAACAGGATACAACGCTAAAAACAGAGCTGGACACTTCCAGTCTTGCAGCTACATGAGTAGGGGAGGGGAGGGGAGGGGAGGGGAGGGGAAGAAAGCTGCAGCAAGCCTGTGGCTTGTTCGTATAACACCAAGTCTTCGTTTAACATTAAGTAAGTCTGAGCAAGGCCAGTATGAGTAGGTGGAAGAGAATATAGTTGAAATGAAAAGAAAACTACTCCCTGTGCTATCGTCCTTCACTCTGAACAACTGTTTTATGAACAGCTCTAGGAAGTATGAATTGCAGTTACATCATGTTCTTGCTGCCTGGCTGCAAACACCCACATAGATAGTTTTTTTCATATTCTTCACATAACTTTCTAAAAGCCTGTTTCTTCACTATTCATCACTTCTGTGATTAAGATGGATCTTGAATGCCAAACTTGCCATAGAATGACAACATCTGCAAGGTAATAAATCATACTGCTTATCAGTGAATAATCTCTGCAACCACAAACAGGGCAAACATTTATTCCCAGGTGATACATCACCACTCTGTTTTCATCCAGTATGCAGACCTCATTTGGACGTTTACAACTGCAATATTCCAAAGGGAGGTAGTATTCTTATAACAATGCAGTGCTGAGGGCCTTTTGCTTTGGAGAAGTGGCTTATGTTATTCAGTTTCCTGTTTGATCCTATATTCCAGTGCTAGTTTCTATTGATGATAGGAGAGCTCTGTTCATAAAAGGACCTATTTCTTGAAGAGCTCCCTCTTTCCCTGATAGGAAGCATCCTCCAAGTTTACATCTAAATGAATATTTGTTTGTGAAAGTGCTCCCAGAAGTCCCTGGTTACAACAAGAATAATACCCGATGTTTATTTTAATTGACTGTTTAGGTATAAAACAGTTTATAAACAATACCATATCTCATTTGTAAGTAGCCACTATTAAATTACTCATTGCTTTGGCTCCTCTGTATGTTATATTTGATATATTCAACAGTTTTAACATGGAATAAAAGAAATCTTTATGTAGGGCTCATCTTTACATAGTATTCCATTATGATTTCTCCACATAAGTGCAAATGAACAAACTTTGATACCTTAAATCCATTTATTTACTTATTTATTTATTTCATTTTTATGCCACCCAATAGCAAAAGTTCTCTGAGCAGTTCACAACAATGTAAAACATTTTAGAACATAAAATGCAGTATAAATTGATTTTAAAAGCCGTACCAGTTTTCATTGTAAAATACCTTTCTGGGCCTTTGAGTTGCCAAGATAGGTTTGTAACAAAATAAGTAAAGCCTTGCGGTATTTCAGAAGAAAGAGTTAATTTGCCATTACATTTTTTGCTTCCAAATCAAAGACTATGTGACCATATCATAAATGTGAAGTAGCTACTTAATTCATTGAGGAACATATTAAAAATTTTTACTATTAATCTTGGCATGACTTGCTCCACAGGGAACCTTTTATTCCTGATAACAGTTAGTATGAAGTTTGCATATAAGCTACTGCACTGAAAAACATCCCTTCAAAATTAGAATAAAATTAAGATGTTCCATTTTTTTTTCTTTCAGTTGGAGAATTTGTGAGTGATGCTCTTCTGGTGCCAGATAAGTGCAAGTTTCTTCACCAAGAAAGGATGGATATATGTGAAACCCACCTGCATTGGCACACAGTTGCTAAAGAGGTATGTCAGGTTTCTCATCAGTCTTCTTTCAAATGGCATTGTTTTCCTTATGATTGAAAAGAAGTGAACCAGTGCATCTTGGAAGAAATGGGGAATATGTAGTTACAGTTATGACTGTAGTTTTGTATATTCACATGTCCAGTTGAATTTTTTTGTCAAGTACCCTAATTTGGCCTTTAATAAGTTGTTCTTGTTGCTACTTATTGTTTATTAGCAGGCAAATTTCCACGATGGTGTAACAAGTAAAATTTAGCAAATGGAAACCTGTTAAATGATGGGTAAAGACTTGGAATTAAATCTACAGACTTTCAGTTAAATTTTACACAGGACTTCATTAGAAGATCTTAGACAGATATTGGTGATTGAGAACAGTTGCCAAACAAATGGCAAGAGCCAGAATCATACCTTGGGACTGAACTCTATGTCCACGTTAAACGTGCTTCAGTAAATATTAAACTATAACCTACAGTCCATCCTTGAGTGATGACACCCTGAATGAAATAGTATATGGAGGACTCATGAGAAGACCACCCAGCCTAAAACCACCACTTATGGCAAACAAATTATTGCAGATTGCAAAATGCTGCAATGAAAACCCAAGTAAGGGATAACTTAAACCATCTAGTTCACCGTTCCTACTGTTTTTAATTCCTTTAATGGATATTCATTTTCTTTTACTGTGGATATCTAAAGGCACATTTGTATACATTAGAGAAATCTTTCAAGTTGACTTTCAAATGGTCTTGAATTAGGGCAAGATAATATTTCTGCTTCTATATGTTCTGATTATCTTTTTGTACAGAATACCCAAATGCAAAGTATAGTATATCCTGAGCAGTTAATATGCAATTCTTTTAAGCTGGATTGTCCTTCTGATGTGCATTCATGTTTAGGCTATGTGATTTACACAGACCTTGTTCAAAGATTCTGTAACAGTGTTTCAAAACACTGAACTAATAAAAGATCCATATTGCTGAGTTAGAATGATGGCCCGTAAGACTGAGCATTTTCTTTTCAGCAGCTGCTGGCTCAGTGCCCCCGAGAGTCTTACAAGGCAAGCCTGGCAGAGATGTTGTGCAGTGGTATGCAATGCTACCACTGTGCTAGCACAAGCAAGCTCTAGCCAACTGTGTTTGGCGGCATGACATGTTCCCCCAGTGGTGCCTCAATGGATGCTGGCCATGCTCTCCCTCTTCTTGTACTCTGTCACCTGTCAATCTGAAAGATACTGTTGGTAAAAAGAGGCTGCCTTTCTGGCTATCAGCTGTGGCTTCCATGACTTTACCCATCCTTTGAAAGAAAACCCATACAAGCTGCTATAATAATGCATAGACTCAAAAAGTTCTAAACCTTCCTTTTGCTTGTTGCTTTGCACAGCTATTCTATTCTATTCTATTCTATTCTATTCTATTCTATTCTATTCTATTCTATTCTGAGAAAGGTTCAGTTACTTGCTGCAGAAGATCTTTCCACACCATTTGTGATGTGGCTTATATGCATCATGACCTACTGTAACTTTTTTTTCAGTTTCTTCTCTAATATGGCATTTGTTGTTGTTCATCGCCCAGCTATATTGATCATATGTTTCAGAGAGCTTTCCATTGTGACCTTCTCTGAAGTTGTTTCTGAGTTTCAATAAATTTAAAATGTATCACAATATGTGTAAGGATAATATTATTATTTTTCACAACATGACTTGCTTTTCATGATTAACATCAATTTCCTGTGACGTTTTTCTTGTGTAATCATCCAGTTAGGAGATAATCTTTTGGTACTAGCTTTTTGTCTGTCAGCGGTGGCTATTACAACTGTATCATGGATATTTTAGTGTCCTTGACAAACATAGACAAGTTGTGGTAGCCCTGTCTCCAGTTTAGCTTTAATAAATATTTTTTTAAAGATTCTGAGGCAGAGACCTGTGGGAATGGTTTATGGTATCTTTACTTTCAAAATAGAATAAAGTAGAACCTTTAAATGCAATGCAAGTTATGCTCCATGCGGAGAATGGAGGGAAAATATTTAAGCTGCTGTAGGCAAGTGGTCATACTAGATACTAGAGGTTAATGTGTGACTGAATTTCCATACTGTTCCATTTGTTTAAACTGCTGTAAACCGGGGCAGGCAGGCATTCTGGTATGGCCCTTAACCTTGTGCCATTTTCAGTATAAAAAATCCTCTTTCCCCTTCAGGCTGCTTATTTCCCCATGTAGGAGGGAGAATTTTCATTGCAGAAAATGCCACAAAGGGGAAAAGAGGAGACAAGGCAGCCTAGAGGCAGGGAAGGTTCATGCTTGGGATTGCTAAACCATGGCTTAGTCTTATGTCTGAACACAGTGCATGGATAGTGCTGCGGATACTACCCATCTGACAGAAGCCATGTGGGTAATCTCTGTATTAAGTTTCTCTCATGTTGGGGCCACCACTGCAATGTGGAAACATTTCCAGGCCCTTTATATGGCTGCTCTATGATTTGAACCCGGTGCTAGCTTGATGTGCTAAATCTGCCAGCCAATCTGCAGAAAATCTTTTTAGACAGTTTTATTGTTGTGTAACACCCCCCTCTCTCTTTTTCTCTTTTATTTAGTCCTGCAGTGAAAAGGGCATGAATCTGTATGACTACGGCATGCTGCTGCCTTGTGGAATTGACAAGTTCCGTGGTGTGGAATTTGTTTGTTGTCCAGTAGCAGATGAGAGTGACAATACTGATTCAGCTGAGGCTGAAGAAGATGACTCCGATGTTTGGTGGGGCGGGGCAGATGCAGACTATGCAGATGGCAGGTAAGAAGGTAGCGGGAGGGAAGTACAGGTATATTTTAGTAAAAGCAAGTTTCAGTCTTTAAAGGACCTGGAACTGCAGAGGTCTACCTTCTAACCGGACAATGATATGTAAACATACAGCCCGTGTGAAGGTTTAACAAGAAGAACCTAAGTGTCGTAGAATGACCAAGTCAAAACCCAAGCCTCTATCTCATGGGTCCTCAAACTACGGCCCAGGGGCTGGATCCAGCCTGCCATACCCATTTGGACCCACCACGCACGCACCCACGTGCGTGCCCACCGTTGTCCACCTCACCCCGCACGTGGGGAGGCAGCGGTTTGCTCATGCCAAGCAAGCAAGCCCCTGCCTCGTGCGCCTGCCTCACGGTGTGTTCCCACCCCCACCCACTCCTCACCTCGTCTCACCACATGCCCCGACCCCACCTCAGCATGAGCTCCCGCATGCGCTGCCCCCACCCTCGCACTGGCCCATGCGCACTGCTGGCACCACCTTTCCGGCCCACGCCCAGCACCGGCAGCTTTCAATTGGCCCCTGGCTGGAAAGTTTGAGGACCCCTGCTTTTCCCCAGTGGTGGAGAATTTATGGCAAGATTGATGGTTGCTCTCCCCCAGTGGTGCTCATCCAACTGATAGAGATGCAGTACTTTTGCCCAGAAGAATGGATAAATATTGCAAGATCCAGTTGTCCAAAGCTGATAGAGACTTACCAGAGAAGACATGATTGGTATCAAAGTATTGACTCAGAGGGTGGATACTTATGCAACCAACAGGTGACAGTTTGGCTTTGTTTAATTAAGGTTTGTGCCACAATAAAGGTATTTTGCACCTTGACAGTGTTAAGTATCTTGTGAACATCAAGAGATAACAATGCCAATTAAATCCATTTTAGTGGGGTTGTTATGCAATAAAATGTGGAAAAGTTCAGGTGGGGTGCATATGCCTGTGAGCCATATGCTTTGTCTTGTTGAGATTGTAAAGGATTGAGACTTGTTGCATAATTTTATGTATCTTAAGATATTTAAAGATATTTCTCATTATTCATCTAACTGTAAAGGAACAGTATTGCTCTGTTTTATTGTTAACTTGGCAATTGACTCTAAACACAAATTCTAATCTTGTGCATGATGAAATACTAAGATGTTGTTCATTCAAAGTAGATTTTTGCTATAGTGCAGTGAAGAGGATTATCATTTGCCAGGAAAGCTATTAAATTTTAGATTAGCATTTTGTTTGGGTTTAATCCCAGGGCAGTGTGGTGTGGTGGTTAAGAGGGCAGGGCTGGGACTCAGGAGATCTAGGTTCTTGTCTGCACTTAACCATGGAACTGTGTGACTTTGGGCCAGTCACAGACTTTCAGTCCAACCTACTTCACAAGGTTTTAGTTGTGATTATAAAATTAAGAGGAGGAGATGCTTTGACTTATTTCAGGAAAAGCAATGCCTTCTTGGGGTTTAAGTTAATATTCTCCCACATGGATGCTCACCTCTATGTGATTTAAGGGCTAATAGATTTGCTTCTAATGGATTGTATCTGGTACTTTTATGCATTAGTGAAAATCTCTGATTAAGCTGCTTTTTGCAAAAGGCATGGAACGATACTAGGAGTAGTCATCTCTTATATATCTGAAAGCACAAACATTAAAACAAGCAAACAAGAAAATAAAGTAATATTTGAAATGAATGTAAGATGGCAGAGAACCTAATCACATCAGAAGAATTATGGATGCATTTAATGGATGGTATAATCTAATTATTATAAAAAACTCCTGAGAGCAATGGCATTATGACCCTTTTAGATTGTGGTAATTTTTTTTCCCCTACGTATATGCAGAGGTCCATTTTTTCCATCCTACTGCCAGAAGTATGCATTTTTTTAAAGAAAAGATCAGGCTGTTGAATTTGAAATGTCTTCATTTATTTCAGTATGAAATGCATTTATCCTTTAACTGAATTTTGTATATTAAAAACGTGAATTCTGAAATGCTAACTGCATAGTCAATTAGAACTATTTTGAAGGAGCAAAATGTTTCTAGCTCTAGCCAGATCTCAGGTGGAAAGTGGTGAATCAATCTTTGAAATTTAGGGAGCAACTGTGTGGTTGAGTACATGTTTTTCCTATCAGAGTTCCAGGTTTAATCCTTAATAGGGGCAGGATAGTCAGAACATTTAACACCAATTCTGCCTTGCTTGCACTGGCTGTCTCTACATTTCCAAGACATATGCAAGGTGCTGGTTTTGATCTATAAAGCAAGGCTGAGGACTGCAGGCAAGCCAGTATGGGACTGGGACTCAGATCTGGGTTCTAGTCCCCAGTCTAGTCCCCATTACAAGTTTTATAATAATTTAAATATAATAACATGCACTTTCCTTCTGTTATTTAAATTTATGAAAGCACAGGCAAAGGTATTGAAAAATGTTGACTTGCTTCTTTAGAAACCTAAATTGATGTATGTGCATATCTTGACAATTTCGCCTTTCCTTCACTGATTTCAAACTAAGGTTTCTGGAGTACTTTCAGTTTCACTGTTACCATTTATTAAATCCATTCCCCTGTGAGAAATACATGTACTTTACACACATGTATTTGCTCACGTGATTGCTATAGATGATCTCAAAAAACAATAACTCTAACTTTGAAAGTGCCATGCTTGCACAAGATTGTACTTGAAATTGGCATCCATTCATTTTTAGAAATGCAGAAAAAGCACTGTAAGGAAATATCCCACATCACTGAGAATATCCCAGATAATGCAGTCATTACAGTGCTGTGAATTAAATGGCGTGCAGCCCAATATTGCACATGTTTACTTGGTAATACATAAGACCCTAGGGAGCTGCCTAGTACCGGGTCAAACCATTAGTTCATCTAGGCTAGGTATTGTTGACACCAGCTGGCAATGACCGTTTAGGCTTCAGGCAGGGATCTTATCTCACCCTACCTGGAGTTGCCACGGATCGAACCAAGAACTTCATGCATGCAAAGCATGTGCTCTACCACTGAGCTGTGGCTCTTCCCCCCTGTGCCCAGTGGAGTGTGCTCACAGGGTTCATAATACTGACATAGGTTTCCTTTCTAGTAGTGCAATCAGTTCAGGCATAAAGATTATGTCTACCTATGAGGAACAGATCATAGCAGCTGTTTCAGTAATATAGGTCAGATACATTGTGCCTCCCCCCCACAAAAAAATCAGGTTTATATCAGCATATCTGAATTATTTTTGCTCAGCTAGAAAGGAGCACCGAATTAGAGGTGCAATCCCATGTGCTCTTGGTTGGCGGCTGTCCACCTGCAGGCAGTCATGCACTAGGAAGCAGGTGACGTTGTAGACTGTGTGGAGGTGAGGTAACTCTTGGAATGTCTAACATTCCTTCAAATACCATGTCCTGATGATATTTATTTGTTTATTTATTTATCAATGTGTATCCTGCCTTTTTCCTACAAAGGGCTCAAGGCAGCTTACATCATTCTCCTCCTCCATCTTATCCCCACACCAACAACCCAGTGAGGTAGGTTGGGCTGAGAGTCTGTGACTGGCCCAAAGTCACCCAGTTGGCTCCATGCCTGAGCAGGGACTAGAACCCAGATCCTCTGAGTCTCTTAACCACTACACCACACTGGCTCTCTGTTATGAGAAATCTCTCCCATATTCTCATATGAGAAATATGAAAAATCTCTCATATTTGATGTCCTGTATGGCCCCAGGTGTAGGCATTGTCCACAATCTCTTTCTTCTCTGAGATTTATTATTTATTTAAAGCAATATATTCTGAAATGTTGACTCCCCTGGCTATGCAGAAATAGGTGGTAGGAGACATCTGCCTCCTTCCATGCCTGCTTGTTGGTGGTGAGGCCCTGAGTCTGTTCCTGTCTAGTCCTGGGAATTCTGATATACCAGCAATTTTAAAGACCTTCACTTAATCTGCTTGATGTAAAATTACTTTTGTAACCAATGTTGTCCATAACCTTGTTGAACCTGGTTAGAAATTTACCAAATATGCAGCCTCCTGAGGCACAAAACATTGATTTTCAACCCTGTAGCAGAGGTCAGAGAGATAAGGTATAACTATTATAACTGTCACTTGTTACAAAAAATACAATTTTCTTACTACGGTCTATTTCCTTTAACTGTTTCAAAACATGCATAAGATGATCAGTTCTTCCTTAAAGAAAGGTTATGTGTGAAGCAAGTGTGATTTAATGATCATACTGAGAGAAGTGTAACAAAATCGGTTGCTATTTGCAGTTATGACAAGGTAGCAGAAGAGCAGCTCACAGAAGAGGAGGATATTGCTGATGTGGAAGATGATAATGCTGATGATGACGATGATGATGGAGATGAGGCTGAAGAAGAGACAGAAGATCAGTTTCAGGAAGCCACTGAAAGAACGACTAGTATTGCAACTACTACCACCACCACTACAGAATCTGTAGAAGAGGTTGTCCGAGGTAAGATATTTGGAGAGCATGAAATCCAAGGACCTTCTCAATGCACATTTGCCCTTTACTACTACCAATGTTACAAATATCAAAATATTCAAAGTTGCTACACCCACCCTGCTTCAGTATGATTTGGATATTTTGTACATTCCTTTCTTTTTGTGTCTCTGTAGACTCCTGGAAGCAAATATTCTGCATCTTATTTGGCAGGTTTCTCTCCCTTTGTGCACATATAAATTGTGATTTAAAATAGATGTTGACTTTTAATTTAAAATAGTATCAAGCATATGATGAACAATTTTAGTAAGGTATGAGATGGCAAAACATGCATGTCAGTAAAGAGTGTGCTTGCTAGGTCATCAGTTTAAATTGGGCATGCAAACATATGACTACAAACAAAATATGTTAATGTTATTTTCCCCCTTTTGTCATATATTATATTTATATTCTTATTCTCCATTAGTTAGAAACTTGTACAGTGTTCTCTCTCTCTCTCTCTCTCTCTCTCTCTCTCTCTCTCTCTCTCTCTCTCATAATCATGGTATTCTAAAAATCTTAGGAAGATTTATTATGACAGTGGTAAAAATGTGATATTTTCCTAATATTGTAATGAAAACTAAGCATTTATGAGATGAGCATGAATATATAGAAATAGATCTAAGCAGAAATTTCAGTCCTATTATTTGATTACCTTTATACCCCACTTTTCATTTGAGGAGGTGGAGTGGAATTAAACATTGTTGAATGCTGAACCAACACTCTTTACACTACAGTGCATTACAATGAGTCTAGGCATTACTTGCATTCTTTTTTTATACTTGTACACCTGGGTACTGGTGAAAGATAACTGCAGTTCAGTCACACCAGACATTTCAAAAGATCCACAGCAGTTCATCTGCCATTGCTAACTTCAGTATGAAAGATATGAATGACAAAAGATCCAGAATACACACCATTTTATAAGATCTGGTTGAAGTACCAGGAGGTCAAGAATGTTTCACAGTATATCCATTTGCTTTGTTTATTGCAAATATAAAAGCATATTAGTAGCTAAGAATTGTCTGCTGGTCCTTGAACACCTGTACTGTGTATCGAATAACCTACAAAGTAACTTATTTGAAGATGGGAATCTTTAATGTGAAGGCCAGCATGCTTTAAACTGTTTCACATTTACCTTGCTTGCTGTAGATGTGGCAGCTGTTGATATACCATATAGGCCTTGTTTATATATCAGTGCATGTCAAGTTTGGATAACATTTGCCTGGCCCTGTCATTGCTTTTCTGTACACAGCACTGGTGCAAGCACACACAGCTCTGATCTATGTTGAAGTTGTCCCACTGCAGATCTTACTTGGAGTATCTGCATCATATATAAAATACTTATGCAGGTCTGGAAACTCAGTGAGCACATCAGAGCTCAGAACAATTATGGTATCCTAACAGTATGAGCTCTAACAGTACATGGATATGTTCTAATAAAGGAGGTTAGGGTTTCATATCCTAAATCATACTGACCTAGTTTGTATGATCAAACAAGGCATAGTGGTCTAGTGTAAGCCATGGCTTACATAGTCCTCCCCTTCTCCATTTCATCTTCACAACAACCCTGTGAGGTAGCTTAGGCTAAGAATCACTTACTGGGCTAAATTCATCCAGAAAAAATTTATGGCCAAGTGGGGACTAGAACCTGGATCTCCCTGGTCCTGGTCCAACACTCTAACCACTATGCCATATAACAGTTCCCTAATGACATAATAGGGATGCAGGTGGCGCAGTGGTTTAAACTGCTGTGCTGCTGGGCTGGTTCGAATCTGCACAATGGGGTGAGTTCCTGTTGCTCCGTCCCAGCTCCTGCCAGCCTTGCAGTTCGAAAGCATGCAAATGCAAGTAGATAAAAAGGTACCACTTCAGTGGGCAGGTAACAGCGTTCCATGCACTTTGGTGTTTAGACATGCCGGCCACATGACCACGGAGACTGTCTGTGGACAAACGCTGGCTCCCTCGGCTAGGAAACGGAGATGAGCACCGCCCCCTAGAGTCAGGCATGACTGGACTTCACATCAAGGGAAAATCTTTACCTTTACCTTTAATGACATAATCTAGCCTAATATATGGAAACTAAAATGTTGATAAAGCTTTATAAGAGATGTGTGAGTATCAAATGTTTCTCCTTTGAGCTTCCATGTAACCACACTTTTAGATGTTGTATCTCCTGTACATAGCAAAGTCTTCATGGGGAAGAATCGCGTTTGAAATGGGCAAGTGAATGACCTTGTTGTGGGCAAGAATATACAGTGGTAATTGGTTGTGCTTAAGACTGTTCTACTTCATTGCATTATTAAGGCCCAGGTAATACTGTATAAGTATTTACTGGGCTGACCTAGAATGACCATAAATCTGAAATTTTTCATTCACTTTTTATCTATTTATATATGGTATTTTGATATTAGTGCTATTAGTTATGGTTTTGTTTTTTCATCCCACTATTCTAAAGTTAGCTGAATGCATTCTGGTTTGTTCTTAATGGCTGTTGTTTTGCCATTCCTTTTTATATTGGGTGCATGTCTATTAGGAGCAGGAGGGAATAAAATTAAGAAACATTGAGAAACTTCTTGGAGTAGTAAAAAAAGCAGGACCATATCCTAAGGACCTTACTGTCCAATTACTGTCATGGAATCAAATATGAAGCTGCCAAGGTCACACTCTTACTATAAAAACTTACAGTGTTACCATTCTTGGATCACTGTGTGTAGTTGTGGACATAAGACCTAAAAAGGGAAATTGTGGAGGTAGAATGAGTAGCACAGAGAGAGAGAAAAGATGAGTAGAGACATGATAGAGTTGTACAGAGTTATGCATGGTAGGGACCCTGTGGATAGGGCGGCATTTTCCTTCCTCTCATAATATGACAACCTGGGGTCATCCAGTGAACCTGATTGTGGGAGCATTAAGACAGATAAAAGGACGCTCTTTACACAGGGCATAGTTAAATGATGGAATTTACTTCCCCAGAATGTAGTGGTGGCCACCAGCTTGGACAGCTTTCAAAGGAAATTAGACAAATTCATGAAGGAGAAGGCTATTCATGGCTACTAGTCTTGACGGCGTTATGTTGCCTGTGGGAGCAGAGGCGGTGTACCCATGTATGCGGGGAACATGGCCAGGGGGTACTGTTGTGCTCATGTACTATTTCCAGTGAGCAGCTGGTTGGTCTGTGTGAACAGAGTGCTGTGCTAGATGGCCCCTCACTTATTCAGAATGGACATATGTGTGTGTATCAGTAGGAAACAGTTGCCCAGTGAGTGGGGTGCTCATGAGTGGGGTGCTCATTAATGCAGTGAAAATTAAAATATGCAATTGTGGCAGCATAGCCAATCCTTTGCGATAGTGCTCTTTCCATTGTGCAATAACATTGGATCCCTTAGTTGAAATGAACATTTCACAAAAAATAAAATTGGATTCTTAATATAATATGGTAAATAGAATTATTATATATTTCAATACTGCTTAATGCAGATCCTAATTTTTCTCTTTCTGTAGACTAAAAATAAACGTTTGGAAGTGGCATTCAATCTTAATTGTTTGAGGTACAAATTACCATTTTAAGATTTTTAACTCTGTTGAAATAATTGTTCTTTGGCATTGCATTTAAAACGAATAATTTAATTTTCTTCACTTAACAGCCTGCTGGGAAGTATTACTGCCATTGTGTAGCTAATGCTTAAGCTTTATTCGTAAAGTCTGTGCCAGCTCCACAGCTGTCTCCGGGTAATTTAAAAAACAAAACAAAACAAAACCTTTTGTGAAAATAGGTTTCATTATGAGTATTAATATTAGCAGTTGGGATCTATTTTAAGCATTTTTGAATTAGTTATTTTCATCTGGTTTAATTTAACTTTGAAACTCAATTTAGAGAATGTGCTTGTAATCCTATAACAATTCCTTGGGTATTAGACCCGGTAAGACTTACTTCTGAGTAGACATGTATAGGATTGCACCCAAGTCTGTATTTGGGTGCAAACTATTTAGCTAAAGAATGCTTTGCTAAAACTTGAATTTTAAAAAACATTTGTATGGTACTGACTTCACAGCTACTTTGGTTCAACCTCCTTTGTTATACAGATACATGCTAGGAACCTGAATTCTCACTGCTCATTGGATCTTTATATTTAGTTAACAGTTTATCAGATTTTATCTGTTGGGGTGATGAAGTGATTCACTGCCTTTCACAGACGTCAGCATTTAGCTGCAAAATGTGGGTTTTATAAATGCATGCCATACCTTAAATATATGGCCTAGAGCAGTGGTGGTGAACCTATGGCAGGCGTGCCACAGCAGGCACACCGAGCCCTCTCTGTCAGCATGCAAGCCAAGTGGCCCCAGCATTGCCCCAGCAGTGAGCATCGGAGAACAGCGCAAATAGGGGCCATGCGCATACTTGGAAATGAGTAGCTGCACCATGCAATGATGTCACGAGCCGTGACTCATTAGCCGCAACTCGTCCAAGCTTTCACATGGCCGGTCAATGCACTGCCAAGGATATATATATATTTGCTTGGACTGGCTATGAGTTGTTTTTTCTAAACTAAAACCTCAGTATTCAGGTTTTATTGCAGTGTTGGCACTTTGCTATAAATAAGTGGGTTTTGAGTTGCAGTTTGGGCACTAGCTCTCTAAAAGTTTCTCTCTCTATCACTGGCCTAGAGTGTTGCTTGGCAAGCGTGCTGCAGTCAATGTAAAACTGAACAACTCTTGAGGAAAAAAGAAAGAGAGAGAACATCATTACGTTTGCTTAGTTGTGATACAGATACAAAAGAAATACATCTACAAATATATGAACAAGCACATTCATTGTGGGCAGTTCAGATTTGTCAAAATAGCTGCAACAGGAGTGAAATCTGGAAGAAGAGACATTATGCCTGCAGTTCATTAAGATATTAATAATTGTGCAATGGTATGGGCCTTTCTTATACATGGAAATATAACTCCTGGATTTAAAGAGCATATTTGGGTCTGTTAAGATCAAGTGAATTCCATGAAAAGAACTGTGGGATGAAGCAAACAGCTTAGGTGAGACAAGAGTTGGGAAGTCTGTTTTAGAACTGGCCAACACAGCCGAGACAAGTACCTCTCAGAGACATAAGATAAGAGGGTGGAGGAATACAGTGTGTCCACCAGAGCTTCAGTGAAAGTGGTCTTGGCTGGTAGGTCACTGATTATGACCTAGGGACATACAGTGATAGGAGAGGAAGTTAATCTAATAATTAATTATGTAACTATAGTTGCTATTTTAATAATTCAGCACTTAGAATGTCCAGTTTAAGCATCAAAATAATTACAGTACTCAACACAAGTTAAAACAAAGCATGTGAGAAAGGGGATAAAGCAGGAACTTCAATGCCATTGTAATACCATGAAGTCTTAGCAATGAAAGTGCGTGCGTGCATGTGTGTTTCTGCTTGGAACATTATTGGCAAAGGGCTATGGATATGAAGCTGGTGAGTAGCAGAATTTGAACTGGAGCATATAGATTTTCACCATGTCAAAATTTTAATTCTGTTGTGCATGGTGTAGATACTGATGAATGAAACCCTAATGAAAACTAATATTGTTAGCAACAAAGGTATTCATAGACATGTTGCACAATGGTATAGTCCTCTCTTATACATGGAAACGTAACTCCTGGGTTTTAAGAGCATATTTCAGTCTGTTGTTCTGTATCAAGTGTAATGCCCACAGTTGCTTGTCCTTCATCAGTTCTGGAAAAGTCTGAAATAGCTTTTTACTTATCTTAAAATTTTATTCTGGGGGATGATTTTATAATACAGTGATGCATGAGTATGTTCAGAGAAGACAGCTGTGTTTAAGTTTCTGCCTCATGGACTTCAGACCCTGGACTGATACAAGAGCAGCAGGTTTTGGTTTAAATCTGGTTTTAAAAATAGGACTTAAAGCAGTAGGTTTTTGAATGATGCAAATATTTTAAATAGGTGTGCCATAGGTAAACCACTTCCTTGGCTGACTCTTAGTTTCCTTGGGCTACATATTTAAATACAATTAAAAGGGGTATAGAATAACATTGACCATTCCACTTTCACACTAAATATAGTTCCTCCACATCTCCTATAATTAGAGGTGTGCTCTGAACAAGCTGAGACCGGTCCTTGCCGAGCAATTATCTCCCGCTGGTACTTTGATGTGACTGAAGGAAAATGTGCACCATTCTTTTACGGAGGATGTGGTGGAAACCGAAACAACTTTGACACTGAGGAATACTGCATGGCAGTCTGTGGCAGCGTCAGTAAGTGGACCTTTCCGCCTGTAGCAGGCACTTTCTCTTCGCTGTCTTGTGCCACTCTGCCTCTGCTGTTTGGTAGTGTTTTCTTTAATTCCCTGAGAATGAGTGCCTACCTCCACTAACCATGCCTCTGTCAATTTTCTAATTGCCCACGTCTTGTAGAATGTGTTCAGCCATTAGTGCATTTCTCTCTCCTTTCCTCTCTCTCTTTCTAGCCAAGCATGACAATTGGTGACTTCTTTCATCTGTGTTGTAGACACAGATTTTCTTGCAGCAAGGTAATGGAAATTGGGAGACAAAGCATTTAGAGTTAGAATCACTATTAGAAAACTTAATGTAGAAGTACTTTTTTTTCTGCATCTCTGTTTGATCTCATGCAAGTACAATGCACGATCAAATTGAAACAACCCAAAAGCCTGTAAAATTACCTTTGGTTGCTTTGTATTGGTAAACCAGTAAATGGTGGGAAGGACTGTGTAAGCAAAAAAAGTTTTGTTTTCCTTTGGAAAAAAATACCTGGTGGGGTTTATATAATTTATTTATTAACTATTTTTTCCCAAAGGTAAGGATGGTAAAGAAGTCTGATTTTCACATGAATGTACATCGTGTGTGTGTGATGACTCCAAACTGAAATACAACATTCAGACATTACAAAAAAACAGTCATTTTTATTAGAATGAACCTATAAGATCCTTGGGCTTGTAAGAAGGTGCAAGAAGGAGAGTGGAAATTTGTATTTCCATTATTATTAATTACTTGAATGCTAAACACTGGTTAATCTTAACTATGTTTTGTTTGAGCAAGCCACGTTTATAACTCATCGTCTCATGAAACTGAGTGCTGTTTCCTTATGGTGGATATTATCCAAGTGATGGTGTACCAAAGTGATAGTGATGGTGTACCAAACGGTGGTGGGGACTTCGTCACTCCTTGGCAGTGCAATAGCCTTGATTGACAATATTAAATTGACAGTTCTTATAGCCTTCCACCTTTTCAACACCATCAAGTCTGTGCTGGCCCAGAAAGGAGAGATATTAACTTCTCCCTGCCCCATTTTTCAGTTATTGCAGGTGTGCATATTTCATCTGCTTTCCCAGTTCTTAAATTGGCTCACATTTCCCTTTCATTTCCTTCCCAGCATATTTTGTTCCCAGAAGATCTCCATCTATTTCTGTGTTTTGTTTGTGTTTTAAACTGTCAGAACCACAGTAACTGCAGCAGTCAGTGTGCTGAAAAGGACCCATGGAAAGGTGCAGGAGAGATTATTTCCCTTTTCTAGAATAGTTGGAAACTTGAGGAAGTGCTCAAAAGTTGGAGGGCCCTGTGAACTGCCAGTTCAACAATTAACATTTGGAGGATTAAATTACTAAATGGCTGAAATTGGCGCCATCTTTTGGGGTACCCCCTTTCCCTGCTTTTCCTCTGTTTATTCATACTTTGTGACAGACAGCTGGTCCAATGGCAGCTGGCAGTTTTGTGCAGATAAGCCTGGATGCCATGCCCTCCCTTTGACAGCTGTGACAGACAAGGAAATTGAGCAGACAGGGCTACACATGCAACAAAATGTGCAATTTTCAATAATAATAAAAAATTAAACCCCAGCTAAGAGAAGACAGGTTTGTGGCAAAAGATACTGGGATACCAGCTGGAAGGACAAGGAAAGGTTGAGGAGAACAATCCATGGTGAGCTCAATTGGGTGCATCATGCATTGTTCAGTGAATAGCCAGCCCACCATGGACCATTTGCAGGGTGGTTCACTATGATGTGTGAATTCACCCTTTAACTGTAGTTTAAACTAGAGTTCAATGGTGCTAAATATTCCTTTGGGGCGTCAAGTTGCTGCAGCATTTAATTCTTGGTTGTATCTTTTACACTGAGCCAATGCCATAGCCTGCAGTGACAGAACTGTGGACTGTGCACATGGAAAAATGAAATACTTATGCTGCAATAATTCAAAAGCTTGTCAGTTTGAAGCTGCATGTGATATATGAACTAATACTGTTCTCTGAAGTAGGTGACAACAAGTCAGACCAGCCAAATTGCGATGAGCTAAGGTGCAATTGTGGCATTCCTAAGGAGACATCATCATATTGGATAACTCTGCTTTAAAATATGGCTACAAAGCTATAAAATGGAATGTGTGCTGAGGTTAAAATGTGAGACAGATAAATGAACTGTTGAGGTTAGATTACCCTAGCAATTTAATTGGGCAAAAATAGGTTGGCTAGAATTTCAGTGCTGTACATAATTTGATTTTTATTTTAGCTTTTAGACTGGCATGAGTAGGGTTTTTTTTTAACAGTGGGGATGTAATTTATTTTACTTTAGTTGGAAGGAAGACAAATATATTTGCAAATTAGATACTGAAGTACGTTTTGTATAATCTCATTTTTTGAAATGACAATCAATTTTGCATAATAAGCACATGATTTCTGTTTAACCTCTTGTACTTTTGTTTTACCCCAGCACATACTCCAAATCAAATCTCATTTAACATTTCAGCACTAAGTAGGATGCAGTGTTAATTCTCTGATTAATTCTGGCTGATGGGTAAAGAGTCAAGAGAACTTGGAAAGTTAGTACATGCCAAAGAAGTTCCTATCCATCATATCATACTTCTTGGATGGAACAGAATATATGTATACAAATACACATATATAAAATTTTACACACACAAACAATAAATATACAGGCTGGCTTATAATTAACCTGGGTTCTTGGTTGCTTGGCAGACTTCTTATTAGTATTCTGAATACTACTGATATTTGCATAAAAGCGTTTGTAGTTTGTTGGAATAGAAGAGAATTTTTGATTAACCTACCCTATATTCATTAAACCCCAACTGTTTTAGTCTTGGTCACAGTAATTTTTTCAAATGCAAAAAGAAAAAAATGCATGACTTACTGGATAGAGAAGTAACGCTTCCCACATTGTATCATTCCCAAAAGGAATTACCATTCTCTCAAGTCAAGTTGATTAATGAGCTGCATTGTGTTATGCACCATTACTTTGACACCTAGTTTCTTTTCAAAATAAAGTCAGAGAGGCCAGTGTTTATCTGTCCAAATAAACTACCTTGTTTTTGTTATATCAGTTTAGCTACTATGTAAGCACTGCTGGATATAGGATGTTGGTTACTTTGTGTCTTGTAAGCCAACAGCTAGAATTGTGCTGATCCTTGAGCTAGTCACTTCTAGCCCAAATGACAGCCTGAGAGCTAGGCATTTCTGTTAGTACTGACTATAAGCAGTACTATGCTGGCATCTCTGGAAATGTTTACCATGCCCTCTTTTGTTTCGGGCCCTGTTCACCACTTGAATGCAGGTCCCATGAGCGTCTCTGAATTAAAATTGACCCTTGGGCTAGAAGAGTTCCAGTGCCGCTGATCTAAATGCATTTCTATCCAAAGACATAGTAAGTGTAGCTGGAGGGTTGATACTACTGAACTTAGGGCAAACATGGTACAGAAATGTTTGGGCAACTGACAAATCTCCTATTTCCCAGCTTACTTTTCACCATAGCTTTCTTACCCTGGACAGATGCATACAAATGTTTCCCCTCAGCCAAACTTTGATACAGGGCATGAAGTCAGCTGAGAGAAAAGTATTTATGAGGAGAGGCCATATGGAGATAAGCTGTTGGGGTGTATGAAAACCCCTTTATTTGCCTCTTTATTTATTTGGAACATTTATATGCCGCCCCACTCTCAAAAAGCCTCGGGCTTTCAATGTGAACGAGGCAGACCTGGGGCTAAGCAAACTGGTCTGCTGCTCAGGCATTCAGTGTGGCTTTCGTTTTCTCATTTTCTCCTATTGTAGCTTCTGTGTCATTCTCTAATCAAACTAGGTATGTGGCCTAAGTTTCATAGCAGTAGTCCCAGGAAGCAACCAATATCGAATGGCATCTATCTTCTACCAGTGCAGCAGTTTCCTAGAAGCCAGCCTGGCACCGTCTAACTTTCTGTGCAGCTGTCCTTGCAGCACACATGTGGTCTCTCAGTGCTTCTGATCCCTGAGTGTGCCAGGTGGGATTTAAATAATCAGGCTGGGCTTGTGGACTGCTGTGTCAGCCAAACTCAACCAGGGCGAGTTCTGTGATGGTTAAACAATACTCATGAAACAGTAAATAAGCCATGGCAAGCTGTTTGTGCAAACTCGCCCAGTGTCTTCAGATAAGATTTTTTTTTAATAAAGTAAAATAAAAGACAGGAAATGCCATGGGCCCAGACTGGCAGACCAGCCCTTTTTTACAGACTTCACATATGCAAATTATAGAGTGTCCACTGTTCTCAGTTACCAGTTTCACTGCAGCTATAGCAGTGCCTTTTGTGGAAGAGGATTACATCATCCCAAGTACAAGATACTGCAATCTGAATGCTAACAGCATTTGATGCCTTTGGGACCAAGGTGAGCCTGCCTTTCCACAGAGCAGATAAGTAGAGCTATGCATTTCTTTCAGTGGGAAAAGGTTTGGTAGGGCCTTCAGAAGCAAGCCCTTGTTGAGAAACTCAAGTACAAGCTGGATCCACCTCAAACTGAAGTGATTTGCTTTGAGTGACATACAGACATTCAGTGTTGTTGTTTGTAACTACAGGTTCTTGTTTATGTAATCCCTCTAGTTCAATTAGCCTTGCTGGTGGTATCTGTGTAGACACAAAAGTGAGACTAGCTGTTTACCTAACAGCAAAGCCTGTAAACCTTTTCATCAAGTTGCTGCTACAACAGCTGAGTTTTTTTCCTAGTTAATAGTGTCAATCAATACCATGACTGTGGCAGTAGGGAGCTGCTACTGTGAACTTTTCTGAGTACTGTTGATAGGCAATTACAGCTGCATTTTCAAGTAACTCAGCAAGTAAATGTGGATGTGTATTTTTCTTTAAACAATAACAAGTAATTTTATGTATCTTGAATATCTGGCATTGAAATAAATGACTTTCTTTACCAAAATTGTTATCTAAACTCAAGCTGCAATGCTGTATTCAAGTATGTTTTCTTACAGGAAAATCTACTTGCACAATTTCGTATACTTCTTATTCTCACAAAGGATTTCTGCAAATTTGTACTGCCTACATGTATGATATGTTCTTGGTGGGTTAGACCCCTCACTTGGCTAATGACTGAATAGACAGAAGTGCACAGAAGCTTGAAATAAAATATTCAGGTTTTTTTTTACTTTAGAAAAACATCTTGCTGATTGATTGTCAATTGCACATCATTTTCATTCTGAAAATTTACTGCCTGGCATTTCTGAAAATTGCATTGCTGCAAAAGGAATAAAAATGGATTTTTACAAGTAAGTGTTACATAAACAAGGAAATACAAGAATCAAATTTAAGGCATGATACTTTAAGTACTTATCTCTACATTTTAATTTCATTTTTAGGGTTACATTCATATGCATGCCTAGACAGACTCCTAGCATTCCTTAGACAGCATGGTTGTCTGGGAAATGCTGGGAACCATAGGACTGCTTTCATTTTCCACATGGATGGAATGGTGCACTAAATATGCTTTTAATTTGTAACTGGAAAGGAAATTTAGGGACGGATCATAGTTCTTGTGATAGAAAACCTAATGTACATTGCAAATGCCCCAGGCTCAATCTCTTTAGTTAACAGGATAGTCCCTGATATGGAAGACCTCATCTAGAAGGCCCTGTGCTCCCTGCGTTCAGAAAAAGAGGGTCACGACATTTTTATTTCAACTTGTCTCTTTGCATTGTTATGGTTTTGCATGAAAAAGGTCTTTTACATTTTGATCTTCTTGTAAACTCTCTTGCTTGGCTTCAGTAATGTAACATAGAATTACAATATATAAATAAACCTGGAGCATTGCTGGTAGTCAGAATGGAACAGAAAATACTGGACTAGATGAGGAAATAGTTAGACCTTATATAAGATCTGGACTGAGAATTATGGTTAGTGTTCATTGTGGTTTAGGAACACTAGGCAGGATCCTATTACAATTTGCCTTAAAATTGAAGCAAAGGGTAGACAGATCCAGTATAATTAGCAAGAAAAAGTTGGGACCATTAGTAGTTAATTTAGGTCAGTACTGTGAAAGAGAAGTATATGACCCTTTTCTTACAGTCTCAGATTTATAGATCTATGTAGATCAAACCATAATCTCTCATTAGTATGAGCTTGTTTGTTTGAAAGTACACTATTCCTTCCTCCCAGAGGAATGCTTCCAGATTCCAAACTTTATGTGTTCAAACTTGACAATCTATTGAACATGATGATAAAAATGTTTGGTCGTTATACTGATTAGTCAGTTTCTTAATGTAAACAAAATCCATATTCTTAAAAGGTATGAGTATGTAAGAAAAGATATCACCAAAAAGTCTGCAGAATGCATGCCCTGCCTTTGGAGATGCTTTTAAAATACGTACAGTACACGTCTAATGGTGTACATGTCTGCTTTCAAATTAAAGCATTCAGGTTTAAAATTCTGCCTCCTGTTGTAGTTCATATATTTTGAGTAGACTGGGAAAACTTGAATCTTTGCATGCTTTCTTAATGTACTCTGTGGGCTTAATCTTTATCTATGCATATTTTACTCTGCAATGCAGCAAAATCTGTTCTTTATGAATTTCCCTGTCTGCACATAGATTTCATTCTTCTGGTAGCTAGAATGGTTATACCCTATGGGAAAAGTATCAGTGCTTCCATGCTTTACTTGTGAATAAGCCTTTCCTGCTGTTATTTCTTTCATAAACCCCTATCCCTAGTTCCCACCACAGCTGCCAGTACTCCTGATGCTGTTGACAAGTACTTGGAGACACCTGGTGATGAGAATGAGCATTCCCATTTCCAAAAAGCAAAAGAGAGACTTGAAGCTAAACACCGTGAAAGAATGTCCCAGGTGAGCTACAAAATTGGTCTTGGAAATTGATCATCTAATAGGGGCTTGATGGCAGTTTCCCCCTTTGCTCATGGATCAAAAATTGATTAATTTATTGGCTTGCTTTTCTCTCCACAGTTTTTTTTCCCCTGTGAGCTTGCACATAATACTAAATTACTAAATAAAATCAAATTTGATTGATGGTTTTAGTCTACTAGTTTGAAATAATTTTAGTTAATGATCCATGCATTTGTCAAAACAGTACCATTTTTATTTTTTTATTTATATTGGTTTTAATTATTCACCTTTCAGGGAGTCTTACATAGGATTACTGGTGTGGTTTATAATTTTTTAAAAAAGTAATTTTAAAAATAAACAAATAAATTATAGCCGAATTTGATCCAAATTAGCTGAGGACTCACATGCTTGTATGTGACTTCAAAGAGGAGATCAGATGCTTCTTTCTTCCTTTTTTCCCAATGTGCCTGAACTGAGAATTTTGGTTAGTGTTAACTGTGGTTTAGGAAGACTACCAGAATCATAAAACAGAATTTAACACTGCCCAGCTTCTTCAAACCAGGATTGGGCAGCTTGTTACCCATAAGCAACATGGGCACCCCAACCCATGCTCCAATCTGCTGTTGAAATTTGGTGGTGGACAGCAAGCAATCAGCAAAGTGCTGTTGCATTTTGGTGGCACACCAGAAGATGATAGTCATAACAGAAGGGCTAAATTCTTTTCTAAATTCCTCTAAACTTGTCCCTCCTAAGCCTCTGTAGTCCAAAACATCTGGAAAGCACCAGGTTGCCTGCCTGTGCTTTAAAGCAACATTCCAGTTAGCCAACGCACTGCAATTCCATCGTATGTACTGCCTTCACCAGAGCCATTTCTCAAGACTGATCACAGATTGCATCAAGCTGTCCTTTTGTCTTATTCTAATCAGTGAAAGTAGTTAGTCACAATACAAGCCCCATTAATTTCAGTGAGAACAAACTACAAATAGCTTAGTCTGGACCCAGCTTTTAATCATTTGATTACACTCTTTCTCATTTGTAGCCTCTCGGTCTGTCTGCCCCCTGACAAGTTGTCTTTCTGGTCTGAACGAAATACATGCTTCTCTGGACATGTTCTGTGATTAACTATAGAGCAGGGGTGGAGAACTATTTTCAGCCTAAAGGGTAAATTCAATTTCAGGGACACACTTGGAACCCATCTTCCTCTGTTGGGCAGTGCGGAGGGCAAAGTGGGTGGAGACAACAGGAACAGGGGTAGGGCCAGAAATACCAAAGTGAGAAATCACAGTGTAGCTTTGTGTTCTTACCACCAGCACCTAAGCCTCAGGGGAGACTTCAGAGTGTGGAAGATCTGCATTAAAGCCAGGGAACCAAGGAAGTATTGGCAATTTCGTGAAGGGGAAGGAGGTTGAGGAGTATCTTGAGATTCCCTCAGAGGCAGAGGTTCTTCCCTGTTGATGGGGATGGACTCCTGAAATAGATCTGCCCCTTCTGCAGCCTTGTCATAAGACTGGCTTAGTTTTACAGTGTTCTTCATATAACTTGTACAAGCAAATAATTATAATTGCTTGTAGAAAAAAAAATATTTTGAGAATTTTGACATGGTTGGACATTCTTTTTGTCTTTAACAAATGATCCAAAATAGTATCTAAACATCTAAAACCTTTGCATATAACATCTACTTGATAAAACCCAGTGTAAGATATAATGGGATTCATGTGATCAGAGTTTATCTTAATAATGTGAATCCTTCCTCTTACTTTTCCTAGTTCACCCTGTCCTACAACTGCCCTCAAACCATTATTGTATCATTCTGCATGTTCTGAATTCTGAGGACTGTTTGACTTTGAAATGGCTGGCTTCTTTAAATCTCAAGCCAGAAGTTGTCATTTTCCTGGCATGAAGCAGCCAAGCCTTTGAAGTACCATAAATCTGTATGGCTGTGATAGCTTGGTGTTTTCATTGAAGGAGAATAACTTTATAAGCACATATGGGACAACTTCATGGTCTTCAGGCAGCCCTTCTTTGATGAATGTACATATTCCTTTCATTTTTCTTCTTGTTACTGTCATTTGGGGGGGCATAAATGGAAGTATCGTAATTTTTCTAAGCCTGTGACCTTCAAAAAGAAGGCTCTCTCTCCTTCCCCTTCATGGCCTTGCTACACATGGACAGTGTCTGGGAAAAGAAGATGCCTTTTTTCTAACCAGTTAGTATAAATAGAGCATTCAATTTTTACTTCTGACAAAATGTAGCCTTCTAAAATAACAGCTTGGACCCATGTCTTACTTGAAAGATAATCATGCTGTTCAGGTTCTGCAAGCTATTTATCATCTCTGCACCGGAGGTGAACTCTGGGCCTCCAAATTTACATCTGCTTAGACCAACCATGTGAGCTATCATTTTATCTTCTCAGCTTCCTCATCCTTGAAGGGCCATAAAAACTTGCTCTAGTGGAATACCACCATATTGTTGGCAATAAAGCTTTTTCTGCAATGCGTATTAGCCAACTGCCATTGACCTTTAAGAAACAAACAAGGCATTGTTTGGAGGATTGTGCAACTTGAGCAGTTTGTGTGGAGCACAGAACTGTGACAGTTTTGTGCCGTCTTAATGACAAATACAGCCAAAGCAGTTAATTGATTCCTAAGGATATTAGTGACAACCAAGGAGTTGGTAGCATTTGTATTCCAATGTTTAGCTATTTGTGTTTGAATGCAATGTTGTGCATGATTAAGAGAGCTGGCATGCAAAATTTATGATCATTGTCTTTAGTTTGTGATGGTTTTCTGCCTGGGACTCCTCAAATAAACAATGGATAAGCATGTATGGATTTATATTTTTTAGATTGGATTTGTTTATTTACAGTATTTTATACCTCACACGTTGCAAAAGTCCACAAGTAGCTGAAGTTATAATTGCATATTTATTTATTTTATTTATTCAATTTATATGCTGCCCCACAGCAGCATATAAAGACAGCAGCGAGACTTCCTTCTGAGACATATAGCATCTCTGATAGTCATTCTGTTTTAAATGCCAATAACCATTCTTTCAGTTTATTTTACTTTTATCTTCTTAATATTACTCCTTAAACCAAGCAGTCATCGCATACTGCCACACAAGTATAAACATAATACAAATGCTCACGTTCTGTTTAAATCTGGGTAGGTCATGAGGGAATGGGAAGAGGCAGAACACCAAGCAAAGAATTTGCCGAAGGCTGATAAAAAGGCTGTCATCCAGGTAAGAATAATTATGCTCTGTATCAATTAAGATTGTGAACTAAAAGACATATTTGTGATATAACTGGGTTTTCTTTACCATTTAGCATACATTATGTCCAGAAAGCCAAGATAACTGGAAGACAGACAAACACAATTACCTCAGTAGCTCGCCACACAACTACATGATGGCCCTTTACAGCATTTTTATGAGGATTTTTTAAGAATTCCCTTTCTTCTGGATACATCTTAACAGCACTGCTGTTTTTAATGGAACTTACCTTAAGTCCCCATTCAGTCATAAAACTCCCTGGGTGACCCTTGGGTCTCTTTCTCTTTCTCAATTCAGTCTACTGCACAGTGTCATTGAGAGGATAAAAGAGAAAGCAGAACCTTGGACTTCATGTGCCTTGAACTCCTTGGAGGAAACCATAATGTAAATGAAACAATATAAAAGCCAGTTACAGATTTCTTTTTTTAAAAAAGGATAGCATTTCCAAGATACTGAGCCTTAAAGCAGATGTTATTTTATTTTTAATTCACTGCAGTAAGCGGAAAGCCTCACTCTGGGTTAGGACTCTGTCTTACGGAGAGCGTGATTTGTCATTCCCACTATGGACTGTGGTCTTGAACTATACCGGCAGACTGTCACCTACAATCTAGATTTGAAAATAATCCTTGGAGCAAATAGATCACTATTTGGCAATACTTTTTGCATGTGTGTATAAGGATGCTTAAAACCACTCTGCCCCATGCTCAGCCCAATCAACTTACTCTAGACAAAAAAATAAAGACACTGCTGCTAAGCGTACAATTAAAATAAGCTGCACTTTTGGCATTGCTTTCTGTAATCCTGTGCCTGTTCAGTACTGTGTTCTTTTTCACATATATTTTGGTCAAATAGCCATATAACATAACTATTGGATAGCGTGTATGTAATGTGTGCTTCGAACTTTGCAAATATTGGGACTTGTTCTTTTCTAAGTTGGGAAGAGTCTGCCCACCCCATGTGCTGTCAGATCCCTTATATGTGTTGAGCTGAATTAACCTCATTCATATTGTGACTACTACAGTGTGATCAAGATGGACAGTCTCCTTTTCCACCTCTTCCACACAAGATGAAAAGGATGAGGAGGGACTCCCATGTTGACACCCAATCAGGTTAAGGCCCTATTTTTGCATGTCAGCAAATTCCTCTCTCTTTGAGAAAGAGGAATAATATGCATGGGACTTCCATGCACTCCATCACTGACAGGCGCATGTTCTAGCTCTCTCATTCTTTGAGTGGCTCGGTGGAGGGGAGCACTCACCACTGGCATTCAGAGTTGTGTGACCTTAAGGTGGCATTGAATGCAGAAAGATAGTGCCTGGAAATAATTTATAGAGACTATTATTTTCTTATTGGAAATAATACCTTTTCAGATCAAACATTTAATCAAAAACACTTTTTTAAAAAGCAAGTATGTTATTTCTATCTCTGGATTTTGTTCTATCAAGTATGGGCTTTCTTATATACATTCAAGGGACTGATTATGATGATGATAATAAATAACCCAGTAAACACTGTAGTTCTCATAAACTGGCTCATGCCACCTTTAAGCACAGCTCAGGAGTCAGCAGAAAAGTTTCTACCTTCCTTGGTTTTTGAAGATGCTTAGAAAAGATGGGCAACATGGTAAAAATTCAGAAAATGCTACCTGCCCTAAAGAGCCCAGACAAGTCAGTGCAATAACCAAGGCATTTTTAAAATAGTTAATATTATATTTTAGGATGAAGTGTACTGGCACCTGCTAGTTTAATTTTCTGTCGTTCCCTCATGAAATGTGTTCTTTTCAACAGCATTTCCAAGAGAAGGTTGAATCATTGGAGCAGGAAGCTGCAAACGAGAGACAGCAGCTAGTAGAGACTCACATGGCACGGGTGGAAGCCATGCTCAACGACCGTCGTCGTGTTGCCCTGGAAAATTACATCACAGCCCTGCAGGCTGTTCCTCCCAAAGTAAGCAGATCCCAGAATGGTACAAGCAGAAATGTGCAGTTGTATCCTGAGCATGCTCATTTGGAAACAAGTCCTTCAAAGGGAACGGGGCTTCCAGTCAGCAGATCTATGCATATCTGCTTGGGTAAAAGTCCCATTGAACTGTCTGAGACCAGAACAGTACTGTAAAGTGTTAGGATGAGCATGACCTGAAGTTACGTTACTCTCTTATGTAATACTTTTTCCTCCACACCTCTGCAGCACGAAAACTCTCACTTGAAGTCTCTGGGAGACTAATAAGCACGTCCAGGGAAAACGGACTTTAAAAACTTCTAGGGTTTTGTTTTGTTTTGGAAATAATCCATCCATAATGCCTTTGGTGCCCTTAGTGTCACAAAACAATGCTAGCACCAAGATTTCTGTTTGAAGTGAACATTAAGAGGGTTGGTTGGTTGGTTTGATTGCTTGTGATTGCAAGCAGGTAGTGACCTATATAAAGGATAATATTCCGCATAGACAACATTAAAATCATGTCTCATGAGTTGCTATTAATTGGAAGGAAAAATAGAGCAAGAATATTGCGATGGGGGGGCAAGAGCTTGGATATTCTCAGAAATATTATTTCTGTATCTTTTGAAGATGCATTAGCTTACATATTAAAGGAAAGGAAGACATCTGTATGTGTCTGTTAAATGAACTCAGTTATATTTTTGGTGGAGGGGGAATATCACTCTGGTGGTAGAAAGAAAAAGTACAACTCCCAACATCCTGTGTTATTTAGACTGTGTTCAAGAGAAGAGGATGATCACTGTAGTGAGTTACTTTTGCAGTGTTACAAAGTTTGAGGCTATAGCGAGAAGTGATTTGATTGGTCTTGTTTAGGATAATCATCATTATTGGCAGGTTAATTACTTCAGGGAGAGTCAGCTGTAAAAGCCATATGTAAATACTGTCTTCTGACAAAGATAAATATGATGAGTGAAGATATTAATTAGGGCACGATTCTCTATGTTTTTGGACAGGAAAAAGGCCTGAATTTCCAGCATTCCCCCGGCTAGCCATGCTCATTCCAACATGCTGGGAATTGTAGGACTTTTCTTATGAACAGACTTCCACCCTTAGATTTTTTGCTTACTCTTGACAATATCGAACAATATTTTATAGAGCTTAGACATCCCCTGCTGGTTTCTCTGAGTATTACATACTTTTCCCAGTTACACAGTTCTCACCGACACACATACAGGTAGTGACATATCTGAAATAAAGAAAAAATAATACTAATTAGTATTAAATCACAAGGTTCATCCAGTTGCTATATATGTTGCATAGTTAATACTTGCTATAGGCTGATATAGCCATCAGTTCAAGAGCATAAGATATTAAAAATTGTTTATTTTATTTTAACTATAGCTGCCCTGTCACAACTAGGTCACTGTCAAATAAAATTATTCATTTGAAAGTATTTATATAATTACATTTAAATCCTGCCCTCCTTCCATCATGCAATGCAAAGTTGGGGTATATGCTGTTCCCAATCTGTCTTTCATCCAGGCACTGATACAAGTGCCACTGAGTTTCAACAAGGTTGATGCATTATATCCCTTCAGAGATCTTGTGATAGAGCAGCTTTTGTTGATATTTAGCTGTCAGAAATTGAAAGACTACACAAAATAATCTTCAGGCATAATGGAAAGGAGGGTTACTATTAAATATATGCTATTATATGAGATATTTATTATTATTATGGTTATTTGAAAATGACAGTGTTTTGCATTTTAAAAAAACCCTTTACCTTTTGTATATTGAAACAGTGGTATAAGTCGATATTAAGCTAATGTGAAGAACACCCTGCTTTTGTGTGTGTGAGCTACAGCAATATTAACACCATTTAAACTTTTTTTCTGATGCAGATGTTGTTCAGTTCTCAGATTTCTATAATCTAGGAAACCTAAGCCTATAATTATCAGAAAAGAATGACCTATCCATAGATACAGCAAACAGATATCAGCTTTTGTGCAGATGGTCACCTTGTCCTCCAAATCCTTAGTCTAATATTAATACTACCAATGCAATGTGCAGAGTGCTGAGAGCTATTTGTTCTACTTTCATAAGATTTTTTCTTCCATTTTCCTTGTCTCTAGTTTTTGTAATAAAAATTTGAAACACTATTCATCTGGCTTTTTCTGAGTGCTCTCAGAAATGTTTTAATAAATAAATAAATAAAAAATACAATCCTTAGCCTCATTTTGGTAGCACCTAGCGTTTTACAGCACTTTTTTTTTTTTTAAACACAACATTTTATATCTTGTAAAGTTGAGGCCTCAGGGCAAACTTCACAGCAGGACAAGAGACAAAAGAGATGAACAAATGAGGGAAATGGTGAGAAGGTTGGGAAAGAAAGAAATTAGACTGAAAGTGGAGAGTGGGTAGAGGAAAAGAGAATGGCCATTGTTACTTGGTTGGATCATGTCCTTTTGGAATTTCCCAAATTGTTGGCTACAGGATGCCGATCTCTTAGATTGATCTTACCTGTGGCTTTTCCTTTTTCTAATGATTCAACTGCTTAGTTCATTGGATGATTCAACAGGTGGATTGCTTTTAGGAGTTTACAAGTGGACCTACAAGTTAGTGTCAATTGGATTTTGATAGCTTTATGATTTTAGTGTTATCGGTTCTAATTCTCTATTATCTTGTGTGTTTTATATTATGTCTTTTGTATGGATTTTAATGATGTGACCCTCCCAGATGGCTAGTGGAGCAGCATACACATTGAATGAATGTTGCAGTGTGGCAAGGACTATTCTGGCTAGTCCTGATGTTTCCCATGATACTGCAGCCCATTTATTTCGCTTCTCACAGTTTTTGTTGACCACCAATCAGTCAGTGTTCAGTGGGCACTTAGTATGCTCAGTCCTTATTAGGCTATCTTGGGATGAGTTTCCTTTCCCCAAGTTCTTTTTAAAGATAGTTATGTATCTCTTGTACACAGGTATTGCCATTTGGGCTACAAAAGCAACTGTAGCCATCTCTAAAGCTCAGAAATGGAAAGGTTTAAATGTTTTTCTATGAGTATAGGGAGCAGCTGGGTTTTTTCTAGGTTTACATATTTGAGTTTTTAAAAACAACCTTTTCTTAACAAGGCTTACAAAATTAACCTAGAAGCAACAGCAACAAAAATCAAATGTGCATTGTATTTGGAAGTGCATTGTATTAGTCCTATGGGCAGCAACTAGGGAAACTGACAGTGGATTTAAATTTGACTCTGCCTATTTTATAAGCGATAGATATGTTTAAATGAGTAATATTTCCTGTTTGCATGAAGTTACATTTCATAAAGCTAGAAACTAATATAAAGATACATTCCATTGTAATGACCACAAGAGAATATGACTTCCAGAAAATATTATTCTTGGGTGATTTCATCACTAAATAAACCTTGCGGAGTTGACATTCCATTGTTTTTTCATTCAGCGCTTTCTGTAGGATTGTAAATCTTTTTCATTTCTAAATGCTCACCAATTCAAGTTGTACATCAATGCAGTCATTCCTGTTTTCTAGGAGGCTACATGTCAGAGGCAGACATTATAGCTTATCCAATTATTCAAACAAAAAATACTTTAACACCTTTCAAAAAAACATTTCCAACCTTCCCTTCAAAAACTACAGAGGTTGCCCTTAATTTTAAAGCAAGGGCATAGAGTTACAACTTGTGGCATTGCAATGGTATGTTGAATTTGGGAAAAAATCCAACTGGGGGTGCTTCAAGGCAAAGGACCCCTAATGCTCTCCAATCAATGCATTTTTAATCATTTCTATCCATAATCCCTTTTCTTTAAAAAAAAAACTTACAGCAAATGTAAAGATTTCTGTGTGTGATTTGTGTTACATTGCAATGGGGGAAGGAATTAGGTTTTGTGAGGCCCAATACATGGGGGAAAATACGGGAAAGTGACAAGAAGTAGGCTGTTGTCTGGACTTGTGAGGGAATACAGATTTTTCTGCAAACACCTTTCTGGAAACACCGAGAGTGTTGTGAGTTAGTGGTGCTGTTTGAAATGTCAAAGTAGAGAAAACAATACCATAAATAAAACAAATGTAATAATGCACATGCCAACAAAAGTATCTATTATTTAAAATAGAGTAAATGCATCATTTAAAGGGGGTGGAAATTGAATATGGTTATTATCCACATGTAAGTTTAGCCTAAGTCTCCACTGGCTCCAGAGGTGACTCGGCAATTCATAGGTTGACTTTTAAGGAGTTAAGATGGTTTTAAAAACACTTGTACTTAAATTACAATTTTGTTCAGACATTATCATACAAGCTTGATAATGCATTGTATACAAAAGGGACTTGCAAATTACCCTTCTTCAGAATGACCCTTGTAGCTTTTAATAACCACTTTCAAAAGATCCAACACAGTATCATGCCTTTGCTATCCCATAGCTAATAAATTAGGTTGTTGTTACCATTCAGGTCATAGCTTGTTGTCTTTTAAAACAACATAGCTTGTTGTCTTTTAAAAGAGCTTTTGGTAATCGTTCTGCACTTCTGTAATTACAAGGGCTAGAAGCTGTCACACTCGATTATCCGTTCTCTAACTCCTTTAGTTTGATTTAGGCTTAGCATGCGATTTTTTAAAAATCATCTCATCATTTAGCACCAAGAAATCCTATTATGTACTGTATGAATTTAATTTAATTTAATTTTTTCATTTAATTCTTTCCCAGACATTTGTGTTTTAGATTTTCTCTCAAAAACTCCCTAGCTTACAATATCTAGCTTGCTGTATTTCAGCCTTCCCACCCTAGGACACCCAGGTGTTTTGGACTTCATAAGCTGCAGTCAGCATGACCAATGGTCAAAATTAAAGCAGGGTCAGGGAGCGGAATTTTAGCCCCAGGAGGGCTGAATTTTTCCCCAGACCTGAGGGAACCCCATGCCTGCTATATAAAACAGGTAGAAAAAGGCAGGCAGGCATTGAGTCTAAGCATGAGCCTGAAAGCATATTTGCATGGTCCAGAAGGACCAAAAGGGCTTGTTTAAGAAAGTTAACATGTACAGTGGAAGAACTGTAAATACAATCCTTAATTGTGTGTGTGTATATATATACCCTCTTAGCTTCTGTTTGTGCAGTATTAAACTTCTGGTCTGCATTATGCATGAGAAAGAGAAATAGCTGCCCAGAATTTCTGCTTAGGCAGCTAAATGAGCTCTTTCCTAAGAAATTGCCTGTCCAAGATGCCTGTGTTACAGTGTTGTATTTTGTATATGCAGCTCACAATTAACATTTTGAGGAATGAAACTTTCTGGTTAAATGCTGTGCTATGATGAACACAAATATGTATTTGCTTAACTGTCAATATTGCTGCATTGTTGAAACCTAGAACCCTTGTAGTTAAGTCACTAGCTTTTAATGGATATGGAAAAAATATCTCTACTCAGGGGAAAACTTTTCTAAAGACAGGGGGTCTTAATTGCCTGTTCAGAACCAAGACATCCCAAAATACTTTGCCTTACAACAGAGTAGCAGATGGCAGTCAGTTTGCACAGTAAGCAAAAAGTGCTGACACAGTGCTGTAGAAAGTTCTGGCTCCGTTAAATCACTGTTTATAGTTGGGTAGGCTCTCCTGTAGAGAAAATGGTCAGTCAACCATTTGGTCAGTCAATCCACATGAATGCCTTACCATACAGAGTCTTTTACTGAAACTTCAGTATGGTGGCTGTATTGTCTAAACACAAATTCCATTCTTAAGCTTAGTTTTTCTGATTCAGAGAGCAGGGTTGTATTGTCACATCCATGAACCAATAGTACTCTTATATGATTCATTCTTTTGTAAGGTAGTATTCTTTTAACATGGAAATGTTTTCCATCCTGAAGAAAAATAGAGCTTTGATACCAGGCTAAGTACTGGTAAATTCAGCACTGTTCCTGCTGCTTATACCATGTCTGAATAATTTTGCTCATATCCCAGTTGTTTGTACTTTGAAGGACTGCATATTCTTATTAGCAGAAATGATAACTGCCTTAGTGCTTGTAATATGATTGATAGATGTGGCTGCTTTTGCTTCCACAGCCTCGACATGTGTTCAACATGCTGAAGAAATATGTGCGTGCTGAACAGAAAGATAGACAACATACGCTCAAACATTTTGAACATGTCCGTATGGTGGATCCTAAGAAAGCTGCACAGATCCGATCTCAGGTAATATAGTCATCAAAAGAGAAAGAAATCCAGTTTTCATACTGGATGAATGTTAACTTTTTAAGACTGTCCTAAAAAAAGACTTGTAGTAAGTTAGTGTCAGCTAGAATCCTTCTTTAGGTATATTACCTTTGTTGACACCAGCTACTAAAGATTTTATACATCTTAATTAATATGGTTGCACTATTTTTGTAACAATTTTGCTAGTTGTTTGGGAGTTTGGCTAGATTATATTTTTATTATATGCTACTTCCTGGATTGAATTGATCAGACTACATAAATTATTTCAATGTTTCAAGCAATGCATAGGCAGCACTTGTAGATTTATGTAGCTCAGCACATCAGTTACTGCTTTGTAATAGGATTCTCAGGCATTCCTAAACAGAATCTATTTAGAAATCCTTGTGCCTGTTGCCAAACTTTTCTTACTCATTGTGGCAATCCATATTAATGGTTCAATTGTTTCTTGCCTCATGGATCACACAGTCACATGCAAAATACACATATCCAAGTCAAGGTTTTGCTGCTGTTGATTTATGTATTTTGCATGTAATTGTGCAGTAGGGAGCATTTAGATGTTTCCCCTCCATAGATATTAACTGCCAGTCTGAATATGGATTCAGTGGCTTTAAGGCATAGTGTGTGTAACACAGAGCTTAATCTGCAAGGTAGCTGAGGCATCTTTATACTGATATTAAAATGCATTCTTAAAAGGAAGCTTTCTATTTTTGTGCAATAACTGTAGTAATTCCCATCCAAATTTATGTAGGATTATGAAAAGGCAAAAAAGGATTAGATAACTTAAAATAGGAAACTTTATCTGAAATATTCTTCCCCAATTTGATGACTTGAATATATTTTGAATTACAGCTCCCAGCATTTATGATTGTTGCCCATGTAACAATGGTTGGGGCTGATAGAAGTTGAAGTTCAGAATATCTGGAGCATATTACTTTGGTCTAAAACCTACATTTTAAATCCTTGCACTCCATTGAACTGATTAGCTGTTCTGATCTCCCACAGAGTAAAGTAGGCAAAAATACAATGATGATAATAGCAACTACAAGTAATTTTAAATAAGCGAAGCAAAGCTGCAACTTCAGCCTTGCTAAATTTAGTTACTGATTAGGAAAAGGGAAACCATGGATTTCCCTGGGTTTAAAATCCGTTGGTGCTTCATATTCATATAGGTATGTCCTTCTCTCTTTTTCCATCAGTCCCTGCAAAACAGGCAGGTCTAATCCATTCGAAAGGAGTCTCCATACTGAAAATTGGCTAGAAATACTTCGCTACTTGGTCTTGTTACCAGCCTTGTGCATTGTGGTAACATTCATTTTTATACGCCGTTTTAATAGGCGTTAATCATGCTTGACAAGAGTGACAGTAGAGGCAAAGCATAATGTTGAGGACAACTGGCACAAAGCCTCTTCAAGTGAATGACAGTATTGAAATACCCAGTGACTTTCTAATGGATTGCCAGCTATAAAATCAGTAAGGTGCTTGCTGGTGCTGCAAACTGCCTTGATCAGTGAAATATATTTAAAGTTGCACTAAAGGCATCTCAATGCATCAAAAATCACAACTGCAAACTGCTTTGTTGCATTTTGATCCTTTCTTTAGGTTATGACACACCTACGCGTAACATATGAACGCATGAACCAGTCGCTTTCTCTCCTTTACAATGTGCCGGCAGTTGCAGAGGAGATTCAGGATGAAGTTGGTAAGTTGCTGTGCTTATGCTCGGGAATCCTACTCTCCTGAAAATAAGCTGACAGATCATTTTCTACCTTGAAGAGCAGGGAGGAATGAATGAAAAACCTGCTTGGCCTCTTTGGTATTACAGGGATGGCAATAAATGAGACCAGAACATAGCTTTCTTATACCTATGACTATGGGAGAGGAGGGGAAAATTAATACAACACTCTGTTAATAATACTATACCAGGAAGGTTTGTCTAGAAGAGAAAGAAATGCAGCTTTCTAACTAAACTTAGGTAATCTCTTATAATACTAGAGCATTGGGCCATCTCATGGAAATGAATTGTGAGCACTTCAGGAGAGAAAAAAAGGAAATGTTTCTTTACATAGTGCATGGTAAAAAATATGGAATCAAGCAAGGCACTCCTGCTTCACTCACATCCTGCATGAGAGCTGCCGTAAGACAGCTGGTTGGCCAGTACGTGAACAAAATATTTGATTAGATAGGACTGAAGCCTGATTCAGAAAGGCTCTTCTTGAGTTTCTACAGTGTTTTGAACTGAGAAATGAGTTTGCTGGGTTTCCTCTGAAAGCATGCAAAAATGTCAGTGGGGAAAGCAGCCTTCTTCATCCTGTTTTGGACAGAGTGGATATCCAAATGGCCAGGAATGCAGTAGCCAGGTCTGCTGAAGGCATTCCTTTAAATGGGCATTGACTGCCCCCAGAGGGTCAAGGTTCTCCCTCTGGTCCACTGAAGTTGCATCCTTGGGACTTCCCCCTGCTGCCCATGCAATGTGATGTGTTAGGGCGGGAGGAAGCATCAGACAGTACCTGGGCAATTACAGAGCTGGCTGGTGTTGGCTACCCTGCACACAGCTGTCTTTTCCTCCTGCCTTCCACCTTGGCACATGCCACAAAGTAGAGGCCTTGGGGCTGTGGGGATCCACCCTAAATAAATATTAATAATGATCTATTGCTATAAGATCAAACATTAGACAGTGCCTGGCATGCAAAACAGATTTTCATTTCAAAGTGTATAGCTAGATTTCTAAAGGCATGTTTTACTTCAGGGTAGCTAGAAGTTCTAAAGATTTTGCATCAGGCAATACAGTGGTATTTAATGAATGCCTGAGATATATGAAAATCTTATGCATATTTCACTACTTGCAAAGGTGGAACAGTTAGAACATCTGCCATGCATCTGCTTGTTGAGAACTTCTGTCTCAACAGATGCTGGGTTTTGATTCATCACCAGCTCCTCATACAGTTAGCAGGCATTTCTCACTATCTGAACTGAATCTTGGTCACTGTTGTTTGAACACTGGTGCATGATAGTTCTTGTTTTTAAGATATTATTAATAATGAGTACCTAATCCTGTAAGATCAAGCATTAGACAGCGCCTGATATGCAAAACAGATTTTCAGGGTCCAGGTAAACAGGATTCTATGCTGTTCTTTTTGGTAGTTGGATTGTATGTTTTTTACACAATTAGAGAACATAATTTAAAGTAATACCTTGAGGAACCCTTTCATCCAAAAGAATTAACTTTAGCAATCTGGCTAAACTTTGAAGTTTCTCTGGTTAGTTGTTGGCTTGCTTAGTACATGATGTTTAAATTTCTCAGGAGGAGCTGGTCAGTATCTGGTTAAATTAATTGATTTATATACAGTGAGACAAATTGCATAACAGAAGTTACAATGCATAATAGAAGTTACAGTGTAACATAACAGAAGTTACAATGCAATGTAATTCCAAGCCATAATTACAGAGATCTTATGCTGTACAAAGCCAGGAAGTCAGAAGCTAAGATGATCAGCAAAGATATTGTGAAATGTCACAAGTTGTGCTTACTTATACATCTTATCCTCCTTGCAGCCAAACTTCTCCTTGGCCTTTCAGACTCAAATCCAGATGGGAGGATAACATTCTGGGAACTAGCAAAGATACCCCCATCTATCTTATCTTGTATTACCTTATGAAGCATCTTGCAGTATTGCTAGAGGAATTTTCTCTTGTGTCTGCTTGTTGCTTACATCAATAGTTGGCAGAATGGGTTAGAGCAACCTAGCACCCTCAAGATACATCAGAGACTTATCACACTGAAACTCCCACAATTTCCAAGCAACATGGCCATGCCGGGTGGGCATTATGGGAGTTGCAGTCCAGTTCATCTGGAGGGTGGCAGCTTAGGGAAGGTGTATTGAAAAGTGAAAAGGTCCTGCCTGTGAAAAGCAAGGTGTGGAAAGCTTACATGTGAGGAGAACAACAGAGCTAGATTTTTGTAGCAATCTTAACACATATCAAGTATGAACACACCTTCAATGTAAAATGCGAATACCCCTCCAATCTTTTCATATTCCTTTCCCACAACAAAGAAAAGGTCAACAGGTACTGGGCACATTTGCACTGTATTCATGTCTTCAGAGAGTCAGCACCTGGCCTCCTTTCATTTATCCATCATGTGGAAACAAAGTTTCCTGGTTCCTCCCCACTGCTCCATCACCCACATCCCATTTTAATAATTCATTTAATCAAACCAGTTTTGACATCTAAAGAAAACTTTAATGCTGATAAACTTAAAACTGCTGCTATGCTATTTCTATGTTCCTGGAAAAGATAAATGGCTCTGTGTTTTGTAATTTGCCTAAATGTATTCAGAAATCAGAGTGACTTGGAAGGAAGGAAGGAAGGAAGGAAGGAAGGAAGGAAGGAAGGAAGGAAGGAAGGAAGGACAGACTTCCAAAAAGTACATGTAGACCAGAAATTCTGCTGTGTTTCTTAAAGTTACTTTAGGTAATACTCATTTTACAAGAGCAGTTCATTCAGGGAGCAATCCTGCCCTACACAGCATCCAAGGGCAATCAAGTATTTTGGATTTCCAGATACTGGATGCAGCATTCTAACCATAGATCTGGGAAACAGTTTCCTCCCCCTTCCCCTTCTCCTCACAGCTGGTGTGGAAAGAGCCCTGTCAGTTACTCTGTCAGGTTGGCAAAGCAACCTCAAAGCTGAGGTATTTCAGTGGGTGAGAAGAGGAGCAGTCTGAAAAGAGGAGGGTATGAGCTTTCCCGAGGTCTCCCCAGTCTCATCTCCTCACCCCTCATGTTTCCATCTAGATGGGCAAAACACCTCCAAGTTCAGGGTCTTATGGCCATGGCCATAGCATTGTGTCCTTAGTCAGTGAAAAAGGGGGAGAAATTTCCTGGCGCAAGCACACATAGCAGAGTCTTCAGGGAAGTGCAGAGCTGATAGTCTTAGAAGGAATTTAATCAAGCCAGGAGGGGGTTTGGGGACCCTGGAGCCGTCTTTGAAGTTAAAATCTCAAGTTGTTTCCAAGCATAGTAGTCACACCAGTTGTGTTGTTGTTGTTGTTCTAGTTGCATATATATAATTATCTTTCTAAAAGTGCATTTAACTATATTGCATTTGGATGCTTGGGTGTACATTATAGTTATTATATGAGAACATTCCCACCGCATGAGTATTTTCTTCAGAATTCAAAAGAAATTTTCCCACCAAAAGTCATAGAAATCTAGAGAGGGGGATAGAAAACAGAGAATGAGGGAAGAACCATGTGGCTCTCTTTAAACATCTTTAGTTTATCTCCTTATATCACTTTTCTACTGGCCAATTTTCCCTAGGGATTGAAAGGGGCCAGAGAAGGAGCAAGAAGTAAGAGCTGCCAAATAGTCTGCTACAGTCCTCCTGCACTCCATTGTAAGACAGTTTATGACTCAGAGCACAGAGGAAACTGTTATTCTAAGCTTTTTCTTAAACTTCCCTTTTCTAAACTTGTGTTTTCTAAACTTGTGTTATCACTATCCAGTCTTACGAAGAGTTTCGAAGAACTTGAAACCTTGCCATGACTATGTAGTGTTTTGCCTGACCCTAGTAAAAGCATTACCATTAATTGCTTTTTAAAAAAATTATGCTATGGAGAAACCTGTTGGAGATAAACAACAGATTGTGTGAAGCAACTAGAACCTTTCACTGTGTGATTTCTGTTCCCTCTAGCTTTTCCTGCCATCTGGGCAGGAAAATTCTTAACAGACGGAATAATCACACAGCGGGGCCATTCTCATGTGTTGCATGTAATGTGTGGCTTGGCAATAAGGATCACTGAAGGTGTAGAGTTATTTGGAGCCAAAGGAGTATGTTTTGATTGCAGCATCATGTGGTCTTCTTGTCTACATTTATGAACGCACATTTTAGAGAGTCACTGGATTCAGTTGCTTTAACAGCTAGGCCATGCAACAGTCAACAAAGTGGAACGAGATGGGGGAATTCAAACATGAGCCCATGACTCCTTGCTGAATGCCAGTCTTTTAAACATGGGTAGCCATAAGGTATGATAACATCACCCAAGCCAGATAAGCAGATATGCACACAGAAATATATAGTATCCCCCTAACTACACTAATCCTGCTTTCTTAGATTAGTTGCCTATTGATAGAATTCTATCAATATATGATCAGCTGTGCCCCATGGATCCTTTGTATCTTACTTGATTTCTCCTTGCCTTTCTCTGCTCTGGTAATTCTTGTTTCTGAGAATGAATAGAAATTCAAGAGACATTAGGTTCTTGTGACCCAGATTGCCCAGCAAAAAAGTCCTTCCTAGAAACTGGAGCCAGATGCCTTTTTGAAAACAAAAACCTAGCATGAAAATGTCTAACTTTTTTTGTTTTGTTTTAGCCAGTGACCATTTCAACAACACAATTCATTTGAAAGGGGTGAGAGTAAATAAGTTTTGTTTATAGAACTGATCAGTAGTTGATCTGCCTTCATTTTGGTATGTGCTAGAAATTTAACAGTTTGAACATAATAAGAGAGAAGGTTAGTCATCAGGAGAAGCTGGTGAATCAGACTAAGACTGCTAGACAGCCTTGAAGATTGCTGCCATAAAATTGATTTGTAATGGAATGGATGGTTTATAATGGAATAGAGAATTGGTTAGTGTCTACACTACTGAGTTTACCATTAAGTAACAAGCACTGAAGTAGGAGATACCTGTTCAATTTAACAGTCTGTGTGAAATAAAGCTGAAATAAAGCTTTATGCGTGTCTGAGAGTCCTTTAACATTTTTCATCTTGTAGTGCCTCTTGTCTGCTAAACCACATTTTAAAATCTGGAGAACAGAAAATGTATTTGTATGATCAACTGTGCAAGCAGATGCAGGAATGAAAATAGTATCAACAGAAATACTGATTAATGGAGTCAAAACATAGCAACCATAACTAAAATTATTTGGCTGATATTTAAAAAGAAAAAAGAAAATAGGGAATATGATAGGTACAAAATTCAAGACTTACTGCAATTCTCTGTCTACTAACCTGAGAAAGCACTGACCTGAACTTCATGGACCTTATGTCTGAGCAGGCATTTAACAAGATTTTACTGCTTGTATTAGTAGTTTTCTCTTGAAAATGAGAAGCTGCTTTGACATTCTAGAAATTACTAAATTAAGGCTCATTTTGAAATACATGTTGTAAGCATGTGCAGTGGAAAAGATAGCAATAACTGAATTATTGCATAGTTTAAATAATTTACACCTCATGCTCATTTTAGGTTATCACTAAATGGATTTAAAACAACACATTTCCTTGGTGGTTTTGTTGGTGGAACCTATTATTTGGCTTCTTCCTACTTTCTTACATTCTATAGCTTATCTACATAATGAAATGTCACACGAATATCTTGGCTAACTAGCCATGCATTTACATGCATCAATCCCAATCTGGAAAATGATGGTACTGTTGACAGTGACACTAAATGAATGTACACTGGTGCCACTGGCCAGCCGTGAGGTGATTGGATGCCATAGATAAATGGGATTGTTCCATGTGTTTCTTGCAACAAAGCTGAATAATAATGACAAGTGACTAGCCCAGCAGGTTATGCCTGCCTTTGTCAATGCTGGTAGTACAGAGAGTGCACTAAGACAACACATGCTGTGGTTCAAAACAGGTCATGTTTGCAGCTGGCAATTCACACAACAGACTAATAATGTTCTTTGATAGATGCTTGTCCTGTGGATATACTGCATTCTAGCATCTAGGACCCTAGCATCTATAACCCTATCTATCTATAGATTATCTATCTATCAAAATTTTTTGCAGACCATCCCATTGTCTCAGGACAGTTTAACAATACAAAATGTTTTTAAAAATGTTTTTTAAACACAGCATCCTAATACTTAGCTAATAATAAAACCCCAATTGAAACAGTCAGGTCTTAAACCATTGAGAAAATAAAAAGGTTTTGGCTTGGCGCCAAAAAGAATAAAGTGATGGAGCCAGGCAAACATCTCTGGGGAGTGAATTCCACAATTGGGGCGCCATCGCAGAGAGGTCCCTTCAGGGAGGGTACCCAGAGACGGGCATCAGCCCCTGATCTTAAGGGGCAGGCGGGCACATATGGAAGGAGACACTCCTTCAGGTAACCGGTCCCTAAGCTGTTCAGGGCTTTATAGGTCATCACCAGCACCTTAATTACTGTAGCATCTAGTAGATAGAAAAGAAGCTTTGAGTGTTTATAATCTTTACCAGTATAAGATATACTTGAAGCAAAAGGCAGAAGATATTTATGAAGAAATAAATGACAAAGAATGCAAAAATAATAAAGTACAACCCTATTTTCCTAAAGTGAGCTTTGGCAGAGTTTGCATTTACTGAAATTATAAGTTGTTTTTAATTTTGCCATTAATTAAGAAGTGTGAATTTTTTATTTTAGGAAACAGGTTTTAAAGCTGTTGTTTGCTTTCGCCATTGCAATGATTTACCAGTATATCTTCTATGAGCGAGTAGTCTTAAATATACCCTTTGCTGAATTTCCTTTCCTCCAGATGAACTACTTCAAAAAGAGCAAAACTATTCTGATGATGTATTGGCAAATATGATCAGTGAGCCCAGGATCAGCTATGGAAATGACGCCCTCATGCCTTCATTGACAGAGACTAAAACAACTGTTGAACTCCTTCCAGTAGATGGAGAATTCAGCCTAGATGACCTCCAGCCTTGGCATCCCTTTGCAGTTGATTCAGTCCCAGCAAATACTGAAAATGAAGGTAATGTAAGATGACTAAAGAGTCTCTTTGCTGGAGATGATGTGTGATAGCTGGATTCATTATGAGAAAGGCTTGACTTCTCTGACTCAACCAAGAAAGTAACCTTTTCTGAATGGGGAAAGGTCTGTCCAAATGGCTTAGCTTTCTTTGGTTTGAGATAGATGGAAGACATTAAGATGTACTGCCTTGAACAGATAAGCAGTCAAAATTTAAGCAAGATGTCTGATACCACTAAAACAATTAATGTGATGAATTTGTTAGGATTGAATACTTTAAATGATAAACAATTAAAAGGGGAGTGTTGCGCTGTTAATGAGCCAGCCAGTATTGATGCCTGGAAAGTTAAACTTAAGAGAGTATGATACATCTAACATAGTATCTGTTGGCTTATTTTAAAATTGCTTCAGTTCTTTAGTAACTGAATAATATATTTTCTTTCAAAAAAGCCACTTGGTTTGCTAGAAACACTACTTGGAGAACAAATGTGTCTTTCATTGAATGTGCCATGTATGCAGCTTTCTCCATGTAAAGTAATTGATTAACTTAATAAAGGAATAAATATCAGGTAATCATTTTGCTATATTTTCAGATTGTATGCATATTAGGTAGTAATTAGAATTTTTTAAAAATATGTTTTCTAATTTAAAGGTAAGGAAATAAATTCTCTCCAGTCAAAGCTAAGTCAGTTGTGCCAGATTAACATGGGAAGAATTATTGGATTATTATTATTTATCATAATCATTTCACTGTGAGGCATCATACATCAAAATGTATGTCTTTTTGTTTAATGTTTTGATTAATAGTGAGAAACATGGATCATTCCTAAATTAATGACAGCTTGAAAGGTTTGCCATTGCTTTAAAAGCTTGTATGTGCCGTGCATTTCCTTATAAAGCATGATCATCCATTACAAACATCAGGCACTTGCTGGAAATTATACTATAGCATGGTGAAGAGCTAAAAACCCCCCTATGCAGTTTATAGCATTGTAAATGAATAATTAGCACACAGTACAGGGCTGCATCAATTGTGGTCCTCCATTTAAGGACCAGAATTTGATCCAGTGGAGGAGTCTGTGAGCAAAACAAAGAAAGATTATTTTTCTAAATTCATCCTTTCTTCTGCAGCGCTTTCCCCATTCTACCAAAGGTCTTACAACCCACTGGAGGTGGGAGTGGATGCAGGAAACTACATGGGAGAAGGAAGAATCAGTGAAAATGTTCCACCCCTTTCTATTCATGGAAACCTCTACTGGTTCAAAGAGCTTTTCATGAGTAGAGACACACAATTGGATATAACCAACAATCACCTGGGAGACTGTCCTTTACAAGAATGAGTGAACTCCACTATATGATAATTCAGTTCTGTCTTACATAGCTTCCATTCATGTCTGTATGAGTTGTGCTGAATTGGTCATTTATAATGTTCCTTTTCTCGAACAATGACACAGATATTACAAACTTGTAGCTTCAGATTCCATTTATACGGTACAGATCAGGCAAAGAATATTTAGAATATTTTAGATGGTGCTGAATTAATACAATAACAATTGATATGGTTTGATATGAGAGCCCTTTCTCATATATCTTTTCGTATCATGGGTGTGCATTTACTGCTGTGTTGAAATATTGCTCTTTCAGGTTGTCCCTTAAGATATGGGAGAAGGCTTCCATTTTGCATTATTCTGCGCAATGCATGCATGTAGTTCTTCTGCCTGAATAGCAAGTGTGATAAATAGAAAACTTGGAACCCCTTCATTCGTGTGTGTGTGTGTGTGTGTGTGTGTGTGTGTGTGTGTGTGTTTCACAGGAGAGTTTGACACATGGTTATAAGTGACTTCTAGTCATGATGGCTATATATCATGAGTGGTGCAGAGATTTGGATGATGTGCCATGGCTTGTCATGTTGTAGGCAGCACATTGAATATCCACTCCCCATTTGAAGGCTGTCGTTTTGTGTGGACCCACTGAGCAAGGGCTGTCTGTGGGTTAGCTCTTGTATAACCCACACTCACCAGGCTCACATAGCACAACACATAGCATAGCAGACATTGCATATCCAAAATAACTTGGCTTCACTGGAGCCCAAAGTCACTGAATACATGTTGCTGGGGCATGGGAATGCTATGGCATTCATGTCCTGTTTGTGCTTGGCCATTATAGGAAAGAATATACTTAAGGTGCTTTGCGTGCGGGCCTAAATATGTCATGTATGCATGTACCAAACATACGCTGGCAAAAAAATGGGGATGAGTAAGCATATAGAAACACTCATCAAGAAAACAACCTGATTGTTCTGTTTTGCATGTACATGTCCCCCTTGCTCAACTTTGGAGCGCCCCAGATGTTTGGGACTTCAACTTCCACCAGCCCCAGTCAGCACAGCAAGTAGGCAGACATTCTGGGGGTTATTGGCCACAACATTTAGAGGGCACCACAATTGAGAAAGGTAGTACTTACACTGCATCAAAACTGGGTCTGAGTCAGTGTAATGTGTCTGTGATTTCTACTTGAGGAAACTTTACACTTGTTGAACATTTTGATGCCTGTACATACTGGTTTGATATTGTTGGATACTGTGTTTTGTACTCTAACATGGAAAATGTTCTCCTAAGGACCAACTAACATTAGCACTTAGGAATTTTATTTCAATCTGTGCTGCTGTGGGAGGCTCTGCCTGCATGATTTTAATAAGTGTTTGATAGGCTAGCCAGGTAATGACCCTGCTACCACAAGAATAAAACACTGCTGTACATGGTGAGAACTGGATGAAAGAATTAATGTAAACTGTCAAATGCACGCCAGTGACTTATGAGAATATCTAGCATAAAAAGAACTGTGTTGGTAGTACCTTCTGTACACTATGCTTTGGCTCAGACAGTGCAACATTTCAATTTAACATGGAATTTTAGGCTGAAATATCTAAACGTGGAATTTTAGGCTGAAGTACTCTAAAACTCTCTGAGATGGCGGTTTGATATCACAGATGTAGCATGTCATATAGGTTATACACACATTTTTTTTCCAGATCAGCAAAACATGCAAAAGTAGCTGTTCAGAATATGGTTTTGGAGAAAATACAAAATGGGTAGATTAAAAAATGTTGAATCAACATTTGATTGATTGAAAAGCAAATCAACAACCCTCACCACCATCACATTTTAGCTTGACAAAAGTCAGAGCCTCAGCTATTGGATGGGATAGAAAGTAAATGAAGAAATAAATCTTCAGATTTTGTTTGGTACTGTGGTACATATACCAAGCCTTTTGCTTATACTGCATACATAGGATGCTGTTCTGTTAGATTTCCTTGAATATACATGTGATGTTTCAATTTTAATAGATTAAATTGAATGTATATCCATGTCTCAGCTGAGTGACAACAAAGTGTTAAAAATAATGTAATAACTGTCAGGGCACTGTCCTGTGCATGTTTAGACAGAAAAAAATCCTAGAGTTCCCAGAATTCCTGAGCCAGTTTGGTCTGCTAGAGCATGCTGGGAAAAGTAGGGTTTTTTTCCTCCCTAAATATGCATAAGATTGCAGCTTAAAAAATTTATCTTCTTTCTCAAATCCTATTTAATGCCTACATAAACAAAATGCCTTAGTGTGATTTCAAAATAGATTCAGGCTCAGCATTTGGGAGCACTGTTTCATAAATGTGAGGCAGCCACCAGTGAAAATCTTTATTTACCAGCCCTTGATATTCAAAGCTGGTGCACAGAAGGTATGGCTAGCAAAGGTTTCCTAGCGGATGTTGAGACTTGCTGTTTTCTGCATGAACCGATACAGTCCACACCACTTCATCTCATCTGTCACTGTTTATGTTCTACTTTCTGGAGGCTTCAAACAGACACTTTGTGCCTGATTGAAGTATAGCTTTTCGTACTCTGGCCTCCGCCCTGCCCTTGTCCTCTTTTTTAATCAAAGCCTCTTTTGGAGGAGAACGCAGAAAGTGAGTTTGCACACCCCACCCATGTAACCATTTTTCCACCAAGCTGAACGGAGCAAACCAAGTACTATGTTTGGTCTGTTTTGGTAATCCCTGAAGGTTACTGAACCTCTGAATGGCCACGGACATAAGTCACTATTGGTGTGCATTCAGCTTGAAGAGTCAAAAATTGTGTGGACCTGGTCTGGACAGCTTGTTAGTTTTGTCTGCTAAATTCCTTTGGCAGTAACAACATGTATCAAACCACAACTGCATGGTCCTGCTCAAACACTGTTCTCCTTCAGTCCCCCCTCTTTTGGACAGACAGTTGGACATAGAGTGTTTACATTTCCAGGGCTGGGGGTGGGAGTAACTAAGCCTGAAATTTGAGAAAGAGAAAGAAGATGCATACTTTAAACATGAAAGTGCCAAGACTGTGAAGGACAGATGCAAAACTAAATCATTGGACTGCTGCGCTGATAACTGCCATATTTGGTATCTGCCATATTTAAAGTGTTCTAGATTTGTTGCTCTTGATCTGAATAACCTAGGAAGTAGATCTAATCACAAACACTACACTGATATCTGCCTTCACTTGTTTGTTTTCTGTATGCATAGAGTTCAAGCAACTATTACACTCTTTACTGTTTAGGATTACTGTATTTTGAAAAATCAACATGTTGAACTCAGTGGAACATACTTCTAAGTGGACGTGTAAAGGATTGCTTTGTTAGGTGTGACCATCTATAAGCACTTGTTTATCCATATGAATTATTTGTTTATTAATTCTTCTATTAGCCATACCTTTTTTTCTTTAGTTTTCTTTTTAGTTGACAGGTGTCTGTGATGTAGGTTGTTAAGCTTTTCGCAAAAGCTACTGAAGGAAGCTTAATTTTTCCTGCCCAAGCTGACAATAGTAAACAGTGTGAGGGAAAAAAATAGGATGAACATGCCCATGAGTGATGCATTGCTGTGGCTGGCACCCTCTTTGGAATGTAAGCCAATAAAGGTGCATGACACGAGGAGTCAAATGTCACTACAATTAACAGAAGGGTAAAAGGTCAGCATTTTATTATGAATCTAGGAAAAAATGTTTCAATCAGGGACACTACTTCATCGAATACCACATGTTCTGATAGAATTAACTAGAATTTAGGTCAAACCAGATCTTCATATGCTACACAGGTAAGACCTACTCTTAAAAATCTACTTAAAAACTCAATCAATCAGTATTGCTCAAGTAAAGTATATACACGTAATGCATATTCCAAAGCATTCAAAGTGGCAGCTCAGGATTTCCAGAAGCACCAGTGGTTGTGCTATATCCCACATGGAAAGACATGGTTCTCTTCTCTTCTCTTCTCTTCTCTTCTCTTCTCTTCTCTTCTCTTCTCTTCTCTTTTCTTCTCTTCTCTTTTTTCTTCTCTTCTCTTTTTTCTTCTCTTCCCTTTCAAGGGTTGCCAATTTTTAGTTTTAATGTTTTTATTCTAAATGAGATGGAATTACAAGTAAACCTTACCTTGTCCCCATTCTTGGCTATTACCTTCCGCTTTATTTTCTCTCTTTTCAGTTACATAATCAACATATGTCTTTCATTTGGAGCTTTTCCATACTCTATATGAACATGCCACTGTTTCCCTGACCCATTCTTTTCTCCATCTACCTCACCTCCCTCTTCTGCCTTTTGTCTCCAAGCACCTGGAGATGCCATGCATGGTTCCTCACTCACAATAGTTTGCAGATGTTTTACACGTATCATCATTTTCCAAGGCCTCTCCCATGCTTCTCAAACATTTCTGTAACTTTTCTTAGAGCAAAAAAATAAAAAATAAGAGTATTACGTAAAAATGGCATAATGAACTAAAATAAGACATCCATGCAGTTTTGCAGTTTTTCTTAACCACAGTACATAAAGGAACTGATCTTAATCCCACAAAGAATCTGGAAGAGGACACCTCAGTAAAATGCTGAGTTAAAAATCCTCATGTTGAGATGTTTTGACTTGATTTTTTCTGTCCTCTGACTCTCCTGTCCTCTATTCCAATCAAGCTTCTGTACATTCATTCCACTGGAATTGGCCACACAAAAATCATAAATAACTTCCTTAGTGCCAATCTGAAGGTCTGCATTCAGCTTACTCACTCTTATGCCTTTGTTACAATTGATTACTCTCTTCATGACTCCCTTTATGTTCTAAATATCTGTGGTTCTGGCCTCAAGAAAATGCACTTTCCTACCTACTTGTTCATTCAGTGTGCCCATGGGGAAGTTGTCCCACTGCTAACTGTTGGGGTCCCTCAATAATTCATCGTTAGTCCTCTGCTATTATCATATTACACATGATGCTTGCCTAGGTGATATTATTCCCATGACTTTCAGTTCTACCTATATGTTGCACCTCCCACACACAACACACTTCTATCCATTTACCCCAGATTTCCAGCTGCTGCTCTGATACTTTCACTTGGAACATTCAAAGATGAAATTCATAATTGCTTTCAAGGCTTCTCCTCATCCATTCACAATCTTGAATAGACACAAAGCTTTAACTTTATGCTTGACCACTCCTTTTCATTATTCCCTGCCCCATACTCAGCCTGTCACCTCATCATGGTCTTTCTCTTTTTATGACTGCCATTCTGGCCCCTTCAGAAAAACACTGGTCCAATTACCCTGGCCATTTCCCTCCTTAACTACAGCAAACTTCTCTCTTATCTCCTGTTGTTTCACTTTGGTCATCTCACTGTTGCCCAGTAGTCTCTCCAGTTTTCTGTCCACTCCCTCATCCTAGATAAACTTCTTGTCTTTAAAACCCATTTGACTTTACCCCACCACATCTGTGCACTCTCTGCTTCTGACCTTCACTCCTCTAGCTCCACCAGTCCCAGCCTTGTTACCATCTCCTGCTCCCCTTAAATGACTCCCCTTTCTTTCTTGCTGTCCTTCGTGATTGGCAGTGCCTTCCAGAACATGTTTTATATCAAGAAGAAGATAGTAATAAAGTAAATACAGAATTTCAGGCAACAATAAGTAGACGAACTATGCAACAGATTACATGGCAAACCTAATAGATGTACATGGAGCTTAGGTATTTTTTCCTTTTCACCCGATAGGACATTCATTCATAGAGTTGTCATGAGTTGGAGACAGCTTGATGGCTTTTAACAACAAAGATAAATAAAATACAAAAAAAATGCAGTCTAAAATACTCTTTGACCAAATCTTTAGCAGACAGAGTATTCTAATTTTAAACACTGGGGAAAAATTTCCCCTGGATAACTAACATAAGGGAATAAATCCACCAGCAGATTAATATATTCCACTGCTGAAGCCAAAAAGTTACCAATAATCTGTCCCAGCATGCTATGGATAGCCCAACAAGGCAAAGCGTAGGGCAAAATCCTCCATCTGTCCCTAAGTGCAAAGACAAAGGCACTGTTCCACAGGAGCTTTGGAAAATGTCCCTTCAAGGTAGGCTGGAGGCATAGTTTGAAAGCACAAGCTGGCAAATACCTTTCTTAATGGTGCGCTAGTAAGGACTTCTAAATCATATGAAATACAATGTATTTTTTAAATAAAATATATAAAACACACATCTTTTGTAGCAGAAACTCTGGGAAGACCCCTAACTGTTCTTGTATGCTTGGAACCTCAAGTCACCCTTATACAGAAAAGAACCAGGCAAGAAGTTCCCAGAACTGACCAAGGTGGAAGAACAAACCTAAATAAGACCAAAATTCCATAGGAGTCAACAGCTAAGCAAACGCCACTGCTTAGTATCAAGTAACTAAGCACTTGTACAACTTAAGAGACTTGCTAGAATATATCCATCCCTTTTTACAGTCACAGAAGGTTCTTACGGAAAGACATAAATGGCTATCCCCTAGGCTTCCCGCAGTTGTTCTGTGACAAGCCAGACTGCTTCATAATCACTTTAACAAGGTTCTGTGAGGGTGTTTGACGCAGAAACATACTTCTAAAGGGGAATTAAAATTAGAAGGGGAATTAGTGAGAAGCAGCTGTTTAAATGCAATTTTTATGTTGTCAGTACCAAGCAAAAGACCAAAGAAGAAGGAGAGTTTTCTCCCCACACTTGAGAATAACAATAATGATAATAATAATAATACAAACACCCCGACAGCCTTATTCTCCAGTAGTTGGAGAAAGTTGTGTACTTGGTTCGTGATAGCTAATATGTAAACTAATCAGAAATTGATTGACAAGTCAGTTGCATATTTTCACTGGGTTTGAAATTGTTTCCATTCCTTTCCTTTTGTTTCCAGGATTAATTTAAAGCAGACCTTTTTCCAACTGTTGCTTATGCAACTTGGTTTATGGCATATAACTTTCCTGCACTGTCCCAGGCAACACCATACATAGGTGATGTAATTTGGAAGCTTCTGTTTATTTTTTATTTTTATTTGCTCTCTTTCTTTCCTTTTGTTTATTTCTTTGGCTGCCCATGCCCAGTTGAACCAGTTGATGCCCGCCCAGCTGCAGACAGAGGACTCACCACACGACCAGGTATATAATTTGCATGGCCTTTCTTTACCTAACCTGTCTTTGCCCTGCATGCCTGTGTTTGGCTTGAGCTGAATGGATCCCCCCTGCTTTGTAGTACCCCTCTCCTTTGCGCTGATGTCCACCTGTGGACATGATTCAGACACAGCCTACCTATCCATACTTGAACAAGGTTGTCTTTCATTTCCAGTTGACATATTTATGTCAAGTCTCTGCTGAACTGGAAAGTGGAATGGCTTGGATGATTTGTGAACTTGCTTTCTAATTTAGCATATGATTTTTTTCTTATAACTTGAACTTTATATAGTGCCACTAGTCAAAGTCCACTTGCATTTTATTTGCAATATTTTCATGCATGCAACATAAATGTTATACTTTTTTTAAATAGAAGTGTTGCATTCAGCAGGTATATGAGCTTTAAAAAGCTGATATAAAAAGCAGCTGAGGCAGACATATTATTTAGGGGGCTTAAAGGTATTTTCCTGGGGAGGGGGAATCTCATTTTTCTACGTATCATTTTCAGTCTGAATTGCAAAAATAGTTACTTATTAAATGTCGTCTAAACATTTAATGAAAGTCTTTTATAAGTGCTTTGTCTGTACCTTTCCAACCCGATGTCCTCCAGATGAACTACAACTGCCTTCAGTTCTAGCCAGCATGACCAATGGTCAGGAATGCTGGGACTTGTCAAAACTTCTGGAAAGCTGATCTAGACAGATCCATACATGTAAGAATCACAGTAGCCTTTCTGGCTGGTAGAATGAGAAGCGCCTTTTGTGCCCCTAGCCAGTGTAAGGGAGAAGAGTTCCCTTTATACAAAATAGGTTGGAACAGCTTGTTCCCTCCTAGGATATTCTAAACTAGCAAGGCCACTGGTACATGACAGTGTATTCCCCCAGGCATTTACCTGGATTCCCATTTTGCAGGGAATTACAGTTAAGCCACATACAAAGAAAATGTCACCAGTCATTTTCCCAGACTTCTGAAGCAGCAGCAAATTAATATACAACCCTAGACTTAAAAGAGGCACTTTCCAAAGATTAACCTCCATCTACTAAAAGGCAATCAGTTTGCAGTTCTCTCTCTTCTCCTCAGTTCTCTCACATGATTCATTCAGCCATATATCAAGCCTCTAGTTTATACCATAGCTCTGAAGTGCTCAAAAAGAATTAAACCTCTTAATTTTAATGACACAGGAAACAGGCAGGGAATGTCAGCCTTCTCAAGTCTCACTACCCAGAATCTTCTTTAAAAACAAGCTGTCCTGCTGCATGGTTTCCCACTCTCTGCATTTTCACAACAGACATTCTGTTAACCCCCTAACTGCATACATCTAGGACAAAAGCATCATCTTGCCCTATCCATGACAGGCACCCATAAATCAAACAGTACTCGAGATATTTCCTCTGTTAACACTAAACAAGTGATTCTTTAGTTTTCATCTAAAATGAAACGTATAGATGACATTGTTTCTCTGCCTCTGCTTATTGTTTTCAATCATTCTCAAATATTATAGGTCAAAGATATGTATTATTTTATCAAACTTTTCCTTAAGCCTCTGTGTGTGCGTGTGTGTGCGTGTGCGTGTGAGAGAGAAGAAATAGAATGCTGAAGCACTTTTTTCTACGTACAGTGAAATGTTAGGCAATCTAGCATATTAAAATATTTTGCCTGATAGTGGGCTGCTTTGTTATTGAATTTTACATCCAAAGGTCTCAGGTACATGGTGAATGTATATTACTGATTTCTGGATAGTTCAGTGTTGTCTTCCAGACTAGTATTTCCTTGTGAGTACATTTCAGCTCAGTATCCATATAGTAATCCTATGCAAAAAGTTGCTGTAGAATATAAAAGCTGGCATTTCAGTCAATGACATATCTGAAGTTAATTATTAAAATCACGTCAATACTTGTTTTCTAAATATGGCCTCAAATTGAAATAATCAATCTAATTTTACTGGCCTTCACTACCAAACAGCAAGCTAATTAAATGTATTTAAATAAATATTCAGAAGGTGCCGCTGTTTTAATGTTGTTTACAAGATGTAGCAAGGCCTTTACATTGCACACACTGTGTTACATTATAGGTAGAAAAAGCAAGATATGCTAATCTGGTAATATAAGGATAATTTCCAACTGTTATTTGCATTTCAAAGGAAGTTTCAAAGGCAGGTTTGGTCAGGTGCATGGCAGGAGAAGAACAAGTTCAAATGTTTCCCTTTGCCCCAAACAATCTAGAGGCTGCTCAGGCTTCTCCCTATCTCACTGCAGCTGATCAGTGTGCACTACACACCGGAAGAAAATGGGTAATGTGCAGTTTGCAGATTTTCCAGCTTTGCATTCAGGGCCCAAAACAAATTGCTACATTAGCACACAAGAGATTTCTATGTAGAATTTGTATGACATATGTTTAGCACATGGGTCCTCAAATTACGGCCTGGGGGCCGGATCTGGCCCACCATGCCCATATATCCGGCCCGCCATACCCATTTGGACCCGCCGTGTATGTGCCCACGCACAATCCCACCGCCACCCACCTCGCCCCGCGCATGGGAGGCAGCAGTTTGCTCGCTTGGAGAAAACGATCTCTGAGGGAGCGAGCCGCTGCCTTGTGTGCCCGCCTCGCGGTGTATGCCCATCCCTGCCTCCCCTTGCCTCCCCTTGCTGCGTGTGCCTGTCCTCACCTGAGTGCGCTTCCCCCGCCCCCTTGTTGACCCGCACACACTGCCCGCACCACCTCTCCGGCCCGTGCCCAGCACCGGCATCTTTCAACTGGCCCCCTGGTAAAAAAGTTTGAGGACCCCTGGTTTAGCACATCATAATGCGTACCTAGAAGGGAACTTGGCTGTTTTGTTTCTTTCCTTTGGGTTTGGTTTAAACTTTCATTCTTGGACGTTGGCAAGTTTCTATAAACTTACATGGCAAGATGCCGACACACATGGATGGCTTCATGTCTGTAGCACTTGATACACAAATGACGTATGGAAAGAATGTCTGGGATGATTTTTTTTTTTTTTTTTTTGGTAAGCTATACCTAGAGCAACCTGCCTGTGGGAAGTCCACATTTAATGGTTTTATGTAAATAAATATAGAGGCATGTATGGGGGCAGGTGCTATCTCTATTTGGTCTTTTCAGAGATCTTGTTTGAAAATTGTATTTACTTAATATAGACGGAAGAATAATCTGTACTCATAAATCATATGGGATTCTTTAGAAATTTAGATACCTGATTTAGATTATACAACTAAAATAGCTGGAAAGCTGTACATGGAGTCATAGAATAGTGGAGTTGGAAGGGGCCAAGAAGGCGATTGGGTTCAACCCCCTGCTCAGTGCAGGACTCCAGTTTAAAGAATCCCTGACAGATGCCCATTTAATGCTTCCAGACAGTGCTGAATTTACATATGGGTGGGCTGCAGCCCAGGGCCTCATAATTTAGGGGACCTCAGCTGTATTTTAATGTGCTGTTATTGGTTGGTAAGACATCTTGAGATCCATTTTGGGTAAAGACGGGGTTCAAATGTTTTAAATGAATAAATCGGCATGCTCTGGTCAGCCATCATACTTATTCAAAACTATATGTGAAGAGGTTATCCAGTTGATGGATAATAAAGGTTCAGGAGTAATACTGAGTGACATCGAACAGGCAGGTTATTTTAGTTTGTAAGTTGATTCAACCCCTGATGTTTCCCATGTTGATCAACTTACTGTCATTGTTAGATATGTTTCTCCTAGTGATAGATTACCAGTTGAGCACTTTCTAAGTTTCATACTTGTGAAAGTATGGCTGAGCTGATACTGAACTTCTTCAGTGAACTTGAAACAGATTTCAGTAAACGTAGAGGACAGTCGTATGACAATACAGCCAGGCTGGAAAGTATAATGGCATTTAACAAAAAAAAAATCTGGAAAGGAACAAGTTTTCAAAATTTACTTCATGCACCGGACATTCCCTAAATCTAGTTGCATGAACTGCAGTTGACTCTTGCCTGGTTGCAGTGATTTTTTTTTTTTTTTTTTGTCACAATAACTTAGCTGTATTGCTTTTTCCCAGTTTCTAGAAGATGGGCAGTGCTAAAAAAGTTTTTGCCTCCAGAGTCAAAAGTTCCTAAACGTTTATCAAACACAAGATGGAAGGCTTATGACAAAGCTACTGCAGCTATTAGTGAACGTTATGCTAACACCCTTGAAGCTCTCCATCCTATTTACTGTGATGAAACTGAAAAAGGAGATAATAGATAGATGAATTCTTCTGCAGAAAATGGAAGAATTTGAATTCATTTCCATACTTCACCTTTGAACACTTTTGTTAGACCAATTTCATAACATAAGCAAGGTGCTCCAGAGTTTGCAAATTTCATTGAGCCCATGTTCAAATCTTTACAGCTCACTACTGTAGCTCATATCAAACTCTTGGTCTAATTTTGATGAAATCGAACAGCAAGCAAAATTTGGTCTACCAGAAGTAGAGTACAAAGCTGTCAAAAGAAGGCAGACAGTACAGAAAATCCAAAACAAAACAATGATGGGACAGCACCTGAAGCCTTAGATGAACTTTCTCCAGTAGATAAGTTTAGGGTAAATTCATTTGTCCCTATCATGGATGTTCTTGAAGCCAACCTAGAGAGAAGAGCAACAAGGTGTGGGAACATTGGAGAGAGCCAGTGTGGTGTAGTGGTGAAGAGCATGGGACTGGGACTCAGACGATCCAGGTTCTAGTCCCCGCTCAGCCATGGAGCCAACTGGGTGACTTTGGGCCAGTCACAGACTCTCAGCCCAACCTACCTCACAGGGTTGTTGTGGTGGGGATAAGATGGAGGAGGAGAATGATGTAAGCTGCCTTGAGCCCTTTGTAGGAAAAAGGCAGGATATAAATTGGAAAATAAATAAATAAATAAATGACAAACATAGCTGGCAATTTATCATTTTTTGTGAACTTGCAGGCAGACAAGGAACGGATTCGCAATGGTGTTGAGATGTGGATGCAGGTTCATCCAAAGGTAGCTGACCTCAGTCTAGTGGATGAACCCCTTCACTCAACCTATATGCCACACAAGTTCACCCTTAATAAAATTTCAGGCACCAAAAGATATAACTGTCCCAGGAGAAAATTCAGACAACTTTTCCAAATGTGGAAATAATTTTCAAATTGTTCCTGTATTTAATGGTTACTAATTCTACTAGCAAAAGATCATTTTCTAGACTAAAAAGGATAAAGAGTGATCTACAGTCAACAATGTCCCAAGATTGGTTATCTGATCTAAGCATTCTCTGCACAGAAAATTATAAACTGTGACTTACTGATTGTAATGAAGTAATTGATAATTTTGCATCCAAAAAAGCTCAGAATAAAATGTTTTGACTTAGTGTATAGTGCAATGTTACAACATAGCTATGATTCCCCATGAACGTTCTGTTTGAATGTCTTCATTTATTCCATACTTTTATAAACTTATTAAAGGTTACAAATTTATTAAAAATATTTTTATCCATGCTAAAATTTTAAAATTTCATTGAATAGATAAAGAAGAGGTGAGGTTACATTTCTCACCACCTCTAGTGTGGAAGAGCCCACAACCAGCCAGTGTAATTGGTTCCATTGTCGTAGTGCTTTAATAGTTGGGAAGTTTTTCCTGATTTCATCTGGAATCTGGTTACCTGTACCTTGAGCCCATCATTCCATGCCCTACCCTCTCAGATGATTGAGAAGAGATTCTGGCTTTTCTCTATGTGACAATCTTTCAAGTACTTGAAAAGTGCCATCCTATCTCCCCTCAGGTTTCTCTTCTCCAGGCTTAATACTACTTAACAATGTTTTGAATAATCTACAGTCAGTTTTTTTTTCTTTCTCTTTTTATGAAACACGGAATATTAGTTACATAATTTTAAATAGTACATTGGTAGGTTGGTTCAGATGCCAAATATTGTATCCTAAAACTGAAAACCCAGACAGTGGGAGCAAACTGCCAAGAATAATATTAGTAACTGTTAAAAACTAGCTATATTTGGCAATGTCTTATTATGGAAAGTCTAGGCTAAATTAATTGAAAGTCTCAACCTGGTGTTGCAGTTGTTTTGACGTTAGTTTAGATATATGTGTGATCTCTAGATACTGTAGTTAGAAAATGGAAATGAAAGACAATGATTTCGTATGTCAAACTAAGCCACCCTGCAAATTAAGCCACAATGGGTTGGTTGTTCACTAAACATCAACAGACGGTCTCAGTGTGGCTTGCTTTCCCCCTTCCTGCCCCTGATTCCTCCAACCAGTATCCCAGGGTCCTTCATGGCAGAACCTGTCCTAACACTGCTGTCCCTGTTCGCTTGACATCTGATTGCTACCCTTTTAAAACTTATAACCAGGTTTTAAAAAAATACATATTTGAAGACTCAGAAGATCAAAATAGACATAGGATGAAGGGCTAACCCCTGAAGATTTCGCAATTATTATTGTGATTATTATTTTGTTGATCTTTTACAGGTGCACAAGTGTACCTTTACAGCTTATTTAACAATATGTGTGGCCTTGCCTGGTCAATTTTCTTGTCAGTTAGAGCTGTTAAAGAGAAGGTAGCTCAAGAATGCATATAAACATATAGGGCCGAAAACCTACCTGCCAGCTGGAAAGTACTAATGAAATAGGAAAAAAGCATCAACAAAGGTGCAATCAATGAGGATGGGGACAATATCTTCCATTTAACAATGCAATTCTCTCTCTTTCTAGTACTGCGCTGACAATTTTCAGTATCCTCCAGTTTTCAACACTCCCCCAACTCTGAAACTGCTCAGAAATGGGAGATATTAACACACACATATACGCACACCACATATTTCAGACCAGTTATTACAGCTGTTAGTATAACTCACTAACAGCTCCAAAAAGTACCCCACAGAAATATACTCTTAATAATGGGAGTAGATGGAGGCAAAATTTGAGCAATTAGTGCAGATTTTCCTTTCATCTGCTTCTCCTCAAAAAATCAGGGCTTTTTCATTGTTGGCTTGACAGAGCAGCCCTGGCAACGGTGTGCAAATTAGCAGATAAGCAGTCTTACCTTGTCTTCCTTTTGACAGCTGAAACAGACAAGGGAATTGAGCAGGCAAGTCTCATCCTCATCACATTGCATTTATATGCTGCCTTTTTCTCAGTGTGGCTTACAGAGCTCCATTTTATCTTAACAACTGTGAGGTAGGCTAGACTGAGTGTCTATGACCAGCCCAAAGTTACCCAGTGAGCTTTGTGGCAGAATGGCGCATAGAACCTGGATCTCCCAGGTTCCTAGTCCAATGAATTTAACCACCACATCTCTGCTCTTTTAGATTGCCATAGTGAACACCTGCAACAAAACCAAGTAACTTAGAAGCCCAATTACACATATTTAGATCCTTAAAAATAAAAAGGCTGAGGCCTTCCAAAGCCTTCCAAAGTGCAGTTTTGACATAAGTAGAAATTTAGTCACTGGCAGGAGATTTTGCTGTTCATGCCAATGAGTCCCATGACCATTCCAAATAACCCATGGTCACATTGCTTTGTTGGGTTCATTTGCCAGACTAACGCATCTTGGGTCATGGGCACTTGGAGTGGCTTGTTCCTGAAGCTAACTTACTGGATTCACACAGATGTAACAACAACCCACTGTGACTTGTTACCCATGGTGGGTTGCTGTGCTGTGGGAACCAGTTCATTAATTGTGTTATCCATTAAACATCAATTGGCTGAGATGTTTAAGTAAACCTGAAATGTAACAGAATATTAACATTAATCTAAAAATATAAACACTAATCAACCCTAGGACCCAGTTCACAAAAGTACAGAGCTGTATTGGCACAGTCCTTACCATAAAAGATAATTTATGAATGATGCACATTAAAATAAAACTGAATGACCTCAAATAAAGGATAAATATTTAGCACAAGGACCCAGTATTTAACTACAACAAAGCCTCTATCTTAGAGTTGTTTAATTTTCTCAATGGGCCTGTTCAGGCATAATAATCATAGCTTAATCAATCTGGTTTATTAAGCCAGGAATAACGCTATGTGATTCTCCTTCACACGCTCCCCTTGGTGCTTGCATTGTGCTTACATGAGCTGCGTCTTGGATTAAACAGGGTTTAGATAGGAAAGAAGTGTGTCCTTTGCTTCTGGTTTAATAATGAAATGAAGTCTGGGAATGTGACCTGGCTCCTGATGTCGTTCAGCCCACAGTGGGATAACTGGACATCATCTGCATCCTATGCCCAACCCGGCATGTAGGATTGCAGCTTAATTGAACCATTTCAAATGACATGCTGCCACACCCTATTTCTTAAGTTTCTTTGAAAACATTAAGGCATTAATACAGTGAAGGAAACAAGAACAGCAACACATATCAGGGACAGGGTTGGGGATGAGGAGCAATTTGGACTGACTTTTCTGGATTGTTCTGAGTTATATAGTATTGGGTGGGGGAGGACATCTATTGCAGAACAATTTTAGAAGGATGTGGAATCATGTACATAAACAGTCATTTTTTTCTTGCTATTGCCCAGACATATAAAGTCTCCTTTTTTGTGAACCTGTGAAACTACAACAATGCTTATTTGTTTCTTTAGTTTTTTTTTCCTTTGGCTGCTGTTGGAAGTGTACTTCATATCTTAGTTAATAGCATAGAATATCCATTGCTTGGTGTGATTATTACTTTCTTTTTTCCTTTTAAAGTCAGATTCTCTTCCATTATCTTACCATGTACATTTTTGATTAAAGGCTTCCACTTGTGTTATTTTTAAAGCCATTACTGTTTGCCATTTGCATAGGAGGGTGTTTACATATCTGCTCAAAAGTTAGGACCTAAATATCTGTTGGTTGTTATTACATAATATAGGTTCAGGATTAACCAATGTTAAAACAGAAGAAACTTCAGAATTAAAGATGGATGCAGAGTACAGACATGATTCAGGATATGAAGTACATCATCAGAAACTGGTGAGTGTGTTTCCTTGTTTAGCAGTAGTTGGCAATTTTATTTTATGCTTTTCTAGATTCCTTCATGAAAATGCTACATTAAATAATGTTGGGATTTGTCTACAGCTATGGAAATTCTTACCTCTAGAATCCATATTTTCTTATCTTCACCCTGCATAAAATATCTTGCACAAACTTTTCATTCACTGGACCATTTATTTCTGACATGTTGTAAATCAGGATTCACCTTCTGAAATAATAGATGCTATATACTAAATGGTTGGGAAATAGTGCCAGGAGGCACAAACTAAGCAGCAGGCATGGGAAGGATTCTGCTTTGCCTCATCAGAGCACTGACTTCATTCCTTAAATTGGTCCACTTCTCTTTATGTAATTAAGAAGTCTCTGGTTGAAAGGAGGGATCTGCTGCCATTGCTTCCTGTGGAGCCCAAATGAGCAGTGCTTATTGGGCTGAACAAGAAGCAATGCTGAGAAAGTTTGAGTTTTGGCAACAGTGCTCTTGTGAGTCTCAAACCCTGATCAAGAATATGAAGGAGGGGAAGAGAATACAGGAAGCTCAAAATAATGCAGGGGAAGGAGGAGGGAAAGCAGTTCCCTAAAACCCTTCATTATAGGAGTCTGCAGAAAATGCCAATTCTGTATCTTAAATGGCAGTTTCTTACATTCTCAACTTTCTGGTACACTTGCTTTTTCTTGTGGTTCACAGCTGAAGCAAAACCTTCCAATTATTTTCTAATCCCCACATCAGTTCTTTTCTCCAACTACCCCATCTGTCATTTTTTAAAGTCAAGCATATTGTATTGGAGGTTAACTTTTCCTATGCAGAGTAATTATTAATTGTGCTATCTGGCTTTTTGTTTCTTCTTTTGTAAAAATAAAATGAAATATTTAACGAATGATGAAATGCTTATATTGAGACTTCATTTTTGGAATAAAAATAGTGTTGCAAATTAAAATGAAAGTAAGAATAAAATGTGCGTTAGAGTTAAATGATCCCTCTGTGCAAAAAAAAAAAAAAAGTTCCTTGCTACTTCCAATTAAACATTTCTACATGTTTATGTATCTCGTATCTTGAAGAGTGATGGAGAGAAAAGGGAAAGACAAACTCTAAAACAGATTTCAGTTAATGCAATTCTGTTTTATTTTTCTCACATGCTTTAATTATGCAGTCATATTCAGTGGGAATGCAAAACTGACACAAAATTGAATAGCATCAGCTCCCCCTAGTGTACTGGTTGATAAAATATTGCACTGAAATGCAAACAAAATTGCCTCTGTGCAGTTTGAAACATAAGCAATCATTTTGAAGGTACATGATTAATTTGAGCTATACCCCACTGTATAAAGCAATTAATGAGTGTGCTTTTGTTTCTCCTCTATACAATTTTTAAATTCCTATTGCAATTTCATTCAGTAACCATTTTGGAAAGGAGACAGGACTACTTTATATTAATTTCAGGATTTTTTTAAGTCCTTGAAGAATTCTAAGCTGCTGATCGCAAGCTGAAAGTAAATCTTTCACACACTTTCCTTTATAATGGCTTGGATCTAGGATTGGCTTTCTGTGGATCCCAGAAGACTCAGAGAAGGCACCTGCACCCAATATTCAGGATCCTCTGATGTCCCAAGCTTGCTCCAGTCAGCATGATCACCTTTGCAGCATTGCAGGGAGACTGGAGAGGATGCTGTGGGGAAAGAGGGGCTGAGAGTTCCACCTCTGCTGAATCTGGATCCAACCAAATATCCAGAAAGTCTATTCAAAACTCTGAAATCCTTTGAATTAACATGTGTTGTTTAGGGCTCAGTCCAATGTCCCCTGCCTGTCCTTGAAGTATGCAAGCCTGCAGACTCAGAGCAAGGCACAGAGGAGGCAATGTCTGCCATGCTGTGCCCTATGCATTTGTCTAGACAAATATTTTCATCTGCCTAAATAAAGCACTAAGACACGAAGGTGACTGCAGCACCACTAGGATTCAGTACACAGAGATGGCCTCCTCCTCGCTCCTTTCCAAGGAGCATTTTTTGAATGCAAGGAGCCAGTGCAACCAATTCCACACTAGGTGCAAAGGGGCCCGGGCACAGGATCATCTGCCAGAGTGCCAGCACCACAGGACCTCCGTGGTCGGAGTCTGAAAAATTAAATTCCCTCTCCCTCGCCCATCATGTCAGGCAGGTGTAGGATTTATCCTTGGAAAGCAAGGTAGCTACAGGAAAGCAGTCTCAAACGATATTTGGCCATGGGGGCCAGAATGAACAATCTCTCTCTTTTAAAGTTGAAATGAGGCCTTCAAAGCCATGAAGCTCACAGGCTGACCTTGAGCTGCTCACTACCTCTTGGCCCAACCAACCCCACAATGTTTCTATAAGGATAAAGGCTGAAAAGAAAGTATGCTATCCTAAACTCCTTGAACAAAAGATGCCATATAACGTAGATAATATATAAAAAATAATAGTGCTAAAAATACTGCATAGCGTGACAACCAAGTAAATAAAATTATTATTTATAAAGTGCCATACGTTTAACCTGATTTGTTGTATACGATGTATTTTTGAGCTCTTCACTATATTATTTTTTCATTTTGTATTTCCATTTGTTCATATTCCTTATTTGTTAAATTAATATTCCTGCAGGACTTTTCAAGGTAAATAGAACTTCACAATCCATACTCCCTTACCTAAATGACATTCACTATGCAATGACTTTTTTAAAAAGGCTATATTGTAAAATCTACCAATATGCTATATAAAAATAAAAGGGGAGATCAACCCTATGGTCTCTAGATGCTAGAGGGGGCATAAGATAATTCGGATTCCCAGATCTGAGGTCAGAAACGGGGGTTCAGAGGACTGGGCAGTTATGCTCCACTCCCCCTCTCCCTCTTGCACAGTTCCTTCTGTGCCAGCTGGCTCTCTTAGGTTGGAAAGTTTGGTTGGAGAAGGAGTAAAGGGGGCATTCTTGGAAGAGGCACCTGCAAACTGGCAGTGTTCCAGCTTCATTTCCTTCCATCTGAAGTGCTTCAGCGGAACAGTCAAAATCATTCCTTCCGCTCTGCATGGATGTTGTAAGCCTCTGAGTTTTTCCTATGGTTGACAGTGTTTCATCCATACAGTGTTACAAATTAAAATAAGAGAAGCAATGAGTGAGTTTTTTGCATGCTCCATAACCATAACTATGAAGATTTCACAGCATTTCTATTTTTCTGTATGAAGAATGTGACACACTGAATCATATTCCAGGTCATAACTAGTATTTGGATTCCAACTTCCTTTCCCCAAACTAAGGAAAGATCCATTAATAGAACAGGGATTCAGCATCTGTGCCTTCTTTCTGGAGACTGCTGGGCCTCCCAAAAATCCACTCCTGATAGTTGGAGGAGGACCCTTTGAAAAAGAATTGCATGTGGCATAGTTAGGCTGCATCAGGAAGCTGGAAATTGGCAAAATAAAATAAAAGCATTAGGGCTGGATGGACCCTAGGTCTTGTATGCTTTTGGAAGTTTGCTGATATCTCTGTGTTCCTGTCTACTGCCAGGTGCCTACTTTATTTTTCAATATATGATCCTGCCATGCCCTTAATTGGAGTTAAGTCCTTTAAATCAATTTTCCATGTAATCACTGTCAAAGGTACTTGCAGTTTGGGTGTGCTAGGTCAATCCTGAGGAACCATTGGTTTGTAGAGTTATTAATGTAGAATTTTGCAACTTTCATTGAAAACCATGTACCTTGACTTCTTACCCTTATCTTTTCTTCTTAGGTATTCTTTGCTGAGGATGTAGGTTCAAACAAAGGTGCCATCATTGGACTAATGGTGGGAGGTGTTGTCATTGCAACAGTGATTGTTATTACTTTGGTGATGCTAAAAAAGAAACAATATACATCTATCCATCATGGCGTAGTGGAGGTGAGTGAAAGTTGAATTAGGAGTCTGATTTCAAATTATAATCGTAAATGCCAAGTATATGCTCTATTCTAAGACTATGACTATGACGGCCTTTTTTTAGACAATTCCTTTTATATGTGCAGCAATTTAGTGAAGAATTGTATTATATAAAGCAATATTACACACAAGCACTTACACTTTAATTTCCATTAACACTGGATACTTCTTGGAGCCCTTTACCCAAGGAACAGCTAGGATTTTATGTCCGAGAATTCAATTAAGCAAAATGTTCACGTTTTTGTAAATATGAACACTAAGAGTTGTTTAAATATGAATAAGTCAGGTAATTAACTTGTAGTCCCAAACTCCAGGTGTATCCATAACATTATGGATATCTTGTGTTATAGATTTGTTTATTTTGAGGAGTGGTAGGAAAGGCAGATTAGGAGTCTTTATTATTGTTAGTAGAGGTTAATCAGTGTAGGTTCTGAGCACATGTTATAATAGTGGTCTGTTGGAGGCTGAAATGCAGGAGTGGAAAGCTGTGATGCTCTTTAAGGCCATTCCAACTTGATAAATGCATATTGGACAGTGCCTTTTAAAAATGGAAGAATTACTCTGATTTACCAGGAGTGGAGCAAACCACTTCGCCTCTTAAGAAAAATAAAACTGTAGCACTTCAGGATCTTTATACACTTTCTGCTTTTCTGTCATAGAATCATAAAATAGTAGAGTTGGAAAGAGCCAGGAAGGCCATCCAGTCCAACCCCCTGCTGTTGCAGGACATGAATTTGCACCATTCCATTCACATGACAGTCCAGTTTTGAATGTCTCTAGTGTGGGAGAGCCCAGACCTCTGTAGGTAACTGGTTCCACTGTCACATTGCTCTGACAGAGAGGAAGCTTTTCATGATATCTAGCTGAATCTGCATTGTCGCAACTTAAATTGATTATTCTGTGTCCTATGCTCTGGGATCAGCAAAAAGATAACTTGACCTTCCTCTTTGTGATAGCCTTTGAGATACTTAGAGATATCATGTAACAGAAGTTCACTTGCAAACCAAGATATTGTGGAACTAATATATTTTTTAAGATATTAACAGGTCTCTTAGTAATACATTTTAAATCAAAATAGTTCATCTAGCCCTCTTTCTTCAAAGGGGACCATATAAAATCTTCAAAATTTTGAGCTGTAGGAACTGTAAGAATTTTGACCAACAAAATATATTTGTCAAAATCTTTTCAACATAATGGGAAGTGCCAGGCTCTCTGGGAATAAATAATTTTGATCACCTAAAGCACCCTGCAGGCTACGCCCACTTTCCTGACCATCCAGCTGGCCAGAACAGGAGCAGATCATGCTTTCCTGGCTGCTAATAGTCACAGTCCCTTTAATGTTTCCCTCCCAGTAATTCAAGTACAGAAATTCCTGTCACTTTGTTGCTAATAGTGGTGAGGAAACCATGTTCTGGCTTGGGAGAGCATTTAAGTTCTCCCCGCAACAGTTAATTTAAACCTCCCCATCCCTGCAGACCTGGGTGGGAGAGAGAGAGAGAGAGAGAGAGAGAGAGAGAGAGAGAGAATCTGTGTGTGTGCGTGCGTGCGTGCGTGCGTGTAGCCCTAGGCCACCCTCAGCAATGCAGGTGTAGCCTACCACCTTGTCCTCACAGTTGCCCTGATGTAAGACATTCATGGTCTGTGGTCACTGTGCATGCTCGTCTGCCGTTGACATTGTTTGCAAGCTTCAGGGGCTTTCGTGTCTTTTGATTATCTAGCTGTCTTTTTAGTGCATTCAGATTCATGCTTGCTCCAGCTCAAAGCGGACAGGCACTGTAAATGTGAGGCCAGGGAGCTGCTCTGCCAGAACCTGACCACGGTCATCTTCTGCTTGCTTCAGGTGGATGCTGCAGTGACGCCAGAGGAACGCCACCTTTCTAAGATGCAACAGAACGGCTATGAAAATCCAACCTACAAGTTCTTTGAACAGATGCAGAACTAGAACACCACAGCAGCCTCATGAGTTGGACAGCAAATGATTGCTTCACTGCCCATTGGTGTTCAGTTAGAGAATAATATGGAAACAAACAAACAAAAACATTTGTTTTATTATTTACTCATTATCGCCTTTTGACAGCTGTGCTGTAACACAAGTAGATGCCTGAACTTGAATTATAAAATCAGTAATGTATTCTCTCTCTTTACATTTCAGTCTTTACATTACATTATTAATGAATGTTTTTGTGTACTGTAAAGTTTAGCTGTACTGAACTAGTGCATGAATAGATTCTTTCCAAATTATTTATCATATAGCGCCCTTAGCCAGTTGTATATTATTCTTGTGATTTGTGACACAAAAAAGAAAAAAAAAAAAAAGAAATCAAGTCCTAATTGAAATATGCTTTAAGAACTTGATGGGGGATGCTTTCTGTGTATGTGGGGTGGAGCTGCTTCTCTTTGCTGAGTTTTCCTTTTTCTGATCACTATGCATTTTAAGGTCAAGATGATTTTTTTAGAAAAGTATTCCAGATGAGTTAACATTATTTTCCTCTGCAGTTGCATTTTATTGTACAGATTGTTGCTTCTGCTGTACTAGTGATGTAGAAATCATGGGAATACACATTTGTTTCTTTGTGCCTGTTTTATGTGCACACCTTAGGCATTAAGGGGGTCAACTTTTTTTCATGTATCTTTTCATCTTTTTTAAAAAAAGAATCCCTGTTAATTGTGAGCACTTTTATAGGGGTGGGGGTGGGGAAAGTGCCTGCTGGTTGAAAAATTAACGGGGATCCTACAAACGTTTCTGCAGGATGATTGTACAGTATCATTGCTTATGAATTGATAGCTTTCTACACTGTGTTACATAAATAAATTACCAATAAAACCATTGGGCAAGAGTTTTATTTGGATTGAGAAATAAGTATTTTGGGGCTGACTTGGGGGTTGGGTGGGTATTTTTTTCCCCCAAGTAGACATGGATCATAGAATCCTCATTTTGAATATAGTGAACAAAATGTCAGTGGGAAGGAGGGGTGTTTGCTTGGGCATGCCTTCTCTCAAAAATGTCTCTTTTTTCAGTTTGTATAATAGTGTTTTAATGTAAATAAATACATTCCTGGAGGAGTTACATTGTAGTGGTGTGATTCTGTAACAGCTGTTCAGAGTGATCTGCTTGCCTGCTTGTACACATTGTTACAGAATGAATAGTCCAGTCTCCCTGCTAAGTATGACAACCAGGATGCTGTTCACCAAAAGACACTTTTCTAGTGGAACTCGCCAGTGCTGAATGTGGAGAAGCAGCAGTCTGTTTTGCTGCTCGCTGTCCCAAAGCCTGAAAATTGCAACCCAGCAATAAGGGGTATTAGAGGAAAGAGGAGGATGGTGTTTCTAAGGAGCTCCCTTCCTGAAGTCAGAGTTGATAAGTAATCGAGGAAGGTTTGGACTTCGGCAGTGTGTGCGGTCCCAGTGATGGTGGCATGGTGCTTTCCGTCAAGACTGCTCCACCATATACTGATCCAATTGCCACTCTGTGACAAGGATAATATGCAAACCTAGGAAAGGCCCAGCTCAGGCCATTGTTTCACCCACTCACCTATCCAAGGTTGTACATAGAGGTCATTGCCAATATTGCTCTGTCGTGCTATTTTATGCCTTGTGCACTCAGCAAGAAATGGGATCTGGTAAAGATCCTGTTTTCTGAAATTCCTTCAAAAAATAGAAGCTTTTCTATAGACAAGCCACATGTTGAAAATGTGTGATAAATGATTACTAGATCTATGCATGCCGAATAGCTTTAAGCAGGAAGATCCTCTTTGCCTTCCTCCTTGACCATGAAACAACGGTCCCTTAAGTCTTTTCACCTCTGCAATTTCATATGAACCTGGATATCTTCCAGAAGTTTTGTACTTTCTTCAAAGGCTAAAAATGTCTCACTGGCCTTGAAGTGTCCCTAGCAGCAATATAAATACAGGGATCATGATCAAGGGCTAACATCTGTCCAAGATTCAGAAGGGCTTACAGTGGCATCCCAATGAAAGGCTGCAAGCCAACCAGCTGTTCTGCTGCCTTCATTTTTGGTACTGTGTCATAATAATGGTGGCTGTCAACATGCACAAGCTTCCACACAGGATATGACTCAAGCTGAAGTAATTCTCCAGTGATTGGAGGGCTTTGTGTATGCCTCTATGTTCTGCTCCAGCTGGAATGATCAGATCCCTGACTGCATTCACCTCCTTTCCAGCTCCTCTGTCATGTCATTAGCTGTATTCATTGACACTGTATTCATTCCACCATAATCCTCATAACTGAGTTTACTGTCAGCCCGAATTTCACCTTGATAGATGAAATCATAAATGGCCATTTACAACCCAAAGATATTCCCTATCCTAAAGAGAGAAACTTACTCTAGTTTCTGACCAAACAGAGAGCATTACAAAGGAGAATGACATTCCTAAACCAGCAAACCTTGCAGGAAAATTTGGTTGAACTTGAGATTATGTGAGGATAAGCAGATTTACCCTCTACTGCTTCAGGTGGTAAGAGCCAAATCTTCAACTCCTCGCAGACCACACAACATAATGTGCCTTCATCTGAGCATCTGTTTTTTGCTTTCAGAACAGAAACAGGTCCATTGCTGATCAATAGTCATGTTTCCTATTGTTTGCTGGTATGGCTACTCCTGTTGTCTTACTTCTTGACTTGCAGAGGATTTATCAGCCAATCCAGAGATGAGAAAATATGCATGGGTTGCAAAAGAGGTATGTACCTTCCTTTACACATGACTGAACTTTATGTAGAACAATTTACGTACTGCTTAGAACATACTGGGCAGGTGATGGCTGCTAAAAGAAGTGCCCCAGTATTTTGTGTAAGTAATTAAAACAGTGAAACTGTGTTTCACAGAAAACAATGCAATCCTATGTCTATTTCCTCAGAAGTAAGCCTTACTACATATCTTCAACTGAACTTAGTTTTCGGAAGTTAGATCAGATTGCTGCTTAAATGTAAATAAACTTACACTCAGTGATATCTGTAAATTTTAAATCATTCTAATTATCTGGCACAAACATTACAATGGAATGTTTATTCGGAGAGGCAGTAGAAAGGATTGAGCATAGCCAGGGAAATCAGGATAAAAAGTCAGGTTATTGCATCTGAATAATTTTCAGAGTGACTGGGCTAGTCTATTGCTACAAAAACAGCCATGTGGCACCTTAAGGACTAATATATTTCTAGTCCAAGCTATCATGAGTTATAGCCAACTTCATCAAACGCATCTCAATGAGAATGTTCATTTATCCCTGCCCTATTCCTTTGCAGGAAAATTACTCATCTATTTGGTATTTTGTTTACTGTCATTAGGCACAGTTCTTCATGCAACCATTTCTATATTTTCAAATGAGCTTCTGCAACAATTATAAACCCCCTCTTATGTTCATTCAAAAGAATAATAAATGATTCTCTGCACTGCTTCTCTCTCCAATGGTGATGTCAAATAAGCAACTCTAATACAGGTCTGAACATACAGAAAGTGGAAAAGACACATTTAAGAGTAAGATAATTTCTGGCATAAAATGAAGCAAAGAGCCTCTTTTTTGGTCAAAAAAAAAAAGTTTTTAAAGCACTCATATTTTTAGAAACCATGTTAAAATATAATAGACTGCTTTTAATCTCCAAATAAGTTCCATTTAGTCAAGTAGCTTTGTTGCCAGAAGTGGCCAGCTGAATGCTTCTGTAAGCTCAAAAGAATGGCATGACATTTCCTTCAGGAATGGATAGTGACAATTCATTAGCTAGTACACAGTTGATCAGTTGCATGTTCAAGGTATTCCAGCTCCAAAGAAACCAGCTTTTTTTCCTACTTAAAAAACACTCCAGTAACCATATTGTTGGTTTTACCCACTAAAATTAATCTTGCAGTACTATAGGTATGATTCAGAATAGAAGTGGTAAATGCTTGTAGACCATTATGGTGCAATTTTTAATCCTGTTAGCATTCATTTTTATTCACTTAGATCATCTTGGTAACATCTTTACCAAACCATAAATTAATATATAAAATTGCAGCTGGTAATAGAAACTTCCAAGATCTATTTTTCCATCTTGCTATCTTAAAAAAGCACTTGGACATCACACATACAATCTTCTGGGTGATGTTACTAGGCAACAACAAAATAATGCATTAGATAGAGTTAGATCATTGAGCCCAAAGGAGCGCTTACGACTACCAGCAACTTTTGAGAAGAAAGTGACATGCAATTTCCCAAGATACCTAAGAATATTGTTCACACAGTTCCCCCATCCTGACTCTTTTCTTTGGCACTGATGTTAAATGGTTCTCCCCCCCCCCCCCCCCTCGGTGTGTATGCTTCTTGTAGAGGCACCAGCTAGTAGTCCAATTGCAGTGATGAATTGATATTCTTCCTTCCACTTAATGCTTTTTACCTACATTCCTGACTGCCACAGCTGCAAAGAGCTGTGTTTCCTCGTTTAAATACAGTGTGTGTCTGCCATTTCATTTAAAAGTATGCAAGATTCCCTAACACCCAGCACTGAGAACTAAACTCAGTGTGTGTGCTTACCTGTGTGTGTGTGTGGAGAGATAGAGAGTCTTAAGGTTACACGTGATGGACTGACAGAGACATTTCAAAACATATGCAGAATTGAAAGTCTTGAGTTCTACCCTAATCAAAGACACAGCTGTCATCTTTCTGTCTTTCTTTTTAATCCTTACATTTCAAGGTTGGATTGGAGTGTCTGACCACTTGTTTGTGGAAACTGAATCTGGTTCCCTCGTTCTTCTACACATGAAGGGGAAAGAGAATGGTGAGCCCAGATTAGATTGGTGATTGGACCTCTGTCAACCCACTTTTGCACATCAAAAACACCTTAAATGCATTAAAACACATCAATGAACCACTACTTCAATGGCGGCTCTGGAGTAGAACAGAGCATTGAGAATCCAAAGTAGGTAGTTCCTCTTGATTCCTTTTGTCTTAACTCCAGACATGCTTGATAAGTCTCAAAACTGGCATCATCCATCACAAGATCTAAAACAGTGGAGCCATAATTGAATGCATTAACCCTCTTCATGTTGAACTGAAACATCCATCAGCCCTGCTCAGCTAGGGGAGAGTAGAAATTGCAGATCAACAACAACTAGAAGGGCAAGGCTGTGGTGGATGCAGATGGTCCCAGGTTCAATATTTGGTGCCTCCATTTAAAAAAAAAAAAAGGGGGGGGGGGGGGGGAAGGTAGCATAGAATCTGAAGCACTGCTACCATTTTGAAATAAGCGCTGCTGTCTTATTTCAAAACAAAGAATAAGACACATTCACATGCAAAGATAATGTCAGATTTTCTAAGTGGTTCTGTTCCTGAGTAATGGCTGCATGCAACATATCCATTAAGAACCTGCTGCAAGGATGTTGAGAGCATAGTTTGGGAGCACCCAGATAAAGATGCTCAAGACAGCTGTTAAAAGAACACAAATTTGCTTTAGTCCATTCTCATCTGTAAAGATTTCAGCTCATGATCTACTGAGCAATTCAGGCCTGTCCACCCTTATTAGCAAACTAGAAGAGCAGAAAGACAACCAGAAGTACATCTGATCTTCCCAAGGATCTTGTATTGGTCTACTCTTCAGTTAGTGTCAATGGAAATAAGGCAGAAGGCCTTACAGTATTGGGAGAGGGAATAATATGTAAGGAGTGTACAAATAGCATCCTGAGACCTAATGTGCTAAACATGAACACAGTATATGCCACTGTTCATTAATCAGAGTCAGGATGCTATTGAGGTATTGCTCAATATGCTACTGTGTATTATCTGTGTAATTATTTGTTTTATACTTTGCTTTTCATCCAAGGAGGAGGAGGAGGAGGAGCTGCTGCTGCTGATTTATTCATTACATTTCTATATCACTCATAGCTGAAACTCTCTGGGTAGTTCACAATTTTAAACCAGATTTCAACCAACCAGACCCTGCTTAGATTCTGAATTAGAAGGATAAGACACTCAAGGAGGCTAATAACAAGAGTCAAAAGTTTAAATAAAATTTAATCAAAACGATTATAAAATACATTAGAACAACTAAAAACACAATAAAAGAACATCTGGTGCCTTTCAGAATTTTGCAGGCAAAATTAAAGAGATCCATCCGCTCTCCTGCTCCCAGCGGGGTGGTGGATGCCATGATCCTATGTGCAAATACCAGTAGGATGCAAGAATATACATCAAGGGGCAATGGTTGGTCACTGCTCAAGCAACCTACTGTACCTTTAGAGAGCCTAGTGACTTATGAAACTATACTCCTTAATCAAAAGCAAGAGTCATATCTGAGACTCCTGTAATTATCTAGGGGGGAAAGTAGTCATGTTTGACAACTAAAACTAGTTTTGAGCTGGACAAAAAAGCAGCATATGTCATCCTGAGAGAGAACCCAGTTATTCATATTGCTGCATTTGAGACACCCCCTGCGCTCCATGATATGACAACATTTGCACTGGTGACCACTGAAACCGACAAACCTTGCCTTAATTCTTCTGTTCTAGAAAGGTGGGGTGGCTTAAGATGTAAAAATCCTAAGCACTAGCTGAAAAAAGAGAGATTTCTTCCTTTGTTGGAAAATCACATGTGAGGTATAAGGTGCAAATTTCACAGAAGAAAGAGCCAAGAAAGAGACATGTTAAACACTTGTATTTAGAAGTCAGTCATCTCGCACTCAAGGACAAAGCAGAAAAGCACACAGTTGATCGGTTTTCACTTTTAGCTTTTTGAAGGTTATGTCTCCAGGTAAAACTCAAAAAACTGCTAATGAACTGTATCCTCAGCTCTGCCACTGAGGCAATTCCCTGGTTTCATCAAAGCTGAAAAAAAATTGCAGAAGGCTCAAAACCAACAAAAACAAAGCTCAAATCTCCTGCTGCCCCCACAGCCTATTATTTTATCCTGTTGCTTTTAAATACAATCCCTGTGAGTTTTTAATACTAGAGAACTATAAAAGAACTAGCATTCTTTATTACAGTACTGGCCCAATTCTCATTATCTCTGCAAATAATCATTTTGTTTCGGTTTCACCATGAACTTCTGCTTGTCAGACAGGACTGCTGCTGACTACAAAAGTAACTCACTGCAGGACTCCCAATTTTATAGAAACTGGATCAAGAGTAATTAATTCAGGTGGTCAAAGAATTCTAATTCTGTGTAAGAGACAAATCAGAATATAAAACCAGGGGATTGTCAATCAGCTCTTGTAAGTTTTACTAGCTTTTAATTACAACATTAAAATGCATTTTAGATCAACAGAATTCAGTTTTTGCAATGTATGCAAAAGCAACTGATTTGAGTTAAAAAAAAAAAAACCTTATTTTCCAAAGAGAAATATATTTTGAAAGATTATGCAAATCAAGGCTAAGGTATTTTACAATTCATAATATTATTTTGGTAAGCACAATCAAGCATAAAAAGGAGCAAGAACCATATTATTAGATGGGAGGTAATCCAAAATAATTGTCCAAGGTGTATCCTTGCTCTCCAAAGGGCACTTCAGCCACTCTGCTGAGAGCTAAAACAGGTCTCCCTTCTTAGGGCTCATGTAGAGCCAGCAGTCATTAAACATTGGGATAGAAACATCTCCACTTGTCCCTCTTTGTCACATCACAAATCATTTGATCTGTTATTTTCAAGATTCCAAACAGTCAGAATTTCTTAACTCCAGCATCTATAGATATGCTATCCTTGATGATTAGCCTAGAGACTAATATTTTATCTGCTATGCATGTCTTGCCTCTGAGAAAATAGTATTGCTGTTATCAGACTTTGATGCACATGTGTCATATAGAGTCTCTTTCCCTTCTCAGTCAAGAAGATCTAGGGAGGTATTGAAGTGGTTAGTTTCTTGATGCATGGCCAGTCCATTTTTACATTCTTTTTCTTTTTTAAACTATTCTATTCTTAATTCACTTGTTATATCAGTTTATCAGTTTAAAGGTTTTGTTAATTGCATTTTATGGCAATGTAAATTTGTAATGTCCTATGGCTTAATACAATAAACCTATTACAATTACCTGCATTATTAATATAGATATTAAGAACTTTTGAAAATGAACTAGAAGTGATTCTGTTAATACACTATTATTAATGGAAAGTAGGAGACTTGGGCGTCTCCGGGTGAGTGTCCTGGCCACTGTGCCAGCAAACAGCCAGCATGCTCGTCTTGTGCAAAGTCTCCCCAAGCACAACACACATACAGCCATTTCAGAGAAGCCACTCTGACAAAGTGCAGCAACCAGACAGGGGTGCCCAGTGTCCTTGTCTCCAGGGTCTCTGCTGCTGGAGATGGTGCTGGATGAGACCCTTCTGCTGCTGCGCCAGAGCTGCAGATGGGCACTGAGAAGGCAGTGTGTGGACAAAGAAAATCAGCGATACAAGGCAGTCCATCAGATAGTTCCTAGGTAGAACAGGGCAGCCAAAACTGAAGGCTGGGGTCTCTGCTGCTGTGGTCACACTTGCCACAAAACTTGATGGCAGAGATGAGGAAAAATATTGTAACTGAATTCACACAGGACCACAAGCAATGCTGAAATGTGGAAACTTCAGAACAGACCATTGATTCTCCATGTGGATTCAAGGTAACCAAACATGCCATGCTTCACCATGTTGCTGAGTATCTGCCATGGCTTGCTGTTATATGTGAACACAGCCTTTGAGATCTTGCTAATACTTTTCAGCACCACAGGGGCTGGCTTTAGGATGACTAATATTCCAACTATTTACAACTCCATTTCAAGATTCTTTTCCTCTGCATAAGACAATAACAAATATAATGAATATGTATGAATGGAGCTGTACAAATTCACATTTAAAAAACCTCACAAATGTGAACAGAAAGTATGAAATGTACTTACTGAATACTTAACTGAAAGAACATGTGGCTGACATTCCTCTCGAAACAGGGTCTCCACTGGGTGTCTTTGTCAAATAGCAAGCTGCTCCAGCAGATGGGCAAAATGGAGTGAGCAGGACATGCTGGGGAGTTTTTCTGCTCAAGTTCAAGAGGGTCAGTGTGTCAATTATGAGAAGAAAGGAGGGGCTGGGGGGGTCACATGGAAGGGTTTCTAGGCAGGAATAAGAGGAAATGCATGGACTCATTGTGCTTGGACTGTGGTCAAACCCACTCCGAGAACTCATATTGGTTTTCTCCCTAGTTTAATGGATAACTAAATATATGGTATATATTAAATTTAATAACTATATTCTGGACACTTTAATGTACTGTATACAAATATAAGTCATTGTGTGGTCCCCAGGTTGTGTTGACATCCTCATGCAGCCTTTGAAGTATGAAAGACTGGATCACCCTGACATATAGCAAGAGCTGTACACATATATTATTCTACATAGTATAACTAATCACCAGTAACTCTTGTGACTTGTGTAAATATAATTTATTAACAGCAACTTGAAAGCATAATATTCATGGGAAATTCATTGGCCTTAATGAGGCTCATTCCTTAGAAATAGTTCTCTGGACTGCACTGTTAAGGACTTGTAAAGTAATTCTTTTCATATGAGGGGTATTGAAGGTTCTGTGGTAGATGATCTACCAGTTTCAGAGCCTTGTTGGCTCACCATCCAGAGTTGCAGTAGTGATTCAATTCTCTACTTTTTGTTGTCATCTTTTAAATAATGGAAACAATGGAACTTTGGTGATGAATCTGGGATATCATGAAGCAGTAAGGGTTCTGCTTGTGGACTCAATGGATCTAAAGTGACTTCCACTTACCTCCACTCAAGCCCTACACCTGCTGTTATTCTCACACCTACAGAGATTTCCATGAGTGTACAGGAGGCCTCCAGGCTGGATGCACTGTCCCTACACAAGCAAAACTTCTCGCCAGGACATCCTAAATCCTTCAGTAGCCTTTTTGGAGGGTTGGGGTTAAATCAATACACATCAGGACCGCTCTCTCTATTATTTGAATGAAAACAAATATGGTAATGCTGGAATAAGTCATGACAGTATTTTTTTCAATTTGTGTAATTTCCTATTTTGCATTATGTTTCTGCAATGACATTTGTAACAAAACTTCAAAAAGTTCCATACACTCTTTCAAAATGTACAGAAGTCCAAACTTTTTGCTGTGTAAAATTTTATTTTCTTACTTTACTATATTGACAATTTTATGCACAAATATTTTAGAGTAAAAATAGAAAATAATTGTTTCATGTAAAATTACCAAAAAGTTCAACGCAAAAAGAAATACATAATTAGCAGAGTATGTGTCCTTAAAGAGTAAAAATGTATGCAAAACCCCTCCATTTTACAAAAATTTGGGAATATACCATCTGTACTTTTCTTCTGACAGTCACACAATGCCATTTGACATACAATAATGCATACCGTCTTACTGAAGACTTCAAATTTGTCACAGATTGTGCCCAATAAATCTGACAAATATATCATGGCTAGATGCAGACACAGTTCTGTTTAGAATATATCCACTGAAACTGATGAGATTTCAGTTAGTCTTGACTAAGTTGTCCTATTGATTTCAGTGGGTCTGCTCTGAGCATGAGTATGTCTGAATCCAACCCAATATTTTTAAGCACACCAGTAATCTATAAATGGGAAAATATTACAAGTGCAGCAAACTTACAAAGGAAATATAATGAAAATTTAAAACAGAAAACAGATCCAATGAATATATAAAGGAAAGGCCATGTGCCATGTTTCCTAATATGGCTTATTCTATTATGTGCATAGCTGGTATTATATGTATGATAGCATTAATAAATGTAATTTGCAATCACCCTAGTCTGCCAAAAGTTTACAGACTTCTACAAGGAAATGTTAAATGCATGGTGCATTTCAGAACACATCTTAAAGAGGCCAATGTGAACTAATAATTTAGTTGTGTTGCTTATCTTAGCACTGCACAAACAGTAATTTTCTGGTTCATACTTTTGTCTGCCACCCCTCTGGCCTTTTGCTATAAAACAATGGCTCCTGCTATGCATAGAAGAGTTCAAATTCTTGATGTATGATTCAAGTGAGCTTTTCTTTTACCATAATTATCCTTGAGGCTTGAACAGAAATCTTAATCAATGTGAATAACAGAAAGAAATAGCAGGCAAAATAAATTGCAATCCTGTGTTCCATGAAATACAATGCATTCTCACTGGAGACAATGGACTTAACTGGACAAATCATTGCCATCCAAAATATGAAATGTTTTACCTAAAATGTTATTTAAATACCACAATATGCTCCTCTAATTTTTTCAAGTAGCCTGGAAACAAGCTAGCATAGTTAGGACTATGGAAGTCAGTAGAGCCTTTAATACATTTGTAGTTTAATGTTCCCACTTCTTATGCTTATAATTAAAATTGTAAGCACTGATGATGAACTCTTCATTTGGTCATAAAGGATGAAGATTCTGTTTAACCTTTGCAAGTTCACTAATAGTTAAGTGGTATTTATAGTTTGTTTCTTCTGTTAGTTATGATGATTCAGTGAGAAGCCTGCATGCATCCAGGACATATTTACACCACACAAGTGTAAGGTGAAAAAATGAATATATATCCATTAATGTGCTTTCCAGATTTTATAAGGGACTATAAATATCCTTATAGAGCCAAAGAAAGCACTAGGATTTGTATACTTGGATTTAAACTGGAAATAACTTTGGAGCAATGTTTGGGATAAAGATAGTTACAGGTCTGACATAGGAAAAACCTTCTTAGGCTAGATCTGGGACTCTTGACCTCAGAGCCCCACTACTCTGCCCTTAAACCTGACAAAATTCCTTCTTTGCTCCAAAGATGGAAGACCATATTCAGAGACAGCACAGACTGCCTGCACATTCTCAAAGAAGGGGAGACTGAAGCACTGTCATCCTCCAAAGGACACAGTGCCTCAGCCTCTGCTCCTCATTAAGTGTGGGGGTATATGTTTTTGAATACAAGGGGAGTTACAGGGAGAATCCTAGGTTCTGCATTCCTCTTGGCCTCCACTGGATACCTGTAATCCACCAAGTTTGGAGGATTATTGGCAGCTCCACTGGATAGTGCCCCAAAGGTACTAAACTATGTCTGAATACACACTCTTTTATTTCCAAAGCACCAAAATAACCACTTGGAAACCAAGTAATTTAAAGAAAGAAATTGCATTTTTCTTTATTTTAATACAGTAGTCTATAACATAGGGAAGTCAAACTTCATATTTTTTATCAATTTAGCTTCAGATTATGTTTTGTTCCTCAACAGGAAGGGATTTGTCTCTGTGATTAACTTAAGTCTTCAGTTCAAAGTCAACTACAGTGCAAGTATAAACAGAATCAGCTGATATACTCTGCAGTGTAGATTACATAAAAGCAAAACCTATTCTTTGGATGAGAGACAGCATTTCAAGTTTTTTATCTCCTAAAAGGAAAAATGCAGAAAACCTCTCTGTTCCAGACATTAAGCTCAGCAAGGTCTCTCAAGATAGTCAAGCACTTTCCCTCAAATTCACACATTTTATATTATATCAAAATAGTCATAATTGGTTTTTGACCTCACTGGCTTAAACTTGTATCTCTCTCTTCAGCAGCTGTCTGCAGTTCTGCTTATATTATAATTCATTTGCTAATGAAGACAGAGATCACTTTTGGAGCATGGTACTTTTCAGTGTGTTTCTTACAGCCTGGCATGCTTACATAATAATGAGCATGGCTAAGAGAAGCTGCTCTATCTCTAGGAATATATTACATTTCATCTGGTAGCTTAAGAATAGAAGTGCAGAGAAATAAACTAATAACTGGTTTATGTTGTGTAAATGTTTTGCTCTCTTAAAACGCTGGAAAATTCCTCAGGAGGGCATGACATGGCACCAAAGTTAGTTTTTCTTACCAATTCCAGACTACTTGCCTTGTCTTCATGTTGAAGAATCTGTGGAGCGCCCTTAACATACATGAAATATATTTAAGTGAAAAAAGATCCAAATGTATGGGAGCCTCAGTTCTCTGTAGAAAAACCATGCATCATATTGTACTGCCAAGGAATAAAACTAGCTCCCATTTTAAGACCAGAAACTGCTCAGTATACAAGAAAGGCCTCGTGCTTCCAAGCTTTTAGGTCCTAGAACTTAGTTATCTTTTTCTGTTTGCAGAGATGCCGTAGCCAGTGCAACTGCTGTGACTGGTTGTGCAATGCCATGGAGCTGCATCTTTGCAAGTTTCTTTTGTTCACACTCTGTGACTAACCGATTCAGCTCTGCTGCACTATACCCAATGAGAGTCTTCAAGTCACAGACAAACTTGTACACAAACCTCTTGCCTTGGACTTTGCAGATCATGTCTCCATCATAGTAATACCTTCATTGTGAAATAAAAGGAAATAGAAAAAAATCCTTTCAAACTGAGATTGACTGATACAGTCAGAAAAGTGTTATGTCACAAACAACTTAAGTGAGATTTATTGGTGTATGGCAGCCAATGGGATATCGAGGGGAGCTTAATGCAGGAAATTCACTATATTTCATTACCCTAAAATTTCATATTCCCTAACTTCTGTATTACAGACAATATAAGCTAATGATTCCAGCACATTTGGAAACATTTGGAAGTAACACAATGACAAGTTATCCTGTCGTATGCAGTTTCTGAGTGAATACATTTAGAAATGGAATTATGCTTTTTGAGTATTTAGCCCCCAACCTCACTGACAGATAGAATTCAGACATATGAAAAAAGAAAACAAAAAATTTCAAAAACTACCTGTTGCATACAATCTGGTATGTTCAACCATGAAGAAATGTAATCTGGTATGTGGCATTTCAGGGCACCCACTCCTTATTTTATTGAAGAAGCTAGGAGACCCACTATGACATTGCAGTTAGGAGAGCTGGATTAAGACTGGTGAAACCTAGTTCTATTCCTCCCTCTACCATAAGACTCACTGGATGACTTTGGGACAGCCCCTCAGTTGTGGCAATGGTAAATCATGTGAGTTCTTTAGAAGATAGGTGGGATATAAATTTAACAAGCCCCTCATGTCTCTTATTCTTTTGAATTTGGGAGTCAGTTCTGTGCTTATTATAATTTCTGGGACAATTAAGGAATAATGAACCTGAAGTGCTATGCGTCAGAGTGATCCTCCCAAATGCTGTTTAAAGTTGTAAGTTACTAGTCATATCATATCATATACTTAGCCCAAACCTGTTCTGTCCATTGTATACTCAGTTTACTCTGTATCAATATAAAAATCTACCAGATAAAGATGAGCTGAGAGCTTTAAACATGTTTTCCCAAATAGAACTTTGTGACTTAGCAAAACAGTTTTCTAAATCTAAGGTATCACTTTCCACAAAATTCAAATGATTCTATTTTGGGGATCATTTTGGCCCCAACTGAGAAAGTCTCCTACTGTGCTGCATTATGATCCATTCTGTACAATATGCAAAGGTGCCATACTTACTCATATGTTGTTGTACTTGAGGACTGAGGTTAACAGCACTCATATATCTCTAAAACTGACCACAGTTTATATGTGGATTCCTAAATCCTCACATATTCCATGTTTACTGAGTCCACATGTCACAATAACCCCTGAATGCACAATGTAGATGATGTTTACATGAACATCATAAGTAAATGTATAGTTCTGGTCACCACATCAGAAAAAAATATTAACCATTCCACCAGCTAGGGATGGAAAGATCAGACTATTTCTATTCCATGCCAATACTGCATCTTTACACTAGCAAGTCCATTCTATTATGTTTATGCATTAATATAAGATTTCCAAAAACAACCTGGATATAAATGTGCATGTAAACACATAAACATTTTCTCACAAAATACACATTTGTAAACTCAGCAACTGCTGTATGCAAGCATGCTATCCCTGGTAAAGGAAGTAGCAAATATCCAGCAAGGCTAGTAGCCACTAGTAGACATCTCCTCCAGTTCCAGTTTTTGTAGCCGCTTCTCACAGGGGAATTGCTCCATTTTTGTTGCTTTTCTCTGCTTTATGTGCTTCCTTAATTCTTTCAGGCAATTTCCCCAGAATAGATACTAACCAGCCTGTAATTCCCTGAATCCCTTTTTAAAAAAACGTTGCACTGTGTTACATTGGCCATTCTCTAAGTCAGCGACATATAAAATCTTTTGGTTAGAAGATCAGAACCTTCGTATTTGAGTTCTTTAAGAACTCTAGGATGGATATCATCTGGGCTGATTTACTGACTTTCAGTTTGTCAATAAGATTGAGAATTTTGTTCAAGAATCCTTAATTTCTCTAACTCCCTTCCATAATACACACACACACACACACCAGTATCTGCTCCGCTTCCACTGCTGCAAAAACTGCTAAGAAAATTTCATTCAGCTCCTCTGTAATCTTCTGATCCTCTGTCAGTATTCCTTTAATTCCATTATTAACTATTATTATAGTCCAACTGCTATTTTAGCTAGCTTCCTTCTACTGATTTAAGAATTCTTTATTGTTGGCCTTGTTGTTAGCCATATGCTTGTAAAGCTTCATTACTTCTCCTATTGTCTGCTTCCATTTCCCTTGTGCAAGCTTGGGGTCTCTTTTGGTTCCATCCACCACACACCATTCATTCATTCATTCATTCATTCATTCATTCATTCATTCATTATTAGTATATTTCTAATCCATCCAATACAAAACGTCTCTGGACTGCTTACAGAGTAATAAATATCCAACAAATACAATTGCAAGATAAAACGTGACTGAGGATAAATAAAATCTGAATTAAAAATTTTAAACTTTAAAATATTGGGTGAATAAAAAGGTTTTCACATTTGTGAAAAGTATCTTGTGTATTTCAAGAGGTAACAACACCAATCTCAAGTCCAAGTTGAACAAAATATGGAAAAGTCAAGGCATGTGGGTGAATACTTCTGCAAAGCACTGTATATATAGGTCTTTGTGTGTACTATTTGTGTGTTTTGTAAATAAATGTTTTCATAAGAAGTGTGATGAAAATACTTAAAGTAACTAATAATTGTATTCTTAACTTACCGTAAAGCACGACTGAGCTTCTCATAGTTCATTGTTGGTTTATTTTTACGTTGACCCCATTTCTGTGCAACAAGCTCTGGCTGGTTTAGTTTGAATTCTCCTTCATCACCAACCCAAGAAATGCAGTCTCGGGCATCTTTATCGGTCAGAAGCTCCAACAGAAACTGCCATAACTGAATCTGGCCGTTGTTGCCTATTGAGAAAGAAATAATTGAAATTCATACAGAAAACAAGCTTTTAGTCTAATAACCCTAATGTGCACAGTAGATTTATATCACTAAAAAGATGTGTTTAGCTCTGTTCTATCACAACACAATCCAAATGTAACAGAAGCATACATTTTAACGGCCAACTAAAATATCACAAGAAGGTAAGAATAAAATGAATCTTATGAAAATCTATAATCAATACTACTATATTCCAATTCTATATTAAAATTTTATCCTAATAAAATTACTCATTTTTATTGCCCAGCAAGCAAAGTACTTACACTTTAAACATCTACCCTTTGAAGGTGCATATGGATCAAGAACATTCTTAACAAACCTGCCCAAATATAAATGTTTACTGGGAACTCCTGCAGAATTTTGAGTAAGTTTGTTTAGGATTGTTCACTTCAATCTAAGATCCCTTTAGAGACAACCACTAAGATATGCAGATCAAGCATAATTTCACGGTTGGCACATAAAACGGCAAGACATACTTTCTGACATATTAAAATAAATTAGCAATAAATAATAAAAACCACAAGGATGACAATAAAATGTATTGGCTGTGTATTGTACAAGAGAGAATACTGAAATATTTAATTTCATCAACTAGATGACACTATGAAATGGTCAAATAAAGAACAGTAGTAATTTAAGGCAGAGTATTAACATGTGTTCTTTACACGATAGTGCACCACATAAAATGAGTACTTCACATTTTTGAATTTTTTTCAGAGAAGTTCAGTGGCTTGTTCCCTTCCCCACCAGTTATTCTGGAGTTCCCATTTTTCTCTCCAGATAATTTTAATGGAGCCCCTAGGATTGTGATGATCCCCCAGAATATGGTCATTTCTGTTTGTCATACTTCTTGTGTTTGACATTCACTTAGGAGGCAAACTGAGCCATGTGGAAGTCTGCAAATGCTCATGGAACTCCTGTTGTGCAGCCCAGCAATCTTGCTCCACGGCACATGCAGTACAAACAAAACCCACAAGTTACATATATGGAAGAGTAAACATTTGTGCAGCGTTTATACAGGTTCAATTCCTGGCAAGTACCTGTATGAATGCTCAGAGCAAATGCTCAGCCCCAAGTCTAACTCCAATGGAATCCCACCCCAATGCGAATTCACCACACATCCCTAGTCTTCCCCCAACACAACATATTGTAAGAAAGCATTAGTTACAATCCAAATAAAACTGATCCTTTTCTGTTTTACAGACAAGTTTTACAATTTGTCCTATGAATGGAAATATATAATGTGTGAATATGTATAAAAAATTGCTTTTTTGAGAAACTACCTGTTCTGTTACCAGGTGAGCTTCTATCTTCTCCTGAAATCCTTGGTGCTCTCTGCACTTTTGCTGCCTTTGCACTACTGTTTATGACTTTAATGGTGGTTGGCGTGGAAGGCTGTACAGATGCTGGAATAATTTGCACAGCTGCATTGGAAAAAATAGCATACAACAACATTGTTAATGGGTGTTACAACCACATTGCTGAAATTGTTATTTTAGACTATAATACAGAACCCCTGAAGTTGTTACAAATGTTTGATGTGGAATACAATGTTCTGCTTGAAATACTGTAGTTAAAAACTTGAGAAGATGAAGTTTGGTTGATTATACTCTGAATTCTAGCCCTTAAACCTTACTATATTTAACACAATAAATTGAACTAAACTGGAAATAGAATCTTCTTAACATATTAGCTATGAAAATATGTACAAAATTGTTTTATTCAGCTACTGCAAACCTAAAGACAATTTAATTTCCCACCATCATCCAAGGGAGAAAAGCTGTCTGACTACCACTCTATAATTTTTTGTGCTATTCATTACAACATCTCAAGAATCCCAGCATACTATCATACATTATGATTACTAGTAAGTATGATGCAGAAGAACCATTTATGGGCATAGCAAGCCTTTCAATTGAGCTACATAATATTAAAAAATCCTGAATAATTATAAAGTTTATACCAACTTATAGGATTATGTACAGTTGCACAAATATAGTGCAAAAAGTGCAGAAAAACTTCCCCAAGTGCAGGCATGTCATAACTTTTTCAATAAAGTAGAAGGCTGTGGGTGCCTTTGAAATGTCACTTTACTTGGCCATTTCTGCCCAGTAGTTATCTCAGCTCTCAAACTGTTGGTACTGACTTTCATAGGGGAAACTTCAGTAGTCGGCTGTTAGATCATCTAGCAGTTAATTTAATGCTGAACAATGTTGGTCAACCACAAGTCCTGCAGTAGTAGTAGTAGAGGCATCAATAAGACCACTTGATTCAGTGGCAAAATGCCAGACCTAATGTTTCCTTAGAAAGAAATAGTTCTAAGTTCAATTCCATCTTTAAAAGTTTAGAATTCAGAATTACTAATTCAACAGTTTTGTGTGTGGCTCTTTCTGTTTTTTTGTCATGCCTCATGCATGACAGTTGAAAATATATTTTCTTAAAATACATGTAGTTCAACTTACGTTGATCTATAGTAACTGTGGCTATTTCTCCAGAATGTTCTTGGCTAGCCAACACATCTGCAATTATACAAGACATTCTTTCAACATAATTTATCTCATTAAGCTTTAGTGACACTGAATTTGAATAATAAGAGAAAACAAAGCTATCAAGTTATAAATAATGTAACTATATACAGATAAGTATAGATGGGAGAAAAGAGGAGAATAATGCAGACATTCATTTATCTCTCTGCATTTCCATAGTATTAACTTCCTAGGCATATTATTTGCTTATTTTATCTGGCCAGGGCGACTTATTTTGTACTGTTAATTTGTTTTATATTTTTAATGTATTATATTTTATGTTGTGAGCCACCCCGAGGTTTCGGCGAATGGGGCGGCATAGAAATGTTTTAAATAAATAAATAAATAAATAGGCAGTTCTATACATTATTTAAAGAAAATACTGGTGAGTCTCAGTAAATGCCTTCTAACCTCTAAATAGTATTTTAGATAAAATGCATTTTTATTTTTTCACAGCAAGCAGTAATGCACTGAAATCACATCAATAATTTTAGAATAACCAAATTTTGAATTATCAGGCTCTTTACATTATTCTGATTCAATCTTTAATCTTAGCAACAGTTCTTAACTTCTTAAAGACTAGAAACTGATACCTATATAGTCCTTACAATTTTTCACAATGATGTATATCTAGAACCACAAAGTGTCAGTAGCTTTTTGAACACTGTCTACCTGCATAGGTTGCTTAATAAGTAAAGCCTGTCATGATAAATACTCTATTTTAAAAATTAAGGTATCTGTTGAGAAGACTCACATTTTCGAAGAAGCTCCAGATGGCTCCAAAGAATTTCCCCCCGAGGAACCCGCTGGAAGAAGTCCTCTTGGCTGAGGCTACACAGTTCTCTCCCAGGAATGCTAAGAGTATTGAGGTCTATGTCTGTCATGCTGAACTCCTTCATCACCCACACTACCCAATGAAGTACCTGATCAGTTGACCACTGTACTGGGTCTAGGAAAGAAAAGAAACATCCTAGGTAATTTTTCAATAGTGCAACTGGCTATGCAACACTACTTTCAACAAAACATTCCTCTAAATAACAAGTTTTATCTTAAAAATCAAACAGATAGCAACTTTGTTTAGTTGAAGGCAATCAGAGCAAAATAAATAATTTCTAATTACTTAAGCTCCGTATTTAATAGCTTAAATAACAAGCCATTAAAATTAGCTTTATTATGATAAACATTTTTATGGATATTGGGTGAAATTCATTGGCATGTTTTTGCCAATAAGAAGGCATCTATCAAGGAAAGAGATTTCACAGTCCCTGGTCCATGCCTGAAATCTGCTCTGGGATGTTAGAATACCCTCTGAAACAGACTTCAGTGAAGCATGTGGGGCTGTAGGGAAGAAGGTGAGGAAAAATTCTGTTGTTAGCTTTAGCCCACAACAAACGACCTAATCTACTTAACCCATAGTAGTTAGCTTATTACTATGATGTAATCTTCTAAGATTAATGACTGCACCACTGACTGAGCTGAACAATATTAACTTATGAAAATGCATTCTAAGACACCACACTAAACAATTCTTCAGTTTGATAAGGTTGCATAAAGCAAAGCTTCAGAATCCTCCTTCCATCATTGTACCATGCAAGAGGGTGCAGTTTACAGCTTCCACAATTTTGACTAAGCCACACTTTCTTTTAAAATCTGGATATGGTAAAAAAAAAATAACCTATCCAGCAAGTTAACTCATCAGAATCCAAAGCTACAATTTTAATCTTGTTTGTCTAAACTAATTCTAATAGTAGAGACAAATCATAGTATACCAAATTCAGATACACTGGAAAACTATAGCTTGTTCAAAACACTGACCAAACTTCTGATCAGACATAAAGGAGAAAATGGGAAAATTAGCAGCTAATCTGCTTTTACTTTGTAAATGAGAGATTATTCAGGACACAAAGCAGAACAATTAGCGTAAAGATGCTTTATTTTAATACAAAGTGATTTAGTTAATATACTGTAATAAAGGCTATAACTTTATCACTTATTTTGCCACTCATTAGTATTGTGATAAAACTTTATACTTTACTTTTCTAAAATCCAAGAGTGATTAATAAATCTGGCAACATCTGGTACCAGTCCTTCAATTAGCAGCACCCTAAACTTAATAAAGATTTCTGAACATTTCATATATTTCCTAATTCCACAAAACACAGCCAATGCCTTAACTCTACCCCTAACCCTTAATCCCTGAAAAACAAAGGGAAAAACAGTAGTTAACACAACTCCAATTTCCCCTAAAAACCATTACACATTTCATCTGAGAGTCTGCATACTGTAATTTGAGAATTTGAAAGTTTTTGTATGGAAGAGGTTTAGTTTTCCCCAGCCCACAATGCTCCATGCAAATACACCAAAAGCCTCCCAAGAGAAATACAGTTATTAACCTCAGCACAGATGGATGCAAGTGTTTCTACATCTTATAAGCAATTCTCTTAGTACTGATACTGAACTCATAGCATGAAACATCCACAGCTGAAACTGAATGTACACTCTAACTACCCATGTTCTTGTACTTTTTAACAAAAAACATCTAAGCAGAACTGTTTGCAAACTGAGGAGGGAACAGTGCATTTTTGCCACTGTATATAAATTCTTACCATAGGGTATTCCTAAGCGTTCTTGTTCTTTACGGTAACCTTCTAGTGCTGCAGCCCACCGAGTTACTTGTTCAGAAGTTTCATCAGACATGGTAGCAATATGTTTTGTTCCATCCAGTGTTATCACTTGAGCTTCTTCAACAAGGTGTGCCTCAGTTTCAGTATGGTGGGCATCTGGGTCAATCACTACTTCAACAGTTTCCACTGGCTTTACAATTTCAAGGATATTTAACTTTGGTTCTATTCCTGTACACAGAAGGGAAAATGAATGAGCAAAGAACAAAAGGAGCAACTTAGAGAAAATGAAACACTATTTAACTGTTCTATCACAGGGCAATATAGTGTAACAGGTGTGGTCAAACCAAGGGTTGGGAGCTACATGCAGCTCTTTCTGTTTATTTTGTGGCTTGCCACCCACCACTGCTGCCCACAGCTGATCGCTTCTGGCCCACAGTTGCTCACTTGCGGCTCTCGTGCATCTGACATTTATTATATGTGGCTCTGCCATGCAATATATTGTACAAGGTTGTAGATCCAGGATCACCCTTCTACAATAGGATATCCTTCTGTCTGATTTTTGGGGATTCTCCCTCCCACCCACAGCTCAGCTTACCCCACCGAGCAGGGTTTCCTGGCTCTGAGTAATATTTTTCAAGGAGTCAGAGTTGCTACTTAGAAGAGCATGGACAGAATTCTACTTCACAGCCCAGCCACTCACACTTAAATCTAGATCCAATACAAGACAATTAGAAATAATATCTGATCTTGCACCATTCTAATAAAAAGTTACTATACAGTCATAAACTATTTAGCTGCTCTGAACTACTTCATACTCCATGTACTTTAATAATTATGAGATCCACTGTCTAATCATGCCCCTCATCATTTTTATAAATTGTTTAACAGCTTATGACTGTTAAGAGAGCATCCATTCTATTGTCATTAGTTTTAAAATTTTAAACTAGCTTTAAAATATCACTAGTTTTAAAAGTACAGTACAGAAATGCTTTTATTATTAACTGTGATTAGGTGAAAATACCACTTAAAGAGAACTAGAATAAAGTTCTGGTTTTGTAGTCACTTTCCTATACATCACTGCATACACAAAACAAAGTGAATTACAAACCATATTCCATCTGCTAACTCAGCTATCACAGCTCTATTTTCTGTTTTGCCTTTAAGGCTTCCTGATAGCCCAGTGAGGATTGGTGGGTTTTATTTATTTGCTATTTGCATGTCATGTGTGTCATATATTTGTCTATGCTACCTGCCTATCTTTCTTTAGCTCTAGAGTGCCAGAGTTCCACAGTTGCTCAAGACATTATGTTCTTTCTGGACAAGATGCTGAATGGATGAAATGTCAAATTCAGGGAGAAAATTCAAATTCAAACGAGAATAATATTAACACTGTACAGTCCGATGTTGAAGCATTTTTAATGCAATACCAGTAAAATTCTTTAAATGTGGAAACTGAAGTAATTTTGAATTCTAACATATATTTACCAAGCTAGAACTTGGCTATGGAATTATGGGAGTGGTAGGACTTTTTCTGTCTAAGTATGCATAGAACTGCACACTTAATACTTCATAAATGACTTGTAACTGCAAAGTTTCAATTCCAAAACCCCTTCAATTATACATTACATTTCTTAATGATGTTCATGTTTCATTGTTATCCAATGACAAATTTCATGACAAATTTGTCAAATTGTTATCCAATGAAAAATTTCATGAAATAACTTACCTAGCTCACTACTCCCTATTCTATATGATTGTCTAGACTCAAATACCTAACATGTACTTTTGATTATGGCTTCATTAACAGTTACACATAACAAAATCAGATACAGGTTTAAATATCAAGCTAAATTGGTTATCAAGCCTTTCAAAACATTAAATGGAAATCAAATTCCCAGGCTTATCATTCTGATGCCCTCCCATGCTAACATTTATTATCAAAATTTCCACTGCAAATTAACAACAGTTTGTTGTAAATTGCATATTTATCCATATCCCTTAAGAAATTTATGAAAGTTATTACACTGGACATCTGTAACAAGCATTATTTGTCCAGATAAAGAAATATTAGTTTTGTTACCTTGTCTTGATATTACTTGGACACTAAGCTGCACTGTTCCATCTGTTTTGACACCTTGATCAAAGAGACTACGATCTGGATCCAGCTTTGTAATAAAATAAAATTTAGGAAAAATGGCAACAAAGAAATTGTTAATTAACAATCCAGGCATGACTTTAAAAACAAATCAACAATAAATTATTATTCCTATTTTTCAAGTTTAAGAACATCCTATACAGGGCTGGCGGATTAACAGAGGCATACTTCGCATTCTGTTCTTCTGCCCTACCTTTTTCTAGACCATTTTTAATATGTCCAATGACAGTGCTGAAAGACAGAGAGAGCGAAGATAGGTAGGCCACAAGATAACTCATATCCTGGCCCCTTGAGTTGCCTTCCTTCTCCTTTTCTCCTATCCCCTTGACAAGCCCATTTACTCCTCTTCAAGGTAACTTTCCCACTTTCAGAGAGCAACTGGCAAGGTTCGTGTGTCACGTACAACAGAATGCAATATAAGCACTCCATTTCCTTCTTCCAAGTCAAATATCTCTGACCTCATTAAATTACTTAATGCTAAATAATCATAACATTTATGATTATGTTCCATGAAACATCATATGCTAGATTTACATGCATATACTGACAAAGACATAGTATACCTAATGTGCTAGATTTACATGCATATGCTGATAAAGACAACTACATTAATGGCACACTATTCCAAATGATCATTAATAAAAACTATATCCCAAAATGTAATGAAATACAGGCCAAAAAAAAAAAAAAAAAAAGAAGGAACTCTACTCTGTAGACTCCATCCCTTGTACAAAAGCTTCAAACAATAGTGGTTTTACTTTACCTGTATATCCTGCAGACAGATTTCATGTGCTTCCAAAGAACACTGAAGTCTTGGTTCTAGCAGTTTCTTTAGATTCCCAACTGGTTCATTGATATCAATGGCTTGACTCACAAATTCTGCCGTAGTATATGTTTGTTCAACAATGCTAAAACAAAATCAAAAGGAATTTTCCACTGTATTTTAACAGAAAATGTCATTTGAATACTTTACTATTAAATGTTTCTGGTGTAGTATCCAGGTGACCCAGAGATGAGCTAAAAACTCATTTGAACGATTTTAAAAATAATTTTTGCACTTCCATCTAAAATCTGTGTGAAAAACCTGCTAAAAACGTCTACCGAGTAACATCACAATACAGAACAGAAATGCATGAGAAAGGATCCAGGGAGCATCTTATTTACTTTACTTTTAGAAACATATACTAAACTTTTACATTTTTAAAGAATAGTGTAGCTTGTGTAATTTATTTTGAGTTTCTGCTAGGTCATCTAATCACTTTCTTGCTGTAAAAAAATAAAGGGAAGGGAAACTCTTCTAAATTGAAATTATCTTAGTTTAGAAGGGCTCCCAGGACTTGGATCTTTGACAAATGCCAAATTATTCCCAATTGAGTAATCCTGCTGTAGACTCCATACTCTCATATAGAAATAAATTAATTTATACATGAGTTTGACAGAATGTTCTCCCATCCTTGCCATTGCTCCTGTTGGTGGGAATGATATTACCAGCAATGAGCGAGCTAGAAGGATGGGGATAAAAAAATCTTACTCATTGCTAGCTAAAAATAATTCAAAATGCAATTTCCCTTGGCAGGTAGAACTCCCCCCTCCCTCCACAAGCACAAAGGCCCTTTTCAGGTTATTAAGCTGAAGCATAATAACCTAAAAACAGTATTAAGTTATACTGTTTAATAGATTTACATCCTGATTTTTTACAGTGAACTCAAAGAGGACTACACCATACTCCTCATGTTACTCTCTGTCTTATCCCCACAACAACCATGTGAGGTAGGCTGGGCTGAGAGTCTGTGACTGGCCCAAAGTCACCCAGTTGGCTCCAAGTTGTTTTCACTTCCCTTCCTTAATCAGCTACAGCTATAAAATACATTTGAACACAGACACCTTTTATGTACCTTTCTTCAGTGCATTCTTGTTTCTCAGTTCCATCTATTTCAATTTCTATTAGTTCTTCTGCTTCTCTTTTAGTCATGGCTGAAATATTTCAAGAGGTAGCCTGAAAAATGAATAGTAACACAATACATAAATACAATAGGGATTTTGTAATTCACAGACATGTTCTCTGGCAAACATGTCATCCTGGTTCTATATTAGGCAAGAACTTACTACTGTCACATTGGTACCTTACTCTTTAAAACAGAAACTTCATATTTCAATTTTAATGATACCTATCAGCCATAATTTTCACTAATAAAACAGGAACTTACTTGAAGGTGAAATACTGATGTGGATTCATCATAAAATTTTGAATTTGGCTTTTTTTGTGAATATTATTTAAAAATTCTGTACTAAAAAAATTCAGGTGGCCTCAGAAAATGTTCTGATGCCATAGAGGGTTGATTTAAGATACATATTTATCCTACTTGAATTTCACAGCAAGGCTAATGAAATAGTATGCATTTTGAGGAGGGCAATATTCAGGTATTTGTCCTGAAGATCACACTATGATTTAAATACTGAATAATTTTAAAATAGGAATTGTTATAAACTTTTGGGGACAATAATATGCATTATCACATAAATTTTGGGAAAAGATACTAAAAACTGTTAATAGACTAATAAAATATGGTAACCCAAAAAAATGTGCAGATACGGACAACCATTCATCTGTTTCAGCAGAGTTCAATCCTCTTTCACTGAAACTATTTGGATGCCTTCGTTTTCACTGCCAATATTGATTAGTTCTCTTTCTTGCGGAAACACGTGCATTCTCTCACATAGTTGATAGGGATAATCACCTGAAAAGCCTTCATAACAACTTTAAAACTGCCCCCTTTCAATCAACAAAAGAAAATATGCAGAGAAAGAACAAGGCTCTATCTTTCCTATATTTATATCTTATTAGTATTATCAACCAGTGAGGAATACACTGAATTTGTAGACATAAAGATCCCAAGTTTCTACCTTGGCTGGTGCAGGGGCCAGCACTGCACGCTTCTTTGACGTAATGAAGGAATCACAATCTTTAATGAAGGTTTTTATACTGGGAAATATTTTTATATACTCTCAAACCATTTAAAATTGGTGTTAGGTATTAAAACACATGCTAAAGACATAGCAGCACATACATAAGCTTTTGACACGTTTTTGACAGGCCTACTACGACTGCACTAGCTGAGACTGAGACATCCCGATACGTAGAGTCTGACGTTAGGGCTGAAACATAAGCTGTCGAAGCGCCCTACAACCTTGACAGTCAGAAGAATCTGAAAATACATGTGGCATGACTGAAAGGCGGTAGATGAGAAAAACCCGCACAGGCCACTTCCACGTAGCCGGGCAGTCTCTGCTGCGCATAACGCTCTCGGGGTAAAAAATTTTTCCGGCTCCTTGATGAGGAGGCGAGTGCCAAGGTTGCTTGACTTTCGCCTGCGCTCCAGAGGCCTCGCTTTCGCCTGGTGGGAAGGAAGGCGAGACGAAGGCGAATGGGAGGGGGCTCCTTCCCGCTCCATTATTTGAGAGGAGAGACAAACGCTGCCACGCCGCGGAAGGAGCCTGGCGGGTGCGAGGAAAGGCATTCCCCTTCGCTCAGGCCTTCCTCTCCCGCCTGCCCGCGGCGGCGCCTCCTTGTTGTTTGAACTCGGAACGGAAATGAGACTCGCGCCGCGCGGGGCAGAAACGGAAACAAAACACAAGAAGCGAGGAGGCCACGAGACCCCCCTCCCCCCCGGATACAGCGCGAGGTGCTTCCCTCTCCCCCTCCCGCTCCCTTCCCTTCGAGCCGCGCGCCTCGGAGCTCGCGCCTGAAGACTCACCCGCCGCCGCCTCAGTCTCTGTCACAAAAACAAGCCAGCTCCTCTCCGCAAGTGCCCTCCGTTCTCCTTTTTTACTTTCCGGCCGTGGCGGCTGGTTCAACCCTCACAGAGGACCTTATCTCTTTCCTGACGGTCCCCGTCTAAGGTGGGGGAAAGGTGGACGCGCACACAGACTCGAGCAGCGAGGCCTGCGTGCGGGGCCCTGCCGGGGGAAAAGCGCACACACAATCCCCCCGTGTCGAAACAAAAACTACAACTCCCGGCATGCCTTTCGAAACGCACCACCTCCGGAGGAACACGCCTCCAAGAACCGCAAAAACACTTTTTGCTTTCCCAGTAGCTTACTTTTAAACCGGAAGTGGATCTCCATTTCCGGTGGGGCGGAAGGCGAAGTTACATTTCCCGAGGCTTTTACGGGTTTTCTATCTATCTTGAGGGCAGGGAAAAACAGTGTAAAGGAATCCGGAGTTACATAAGGCAAATCAGAAGCTAGAGGTGAGAGGCTGTTTAAACGAGCCTATAGGAGTGGCGGTTTAAAAAGCAAAACTCCCGAAGCCCATTGCGCTTGTGGAGGCGGGGCTTATTCTGCGACTACAGGTTCAAGGAAGGTGACCGCCAGTGCTGCTGGCTGAGTCTAGACGGGCGAGGACGGAGCGTTGCGGGAGGGTAAAGGAACAACCATTCTTACAGAACTAGCATTTCGACTTAGCTCAGGAGATCTAATCCTGTTTCTCTTTTCTGTTCTCGCCTCCCTTAGTTCGATACATGTTTTTCTTTCGTCTCTCCCTTCCCTTTTCTTCTTTCGGGCCTGTGGAATCTCACGGGGAAAACGTTATTAAACTTTAGCAGAGGTGATCAGATTGTCAAAGATAAACACGCTGTCTAGTGGCTTTTGGGCCAGGTCTCCAAGTTGTCGAGTGACAAGTTAAGGAATCGCAGTGAAGAATGGCTTTGTTATGTATTTTTACGAGATCTTCAAGGAATAAAGGATTTGTTCTTAGCGGTTGTATGGTATGACTGGGAACAACGGGACGGGACGACCCAGTGGTGGTTAGGAAGGGGAGACTGCAAAATGTCCAAGTGTGTACGACAGGGTGCTTTCCATTGTCACAACTATGTGTCCACTTGTTGTTTTTTTTCTTTTTGTGCCTAATGTGCGTTGTTACTTGAAAAGAGAGGGTAAGGCCAGAGGAGGATTCTATGCTACCGGAAAGATAAGTGACCATTTAAGAGAAGGAAAAGCAAGGAAGAAGAGCAGGAGAATTAAGTCTGTAGGGGTAGTCATTATGCCTGTGGAATGGTTCCAAGATGGTTTTAGTGGTGCAAGCCCTGGAAAGAATTTTGAACCAAGGTCCCTGTGGTGCAGCCTTGATTGTAACTCTTGCTTGGTGCTTTCTTCCCAACAGTTTTCAATATGTATCTGTCCTACCCCCAAAAAAGTCTGTCCCTGAAAAGAATCAAAATGTTTTTGAGCATAAGTAAAGTCATGACTGAACATTTAACAAAATGTATTGTTACATACTTAAGTGATTTCCTTCCAGTGGTGAAAACTTGCCAGCCTTTTCTAAAGCAGACTCGTTCTCATGGTCTACCTGAGAATTTTCAGTAGTTAACTTTAAACTGTCAAGTCTTTTGTCCTCCTTTGTCCTTCATTCTTCTCAGGATTGAATAAATCTCTGAGCAGACTACTGTGCAAGAAATCCCCCCCTAGGCAAAGAGGGAGCAGTTGAACTCTTTCAGAATAACAGTGGTCTTCTGCATTACCTCTATAGTAGGCAAAAGGAAAGCAGTCTGTTGCTGTCTTAATCTTCTTCATCCTTTCTGATTGAATTATATCCTGTACCACTAGTTATTCTGAGATATAATAATACTATATATTAAAACTTTAAAAGGAGCATGATAAAAAACCTCAATACATCTTATATCCACCAATCCCCCCAGATATAAAAGCTAATGTTTTAAAGCATGCTGAAGAATAGTCTTTTTCAGTTGTCTAAGGAATATTGAAATTGGTATGACAAGTTTAGCTTTGTAGTTCCTGCTTAAAAGACTCTGCTTCTTAGGGAGACCAGTCTGAGTCCCTGTGAACTAGAATGTGAAGAAGGGTCTCAACAGCAGATCTCAAACTATCAGGAGACTTGTATAGGAACGAGTGCTAAGCTGTCAGATGTAACTGATTTTTTGTCTTTCTAGCTGAAACTTCTGCAAACTCATCATGATCCTCCAACAGCTCTTCAAGTTTTCGTCCATTTTCCATTCAGCACTTTCAATCCACCTGCGTAGGAATATTGGCTTTTCAGCTATTGTGTTCAATAAAGCAAAGGAACTTGATCCTGTGCAAAAACTCTTCCTGGATAAAATCAGAGACTATAACACCAAGAGCCAGTAAGTGAATGGACGGATTGGTAGTAAACACAGAACTTCTATGCACCGGTCTTTGAGTATCCTGCTGGCAATTTGATTATTTATATTTTGCTATTGAATGTTGTTTCTTGCAAGTGCCTTTTGTAATATTTAAGTAGCAGTAATACTGAGTTGACTGTAGAATGTGTTGACAGGGTGGTTTACATTGTATATTGATCTATTGTTGGAAAGTCATTGAGTTATGTACCATGTGAGCCTATGGAGTAAATTTAGCTAAATTTTTAATTACAGAACTCAAGACTAAAAAGGCTTGGGGAAAACACATCCTCATTGTTTCAAAAATCACTGGTAAAAACAGGCTGTATATGTATACTGTTGCCTGGAAGCATATTTTCTAGATGGAGGCTCTGGACTCATCACATGGCGAGCTTTAGGACAGCAGTAGAGTAAGAAAAACAGAACTGGAGAGAGACTTTAATGTAGTTTTGTTCCCCGCCTTTGTATCTCTTAGTTATTCCTCTACTTTATGCTTTTATTGAATGGTACATTTTAATACAAGATGCCTTGTGGATTTTATATAAAAATACCTTATATAAAGGTATTTAACATGGTATAAATCTGTTAAATGTATATAAAAGCAAAATATTGCTGCATCAAGGAAATACTGCCTTGAATTAGTTTCTGCTAATTCTAAGATGAACAATACCAGATCAGACCAAGGATCTGTCTAATCGAGCGTTTTCTGCCCACAGGATCACATAAGCAGGATATGCCTAAAAGTGCACCCTATCATCCATGTTCCCCAGGAACTAGTTACATAGGCATACTGCCTCTAAACTGGAGGTTGCATATAGCCATCAGGTCTAGAATCCATTAATAGTGTTCTTATCAATGAATATGTCTAATCCCTTTTTAAAGCCATTAAAACTGATGGCCCTCACGACATCTTTCACAAGTGGATTCCATAGTTTAACTTTATGCTGTGTGAAGAAGTGCATCCTTTTATCTGTTTTGAATCTCAAGAGAGAAATTTATCCCAGTCCACTTTCTCCCCACCATGCATAATTCTGTGTATTCCCTATTCACCCTGTTTCTAAGCTAATTCCGCATAGGAGAGCTGCCCCAGTGCCTTGATTGTGATTGTGACTGGCAATTCTGGTTGCAGCTTATATCTGAAAACCACTAATTAAGGAGCATGAGGAGCTGTCCCCCTGGAATGCCTGAAGTCTGCTCTCAGCTCTTTCTGCTTTTTTCAGGGATAAGCTCTAACCTACTGACTACTGGTATATGCCCTTTTTTCAACTCTACAATATCAATTCTTAGGTGCAGTGACCAGAACTGTACACATTATTCTAAGTTTGTTTGCCCCATATATTTGTATAAGGGCAGTGTGAGATTGACAGTTTTATTTTAAATTTCCTAATTATCCCTAATAGGGGGCTTGTCTTTTTCACAGCAGTTGCACACTGGATTGAGTTCTGGTCAGTCACTGCTAAATCCAGTCCCATCAATTCATAGTTGAATTTGGGATTTTTTGCCCTGTGTACATGACTTTGCACTTGCTCACACAGAACCTTATATACCAGTTTGACACCCTTGTTCCAGTTTGGAGATATCTTTTTGGAGCTTTTCACAATTTTTTTTTGTTTTTGTTTTAACCAGCCTAAATAATTTGGTGGCCTTAACAAACTTAGCCACTTCACGGCTCACACCTATTTCCATATCATTTGTGAAGAAGATGGAAACATTGGTCCCCATTCAGGTCCCTGGGGGACCCCACAGGTTACATCCTAAGCTTGGGAGAAATATGTTCTGACACAAAAAGAAATCTTTCTATAAACAGCTTAGGTCTGGTCATTTTATGCTGCAGTTCAGGTCCATAATTGATAAGTGAACTGATGTTAAAATAGACAATTTGTGTGGTATGTATTATATTTCTACTGGTTTCTTGCATTTATTCACCTAGGCTCCCAGCAATAGAATACTTTGCCTGGTGATCATTAGGCAAAACCCCCTGTCATTTCGGTACAACAGCTCATCTTCTAAATGCAGCATTAAGAATTTATTTTCTCTCCACCCCTACACAGAAGTACTTGAATAAAACACCCCCCCCCATCATTCTTTTGTCTTTACAAATGTACTAATGTCAGAAGGTTCTTCTGCAAAGGAAAATAGCTGGCCTACTGCTTCCGTTCACTTGTGAGGAACAGTTTTTGCTTTGTCTGTTTCAGGCTTCCACCATAGAAAGTGTGCGGATGGGGATGGGATCTCTTTTCCTATTGCTGTAAACTGGAATAAATTATCCCATAGCTTATATGAATCCATGAAATGGTCTGGCAGGTATACATATGGCATGCAATGACATGTTCCCAATATCTGCTGCTGGAACCATTGTCAGTTTATGAAACATAATATAGTCTAAACATAGGTTTGTTCTAGCATACCCATGTTTATATCTGCACTTCACCTGAGAATGTTGACGTTTAAGTTTTACAGTTTGCTGTATGGTATTAGCTTCCCAAGTATCCTAAAATAAGGCTGAGGTAACTGTGTTTGTGGCCTAAGGTTAGATTAAGGTTGAGTGAAGTTTTGAACCTAGGTATCCCAGAACTAAGTCAAGCTTTCTAGCATCTATGTTGTCCTGGTTCTTATCTATGGTCTCACTTGTTATTTCTTAGTTAAAATTCTTAAGATTATTTTAAAACATATAATAAAAATGCAAATCATGTAGTGTGAAAGCTGTTATCGGCATCTCTTTAAGACTTTGGACTAATTAATGCAGAATATCAGTTGAATAAATAAAAAAGATCCTGAACTGTGCACTCATTGTTTGCACAAGTTCCTTGACATATTAATCCATTGATTTAGATACTTGATAACCAGAATCTTACAGCAATAAACTTTTCAGGTGTTCCTGCTGTTTTAAAAATAGTACTTGACACATGAATTCTTGCCTTTGTAGAAAAATTGGTGGCCCTGTTGATGCTGGCCCAGAATATGAGAAAAACCTTAGTGAACAAATTACCAGGCTTCAACGGTTATATGGCGGTGGAGACTTAACCAAATTTCCAGACTTCAAGTTTGAAGGTGAGTGTTTAGGGATTTGCTCATTCATTTTAATCATGTGTGAGTATGGAGAGTTGATAGAAATCAGTGTTCTGAATTTTATGGACTGTTTTAGACAGTAATCCATGGGTTATCAAATCCAGTGTTAGCACACTACAGAGGGGATCCAGGTGTACAGGATCTGCTTTAACGTCTTGATGTAGTAGTTTCAATGTGTGTGGTAAATAGGACCAAACAAAACTCAAGTGGACAAAAACTGGTATTTATTAGTTGTGTAAGTATTCGCTTGCCTGAGTCAATTCTTGGCAGAATAATCTTTGATAGCAATGACAGCTCCAAGTTGTCTGAAGTTTCTATAGGTTTGTGTTTCTGGGTTTACCAGTGCATACCCATTATATCTGGCAAAACTGCTACAGCTCTGTCAAATTGGATGGGGAAGATTGGTGAACAGCAACTTTTCAAGCCTTGCCACAAATTCTCAATCAGAATGAGATCTGGACATTGACTAGAACATTCTAAGACACTCAGGTTAATGTTTCTATACCAATCCCGAGTTACTTTGGCCATGTTACTTTTGCATGGGTTTATTATTCATCCAGGAGACCCCTTAGCCTGATTCATTTGCAAACCAAATCAAGTTTTCCTCTAGAACTGCCATGTATTTGACCCTCTTCATCTTCATAACCAGTTTTTAGTCACTGCTGAGGAAAAGAATCTGCATGACATGCTGTTACAGCATGCTTCCCCATGGGGATGGTGTTCTCAGGACAAGGAGCACCATTGGCTCTGTGTTATATGTAGCATTTTGCAACAAGGCCAAAAAGTACAATTTTTAATCTAATTAGATCAGATAACTATTTCCATATAGTTATTGCATCTCCCACATGTATTTTTGCAAACTCCAAATGGGCTTTGATATGGGCTTGTTTCAGGAATGGCTTTTTTAAAAGCCTAGCTTTATAGAGTGACCAGGACAGTTTATCCCACCTCAGCTGCAGCTCTCTTGAGTTCCTTCAAAGTTACAATTGGTCTCTGGGTTACTTCTCTGACTAATGCATCGCTACCTGAGTTTTGGTAAATAGCCTTCTCTGAGCAGTTGAGTCATATTATTTCCATTTTGCGGTAATAAATTTAACAGTGATTTGAAAGAGGTTCATAGTTTGGAATTATATGTGTGTCTGTGTATGTTTCTCAGCCCTGATTAGTGCTTCTGCACAATTTTATCCAAGAATTTTTCTGTTAGTTCCTTGGTCTTCATGATGCTATTTGTTTGTGCAAAAAACTTCTAGAAACAGGTATATTTAATCAGAGAAAATGTGGTGCTGCAATTTCACACAGGTGGACAGCATTCAACTACAGTAAAACCTTGGATTGCGAGCATAATTCATTCCAGAAACATGCTTGTAATCCAAAACATTTGTATATGAAAGCAAATTTCCCCATAAGGTACAATGTAAATGTTAATCCATTCTGTAACTTTTTTTTTTAATCATAAAAATTTGAATTGGGTGCGCTTGGAAGGGGGGGACGGGCGCAATCGTGGGTGCACTGGAGGGAGGCGGGCGCAATCGTGGACATGCTCAAGGGGGAGATGATGCTGTACTCACACCCACAGTGAGAGAGAGAACTGGCGCTCAGTTGTGACGTGACATTCAGCAGGCAAAGCGCGCGTAATGCTCATACTGCAAGACATGACTCGTTAATCAAGTTAAAATTTAGAAAAATGCTTTGCTCATCTTGCAAAAACTTGCAGACCGTTACTCACAATCCAAGGTTTTACTGTACTTCGACTGAGTTCTGGGTTGCATCAGGTCTTATTTAGGCATATCACAGCAAATGGAGGAAATACTTACACAAATACTTATACAACAAGCAAAGTGCCATTTTTGACTGCTTAAATCTTGTGCCACAATCAAAATATTTTGCACCTTCAGTGTGCTGAATATCTTCTGTAAATCAAATGGTAACAACACCAGTGAAATCCATACTTAGAAAATGGCTGTAACACAGCAAAATGTGGAAAGGTCAAAAGGATGTGTACTTCTGTAAGGTGCTGTAGATAAGAGACCATGTACGCTACTATGTATGCTCAAACATTTAACTCAAGAGTATAGTGTTTGTTTATGGATTATTTTCTGTGGATCTTAGCAGAGTCTATTATGATAGAAAGATGCAGTAGCAATTCCAACTTTGATTGCATACAATTCATATTTCAGTGTGTGCTGTAGTCAACCAGTATTGAAAGGAATTAGTTTGCATTGCAACAGTGGTTGTCTATCCTCCTCCCTTAAATGGTCCTTGTAGAATTAGAATGTTTCAATTGCAATTCTATGCAATTACTTAGAAATATAGCCATTAAATTTGGCAGGTGATAATTTCTATTTAATTACCATTGGGGACAGAAAATGTTTAGAAAATATTGATTTTGTAACTTGAAACCTCTTTTTCCCCTTAACAGAACCCACTTTTGAAGAATTGAAACAGAAGTGATGCGTAATGTGAACATCTAACAGTGGTGTCAGGTTGGATGTGTTCAATAGGCCTGCAGTTGTAACTTAAATAAACAGTTCAGTGATCAAATGTGTGCATTGTGGTTCTAAATTCAGTAGCACATAGAAACAGAATATTTTTCTTACCTGAAAGTGAGTCCCATTGAGCTTTATGGTGCTTACTTCTGAGTACACTTGCATAAGATAGCACTGTCAATTAAATAATACTTTATATAATATTGGAAGTGGTTCCTGTATTTTGGGTGACCCAAATTCATTTCCAAAGTTATTCTGACTACTATGTTATAATTTAACAGTTGGAGTTAGACAGTGAGAAAACACCAATGACAGTCATGTTAAAGACTTTCATTAAGCTTAGCATTGTAATGGTACACATCATAAGAAATTGTACAAAATTTATATTATCTTCTAAGTGTTTTATTTTAAGACTCAGTTTACTAGTACTGGATGCTAAAAAACATTTCCTCTGAAGCAAAATATACAAAGAGTTCTCAAATAATTAGAGACAGTGGCATTTTTTTAAATGTACAGTGGAAGGGTGTGCTACATTTCAACAAACTTAAATTGCATATTTCATTTTGCAATTGACATTACAGTTTGAATATATTGAGGCACTTAAATAAAGGCAAAAAATCCATTAAACAATGTTAAGAAAGTCTATAATACCCAACAGTAATCATGAGTGAAAAGCCCCTAATCCATGGAACTCATTATTCAACAGATTTACACCCTACTTTTCCAGCACTTAGTCCTTCAAGATAGCTTGCAAACATTTACAGGCTCACTTCGACCTGCAGACAACTGACTGCATGGCAGAATCTTCACAAATAAGGACTACTTAGAGTTGTTTTCTTCTTTCATCTAGGGCAGTCTCCCTGGGACTATATAATAATGACCCTATCAGCAGGTTAGGGCTGTCCCTACCACACGTTTATTTCCGGCGGGTGGTTTATTAAAACCACTAGAACTCTGCTTGATCTGAGAAAAAGGCTATGTAATCTGGTACACATGTTTCCTAAGTTACCAATCAGATACCACTGGGGAACCCATGATGGAAATGAGAGTATCAGTCCTTTCTTGCTTTTTTTCTCTGCAACTGGTATTAAGAGGTGTACTGTCTCTAAACTTTGCTGTGGTATATAACTATCATGACTATTAGCTACTGATAGTCTTGTCTTCAAAAAATTTGTCAGATTCCCTTTAAGTCTTGCAGATCTGATAGCTGTTACCTACTTCCTTTTGTCTATCCTGAATCTCCTATAAATCAGCTTAATTGTAAGATCATGGTTTATAGTGTGACAAAACAACATCTTTCCACTATCTGGAAAGCGTGCATAACGCTGTGGAGTTTCATCATGACTTCTGTCACTTTTTTTCTAATGTAAGAATCCCCATGTACTATGGTCCTTTCTTATATGGGAAATGTTCCAGGCCCCTATCATTTAAATGTCTCTTTCTGCACCTTTTCTAACTACATGGCATCCTTTTTGACATGTGGCAACCAAAACTCTTCTATGATAATATTGCCTGTTGGCATATTACCCAGCAAGAAAACACATTTGTGTGTACCTGTTAACATAGTTCTATTAAGAAAAAGCAATGCCAACTAAGTTAAAACAACTTTTGCCAATTTTGTGTCAGCTTTTATCAGTAATATCTTATTTTTCCCATTGACTTCCTGCATTAATATTTACAGAACAGATTTCAAATATCTTTGATGCTCTGCATAGAAAATGGTCATTTGGTGATTCTCTGAGATGGAATTTCTTTTAAATAACAAAGGACTTGGTGTGCTTGAAATCCTAGAGAGAGGAAAATAGACAAAAGAATAGCTGTTAAAATGATCCAATCATTTTAGTAGATGGCCTTGCCCTAATATCATTGAATGCTGAATAATTAAGCCAACAGCACTTAAGACTGCATACTGTTGCATCACAGTATGTTTCCTTTATACCATTTTTTTTTACAAAATGGCCCCCACATACCAAAAAGAAGCTTAAGGGACAGGAAAAATTACAGAAGGCTTATAGTTATCATAGCACAAACTAATGATGCAGTTAATATTTTTACTCCTCAGTAATTATTGAGAGCAACTCCTATTTCTCCTAATTCTTTGGGCTTTCTTTTACAGTTAAGAATTTTAGTCCTGGTTTTACTACTATGGCTGATTGCATCATTGTGATGTTCTAAGCCATATTACAAATTTAACAGACAGTTTACATGATGCTTGGGCTTCATTTTACACTATTTTAGGAACTCCAAGCTGTTTCACATATGAGAAGCAATTACTTAGTCCCTATATATGATCACAGTTGCACATGGAATCATGTAAACTGCCTGTACTTTTGTGGACTTTATAAGTCCACTACCATTTTATAGTAGAATTTTGGATCATCGTTATGGTAAAAAAAGCTACAGGGTGTCTCCATATATAACCTGCTTCACATTTTATGTAAGGGAGAGGTGATCATGGGGGGGGGGGGGGGGGGGCACACGCTCCAGGTTTGGACTACCCTCACACAGTGCTGCAAATGTGAACAAAATTGCTGTCCCTGTATTCTGTCACTGGCTTGCATGTTCAGTTGTTTATATGAGTGGAAAGATGACACGAGTGAAAAAGTGTACATAGGGGAGCATTCAGAATGGATTCCTTATATTCTTTTCCAGCCCTCTAGATCTGAAATGTTACCCTTCATCAAGATATGAACTGGTCCCTTGCAGGAGGGGAAAAAGGCAGGATATATAGCAACATAATTGATTAGGTAGCTCAGCTCATAATGTTGAGCTCATAATGTTGATTAGGTTGCTCAACTTTAGCCACTCTGTACATTATATCTATATCATGATAAACACAGGGCAAAACTGTACAAAAATGAATTATTCCTTCTATTCTGGTATATAAAGCTTACTTTTTTACTTTCTGTAGGTTTGTACTTTGAACTCTTCTTCCTGCTAATGAAACAAAAATTGGAATGTATGTTATATCTAGGCAGTTCTAGGTGAAAATAGAGCTTTGTCTGGTTTCTTAACATTATGATTTCAACCAAATTTGCTCAAAATTAAAAACAAAAATATTTCATTTAGTGGTTGGATAATACTAAAGCCGGTAAATCTGTCTGTGTGTATGAAGATAAAAAGCCATACTTCTTCTAAATTTGGGATGTCGCATTAATTCTGATTCATTGTGGCTATAACAATAGCAACATACCATAAATCCCACACAAATTTAATAGGGTTTATTTATACTTCCTGCTATTTATATTTAAAACATAAATGCATTTATGTAGAAATGTGGGTTTCAAAATATATGCAACATTGTTTTGCTCTCCTCAACACAAAAGCAGTTGTTGATTATATTATTAACAAGCAAAATGTGTGTTCCAGTGCATAGGGGAGCTTAATTCAGACTAATAAAAACTATGAGAGGAGGCATTTGCTTCACACATTTTCAGTGAGGGTGTTACTGGGAAAAATTCTACAGGATCAATTTAATACTTCTAAATATTAGAAGCATTATGTTTCTAATGTTAGCAATAATGATTAGAACCATCTATGTTGCCAGTTGGGTCCAAATTTAGAGATTAATGATAAATGGAAGACACCCTGCTCAATAACTGTTTTCATGAAATCATCAGAATTCAACTTATCAGTAGTGCAAAAGTGGCAGAAAGAAAAAGTTACTACTTACACTGAAGAATTTCTTTCTAGAAAAGAGAAAAAAGAGAAAATAAGGTTTATCAAATGTCATATTGCCTCAGTGCAGAGTTTTTAAATGTTGCCATTAGAAAAGTCTGGAGTAATTTTCAGAAAAAGGTCAATATATTCCTTAATATGAATTATATGGCTAAAAGCTGAAAGAATTCTGAGAAGGGCTTTCCACATATTAGCCCTTTTATCCATGTCCTCTAAGAGGAAACTTGCTTTTACACATTTGTTTGAACCATATGAATGCATTTCTATCCACTATGTATTTGCTCTGTGCATGGTGCACCCAGTGGTCTGGCTTACGCTGTCTGATCCATTGTGGAATTATGAGTAGATATCTACTGGATAAATCACTCCCTTCTAGGCATCACAAACCTAGACTGTGTGCATGAACTATTTTATATACTGTGTGCTAGAGAAACTGCAGCACATAATAAATAAATAAATAAATCCAAATTTCCCAGTAGGACAACCTTCTGCATTAGGATCAATTAAAATGTTAGAATGAGATAGCTTCCTATAAATTCCTTAATAATTGGTGTAGTCTAGAGAAAGTTATGTGTGATTAGAGCTCACAGTCATTGCCAGCCTCTAAGTACAGTATTAAACACTTAATTCTTTAGTTTTAGTGGAACCAAAAGATGCTAGACCTGCTCATAATTGCTCCCAGAAAGGATAATGTTCCTGCCTTACAATTAACAATTCTACCAGACTGCCATCTGGTCCTTTCTTGCTCAGTATTTCTGTAAGAATAAGTCATCCACAAAAGAAAGCAAGAACTGCCCATCTGTTCCACTGAGTCCAAAGTGAACTGTTCTTTTTGGTAATGGAGAGAGAAATTTCTATCTTGGTCCAGTAGAGGGAGCTAGCCAATCAAATTCTTTAAAGATTCCTGCAAATCTGCCCAAACATCACTTATAAAAAATGAACTTGGAAGATATACAAACCAGCTTTATTGATATTCTCCTATATCACTGCTTTCTTTTGTGAGAAGTGAAATGCCATTATTATGTACTACAAAATAATAACGGAGACAATTTGTAACAACTTGCTTCAACTAGCATCTAGTGAGCAGGGCCCACAAAATGTTATTTCATGCATTTATAGCTTCCCATAACTAAAGGACCCCACAGCTTGCAAAATGTGAATTGGCTGTACTGGTATTGTTATGTATGAAATTTTGGGAGCATCAAGTCCCTTCCCTATGTTGCAGTCCAACACTTGCCCCAGTAACTGTAAATTCAGAGGAACTATAATAGTTGGGCAAATGACAGGTTCTTTCCCATGGGAATGTTGCCTTAATTGTAGGTAGGGATATCTTTGCAGGCCTAATAAAAAGTTACATTATTCTCTCTGCCCATAGAATTTCCTAATAAAAATAACCAACTAGCATGAGACCACGCTTTAAGAAATTGTTTTCTAGCAGTAATTCTTAAATTGGCTCCTGGTAATTGAAATTTAAATAGTGTTGGTATGTGAGAAAGCTGCATAAGATTCTACAATCTATAGATAATCATTGGGGAAAAGTCTAGGTAGTCTTCAGACAGTGTTTCCATAGTTTCTAGTTGCTGCAATGTCTTTATCTTAAATTAAGACTTGGGATCATCTAATGTGTGACTTGATTTTTATATGAATTTAAAAAAATACCATTATTTCTCAATGCATGCCAGAATTTTCTTATAACCTGTTCTGCAATTTCTCAAGACTGATTTTTGTCCTTGCTTTCATTGCTCCTTTGCCCAGTCTGTCAGAGATGCAATAATTCTGCTTTAAGATTACCTGGGTTTCTGCTGACCCCACCACACACTACTAAATATTTATTAGTTACAACATTTTGATAAATCCGTAAAAAAAACAAAACTTTACTTACTGGAAAAGTAACCCTTCTTTTGTGCATAATATACTCCAAGACCACAGGAAGCAATGATCAAAGCCACAATGACCACTGCAGCTATGATGGCACTTATATTAAGGTCATCTGAAAGTAAAAACAAAGCAAATAAAATTTTGGGGATTGAAATGACAAGTGAAGTTATTTCACATTGGAGATAGTAGTTAGTGACATACTTGACAAACGGATGTGTTCGATCAATTGTTATTAATATAGTCTTTCTCTCTGTTCTTAACTGTTCAGAGGGACAACCACTGAAAAAAGTGATTAATTCTATTACAAGATTGTAAATTTGAGCACAGTAAAGATTACAAAGCACTCTGAGTATTAGAAATGGTATGAGTATTTTAAAATGTTTGTCGTTATTCCATAGAAATATCAGGGCATGTTGCATAGTTTTTCCAGATACTTTCCAACCAGGCACTGTTCAGATGCTCCCAGACAATTAACTGAACAATAATATCTGACTGCAATCTAGTGTTCTGGGATACACAGGTTAAATGAAAGATAACCTGGATATTGGGAGCCAGTGTGATATAGTGGTTAAGAGCATGGAACTGGGGTGCAGGGGAGGGGGGTTCTAGTCCCCATCTACCTCACAGGGTTGCTGAGAGGAAGAGAATTATGTATGCTGCCTTCAGTTCCTTGATAGGAAAGAAAGTGGGAAATAAATGTAATATATGAGAGAGATAAATCTAGGGACCTAATCCTGTAAGTTGGCTTTAGTTGTTGCATAATTGCAGAATGAATGCTAAAGCTGTATCTACATTCTAAAAACTGTGAGGAAAACATTTTTATCTGCCCTAAAATATGTCTTGAATGTAAGCTGTATCAAGCAATATGGAACAAAAACAGCTTCAGGAAACACCCTATAGTAGAGTAGATGAACTTTGCCTAATGCTTTAAAGGGAGATGGGTACTAGGTACCCATTGTAGAAACACAATTTAGAGTCACTCATCACAAAGACAGTAATTGTTCTGTGAATTTAATTTACATTTTAAATTAATGTAATTAATTTTTAATTCTATATTTTTAATAGAAATATGGGTCATTTTGAAGACTTAAATTGTGAACTGCATTTTTGCTTAGCACTTTATTAAATATCTAAATTGGAAATGGGATTTCAAACTTGCACCACATTGTTGTATTTTATTGTAGACAAATTAAAACAGGGTACGATCCTATGATTGTTATATGCTGTATTGATGGCTGTACGATAGGTTAGAGTCCCACTGCAAATCTTGGAAAGGTATTCTGAAGTGGGAATTGGGACTTAAACTATAAAGTGCTGTCCTTCACCCTTGCACAGTTCTTTCCATACCAGCTGTGGCTCCAGGATGCAAGGAAGGGAAAGGTAGGACTCCACTGGGATATGAGGAATCCAGTGGGGTCTCAGGCCCTCCTTGCAAGCAGAGACAGGAAAAAAATAGCTGAAATGAGCAGACTGTCCTTTGCAGGGCAAAGGCACAAAGCAAGTCCTTGCCTCTCTGCTCAATTGGATGCCCATACTCTGACCTCAGAGCATTATAGGTAGCCACATTGGATGGCACCTGTTTCCCATCGTGTCTTACGGTGAAGACAGTTCCATATGAAAATGCATTGAGTTTATTTTCACTTGACATTTACCAACTTGCATTCGCTTCACAGGACATTTCTGAGGTCGTCCAATTTTATTGTCAGCTTCACAGTAATATTCTCCAGAGTCGTTTTTAGAAACAGACTTGAAGAGCTGGTTAAAAAGAAAAAAGAATTAAGATACACTGTCTGTTTAAAAGGTTGCAAAGAAGTGGTCAAAACAGAAACTAGATTTCCAAAACATTGCCTTGAAATGTTGTTTTGAGTTGCAAGTGTTTTTAGTATATGTCAGATTTCCTGAATACAACATGATTTACCTATCGGGCACCTGATATGAAACAGTGGGATAAATGACTCTGCTTTTTTGATAGATCCCATTTCCTGTTACTCTATTCTTGTGTCAGTCCATTTCCCTGCCCTCATTTTATTGTACGGGTGAAGATCATATCATGATAGTGCTGATATGAACCTGAATGATGAGAGCTGTCTAAACAAACGGCCATCATCTTTGCTTGTTTCTATAAAATGATAAAAACTAGGACTCTGATATTACTTTGAATTTCCTTAGCGTTACCATACTTGACTTTTCTTGTCTCATAAAAAGGATTAAATGTTAGTGTTAGTGAACAAGGGTCAACTTACAAGTGTTCCAGAGGTACTATTCATAATATAAGGAACTCTTCCTTTTTTAATCTTCCCCAACTCTCGGCTCTCCAGCAGAGGAATGCCGTTCCTGTACCATTTGTACTTTGGAGCAGGAACACCTTCATTTTCTTTGCATCGTAGTTCCACTACTGTCCCAGTCATAGCTGAGATGGGCACTTCACAAACGGGAGCAGCTGATGGGACTAGAAAATTATACTAATTTAAAGAATTATCTGTATGTCAAAACCCGCATATTTATTCACAGAATACTCTAATGAAGGCAACTGGATTGAATGGTTTGTGTTTTATATGAGTAAGTACAGTAAGTACCAATGACTTATATATAAATACCATGGAATTTTAATGAAAACAAGTTTTACATAGCTAATAAAATTAGTTCCTAAATTGTTTTATTTATTTATTATAACATTTTTATGCCGCCCCATTCGCTGAAGCCTCGGGGCGGCTTACAACAATAAGTTAGGTCATCATAAGTAAGAATTAAAATATATACATTAAAATAAAATAGAACTATAAAATAAGCCGCCCTGGCCAAATAATATTCAATAATAAAATTCAATAATATTCAGTATTAAAATTCAATAATATTAACAATTAAAATGCTGCTTAAATAAAAAGGTCTTCGCCTGGCGCCGAAAAACAAATAACGACGGCACCAGGCGGACCTTTCTGGGGAGCGCATTCCATAACTTAGGCGCCACCGCTGAGAAAGCTCTCCTCCGAGTAACCACGGAGGGCTCCCGGAGAAGGGCCTCTCCCGCCGATCTCAGGGGGCGGCTGGGCATATATGGATGTAAGCGCTCCTTCAGGTAACCAGGACCCAAGCCGTTTAGGGCTTTATAGGTCATCACCAACACCTTGAATTGGGCCCGGACTTCAATGGGAAGCCAGTGAAGCTGACGGGGAACTGGAGTCATGTGAACATAACGTCCAGTCCCCGTCAGCAGCCTGGCAGCTCTATTTTGAACCAACTGAAGTATCCGGACTGTCTTCAAGGGTAGCCCCACGTAGAGCGTGTTACAGAAGTCAAGACGGGAAGTCACCAGCGCATGTGTCACTGTTGCGAGGCAGTCGTACTCCAGGTAGGGGCGCAGCTGATGAATCAGCCGAAGCTGGAGGAAAGCGCTCCTCGCCACTGCTGTTACCTGAGCTTCCAGTGAAAGCTCCGGGTCAAGGAGCACTTCCAAGCTGCGGACCTTGTCCTTAAGAGGGAGTGCAACCCCGTTCAGGACAAGATTCAATTCACCCTCTCTGAAGCCCAATCCGCCAACCAGCAGGATTTTGTGAACTGAAAACAAAATACTAATCTATTAGAGCTGGGCTCATGCAGACTTGTGTTTTAAATATAACCAATATAAAGTCTTTGACTATTAAAATGAGTAATATCAGCTGTTCCTTACTTTTCTCATTCATTAAAATATTATGGGCACTGCAATCCTACTAAGCAGACAGCAAATCTGCAGGCAGTGGAGCCATGACATCCAAAGTCCTGCTGGATTCACATCAATCGGATGCAAGTGAAGATAAGAGTGGCATTTTCTCCCTTTTCTCTAGTTTTCTCTTTATTTATTTGAAACTAGCAATGCTAGCACTAGGGCTGGTGTAAATATCATTCCATGTTGGAGGTGTGTCCGGTTTGGGATAATTTTGGATCCTGAGGATCAAAGTTTCCTGCTGTCTGCAAATGCCACACACCCTTTTTAACCTCACCTGAGAAGCTCTGACATTTGCAATGTGAGGAGGACAGAAATTTCTGTAGGGACTAAGAGGGGGGAATCAAAACAGTCTTGTAACACATGGGCCACCTTTGCAGTGGCTGTTGGATTTGCAGTCTTTAATTAAGATCATGCCTTATACAATGGAAATAGTCATTTAAGAGCACAGCGGTGCAAGTATATACTATTGAGTTCATAACAGTAATATAAAAGATATATCATGAAATACAAATAACACAATGCTATTGTTTCATCTGTAATCAGAAAGCAAACAAGATTTCAAAAGAAAGATAAGTAGCTATGCTATTGAATTCAGCTTTCATTTCAACTAATTTTGTTTAGATTCTTACCTTGCACTAGAAGTGATATTTCAACTTCTCCTGCTTCTTGTCCATTTTCTGTAGGTGCACTAATTTCACAACGGTATTTCCCAGAATCCTTTCTAGTCACATTCTTAATCTGAATGCTTGCATGTATTAATTCAGCACGATCTTTAAAACTGCCTGCAAAACAGTGGAGAGGCAGATGGATAGACAGAAAAAAATCCTTGAAGGCATATGACAGTTTGCTTTAAAAGTGTGTACAAGAAATGGAGGTAGTGACAGATTTTATTTTCCTGGGCTCCAAGATAACCGCAGATGGGGACTGCAGCCAACAAATTAAAAGACGCTTGCTCCTGGGGAGGAAAGCTATGGCAAATCTAGACAGCATACTAAAAAGGAGAGACATCACCCTGCCAACAAAAGTGCGTATAGTCAAGGCTATGGTTTTCCCAGTTGCAGTGTACGGCTGTGAAAGCTGGACCATAAGGAAGGCTGAGTGCAAAAGGATTGAGGCCTTTAAATTGTGGTGCTGGAGGAGATTCCTGTGAGTCCCTTGGACTGCAAGGCAATCAAACTGGTCAGTCCTAGAGGAGATCAACCCTGACTGCTCTGTAGAAGGCCAGATAGTGAAGATGAAATTCAAATACTTTGGCCACCTAATGAGAAGGAAGGACTCCCTGGAGAAGAGTCTAATGCTGGGAACAATAGATGGCAAAAGAAGAAGGGGACGGCAGAGGATGAGGTGGCCACTGAAGTCATTGAAGCAATCGGCGTGAGCTTAAGTGGACTCCGGGGGATGGTGGAGGACAGACGGCCTGGAGGAATGTTGTCCATGAGGTCGCGATGGGTCGGACACAACTTCGCGACTAACAACAACAAGAATTAGATAAACAAGGTTTACTTTTCTGGAATATAATGCTGCTCTCGCAATCCCCGCAATCCCCCCAAAAGAAGATATTTTCTGCTTCTATTGCCAGTGTCCCCACTGTCCCCTTTTGAAAACCCCACCTGGACAAATCCTTCAAATAGGGCCTGTTTCTGTCAATTGGAGGGATCAAGGAAGGGGGAGGAAGTCTTGATTTAAGTATTACTAACTGTGGTTTCAAACACATGAGCTTAGAGATGTAAGGATTTTGTCAAATCTTATTTGCAGATTGACGAGGATCTTTCATTCTGTTACCCGTTCATAGGCAGAATCTGTTTTACCAGAATATTATTCTATTAGCATTAGTTGACATTTGCAGCAATGAAAATCTCAGGCTACTAATCCTTATGGCTCAGCATGACTTTCTGTAAGAGAAGCATTATGCCTATGTATACCTGCTGCTAGGGAATTTAAGACAGGAGAGTGATACTGCGTTCACATCCCATTTGTAGGATTCCATGGGCAGCTGGTTGGCCAGTGCATGCTGGAGTACATAATGCTGGACTACGTGGACCCATGGTCTGTTCTAGCATGATTCTTGCATTCTTAATATGCCTTTGAAACGAATTGGTCTGCTATAGAATCTTGAAAGTCAGATTCACAGAAATCCAAATACATCTTATTCATGGATTTCTCCTACAGTCCCACATGAGCCCTGCTTATCTTTGTGTGAATCTTCCTGTAAATGGGAACAGGTGAATAAAAGGGGGCATAAGCAAATTCAGACTAGCTCAGGAGCCATTACTACCATTTATTGTACTGGCATTTTTAACAGCTGTCACATTCATGGACAAAGTTGCTAGCACTGCAAGCTCAATCCAGGAAATCAAGGTTGGGACCGCCATTCAGCCATGAAACTCACTGCGCCTTGGGCCAGTTGGTATCTATCAGCCTGGGCATGACTGTGCCTTGAGCATCCAGGGGAAAAGGAATACAAATGTAGCAATAACTCCATGAGCAGCCTGCATACCCTGGTTTTGCTGTGCAATCCTGTACTTCAGATAACTCACATGGTGAAAACAAGTCATCACCAAAATATTAACCTGGGAATAGGCAATATTGAGCCTTGGAGCATCAATATGCTCTTGGACGTCTTCCTTCATCTGCATCAAAGTGCTATGTCCCCCTCCTCGTTTTAAATGACATTGTGACTTATCAAAAGCTGGCATTGCTTCTAAGTGAAGTGGGAGCTTCCAGTCTTATCATTTTCTTTCTCATTAATGTCTCTAGGACACATATACCATTCAGAACACTTCTTGAGAAACTGAGATAGTGTCTGACCATGCTTTCCCCTGCACTGTTTCCAACTGCCACAAAAAATGGAGTGGGGGTTGGGGATAAAGACCCTTGTTGCTGCTCTTTGTTAAGCAGGAACACCAAAAAGCAGTGAGGAGCTGGAGAGATTTAAGGAGGACAGAGGTAACCCAGGAGGATGGTGATGGTGGTGAAGGAGGAATCCAGGAAGAATGTATGCTTATATGTCAGAATGCATGGGGTGACATGCTTAAGAAGAAAAGGAGGCAAAGAAAAAGGGTTTAGGGAAGAATCCTGGAGAAGGGAGATTCTGGGTAAGGGTCTGAAGTTTTTCATGTGCTTGCAGTGAGAAGGAGTGTGTATGTTGCTGGGGGTAACTGACTGACAGAAAGAATGGGAAAGAAAAAGTTTGCCTTCTATGAAATAAGTTCCTGTTGGCACAGAAAACTGTCCTTTACAACTAGCCTCACTGCCTCTCCTCCCTGGAAGCCATTTAATGGTAGTGCAGTGCAGAACAAGTTTCCCAAACTGTTAAATACATGCACAAAATATAAATTTCACATTTTCATACCTTCAAAAGAACGCCGGAAGTAGATGAATGAAACCCCCGCTCCTGTAATCTTTTTCCATTCTATCCTTGCATCACTTTCTTTCTTCGTACTGTATTTACAGCTTAAAAATGCCTCTGTAGAGACAGAAAACAGATCATTGTTTATGCTTCAAATTGGCACAGATTAAGATTATACAATACAAACAGCTGCCAAGCATTCAGAATTGACTTTCATAGAAACATGCTAAAGACCAGTCCTCAGTTATTATTTTGTTCTTGAGTTTGGATGCCAGAGTATAAATACACAAGCTTCTCACCCTGTCTGCAGTGTATAAATGGCCACTATGTGCTGTGTGCCCCTTCATGCTACTTGGGCTCAAGCATTCTTAGTCATTGCTTCCAATTGTCTGAAATACTTTTCAGACTCTGCAGGGTACACAAATATTTTACAGGAGAATGTTCACATCTAAGCACCAAATATTAAACAAAACAGCACCCTGTGCTTACAGATAAATAAAAAACCTGAATATAGAACAAGGAATAAACGATGATCAAACATTACAAGTCCTCCTCTCATTCTCACCAAGATAGTAATTGCTTTTCACTCTCAAAGCCCAGTATTGGCTACTAAAGGAGGGAGGGGTCTGAAGGAGGCATTCTAAGGGAGAACATGGTAGGGACCAGAGGAACGCACATTCTATGGGTGTGTGTCCAATCCATAACTGCAGGAGATAATCTAATTCCTTTCCATATGCTTTCTACTCCATCGTGTGCCTGCATGCTTTGTGCACACAATGTGCACGGTCCGGTAATGGCAAGGGAATTGGCAGAGGAGAAGGAGACCTGCTAGATGCTGGCCATCACACTCATGGAGTGCACTGGCTCTGCATCAATCAAATTTTTGAAATCCACCCCTCTGCAGCTTTCTCCTTTCATGCCTGCATGGTTCCATATGGGAAAACGTTCAAAAGCACAGGCAGAATGCACAGGCACAAGCAACTCCCTTTTTCACCATTATCCTGTTGAGAGTCAAGCACAAAAGCAACTTCATGGCTAGGTGCTGGGCCTGGCCAGACATCATTTTATATTGTTAATGTCTATAAACTGTAGCATAATGCTTTAGACTTGCACCATCTTTTTAACTTAAATATATATGTTGCTGTGGTCACCGTATTTTTGGAAAAAAACAGCAATAATAAAATGCAACGCCAGTTTGCATTTGGCATTTTTCCCTAAGAATATTTTTAAGAGAAATGTCTTTGCAATGCATGATGGAATACTTAAAAATCCTGATCTAAAGTATAAACAATGTTCCTGCGATAAAACATCTGCAGCAAAGTAGTGGAAATGCCTTTGTTTTGGGTGTTCTGAAACACTTTCTTGAACTTTGTATATTAGATAAAGTAGAAAATAGGGTGGCTTTCCTGAAATACAGGCATCAGGCACTTGATTTTTAATGCTTTCAAGAATGGAAGTTACCAATACAGCTGCAGTGTGTAGTTCTCTAGTAAGAAACCTATTTTGACAAAGTTTCTCTTTAAAATTAAGATGACTGAGCAAAAGTAAGTGGGACAATATCTTATTCACCATGCAGGTTAAAGGATAAACTAGCTATTCTGCAATCCGGGTTCTTAGCTAATTTGTTAAAACTCTTGTGCTAGAAGGATGAAGTCAGACAAAATAATTTGAGAATACAAGAGTGGACATTTTACAAACTTTTACATTTGTAAAAAGAGTGAAATAAAACGTGCAAAACTGTAGGTAGCAGAGACAAAAACAGGAAATACTGTTAGGAACACTTTAAGGAATGGCTGGGCTGAACAGTAAAGAAGAAAAATAAATACTCAGTTTTAAGAAGGGTGTGTGAAAGAACTGGAAGCAAAGTTAAAACAATTTAGAAGAAGGAAAGACAGAAATATTGTTGAGAAAATAATGTACAATTAAATCAAGAAAAAGAAAAATTTCTGCCAAGAATGAAATGGTGCAAGTCCAAATGATTGCAATTAATCCAGATGAAACATGAATGATTCATTTTATTTTTTAAAAAATAACATTTTGTCTATTTTCCCATAAGCACTTGTTCCATGTTTGTGTGTGAGTGTGCACGTGCACGCACACACACACATATTGGAAAAAAAACTTTCTATTTGCATATTTTTTAAAAAACAACTGATTGCAACAAAGTTAGTATATATGAAGTGTGTATGTGCATATCAGCAGCCACCAGGCACAGTTCAGAATAACAAACTGAAAATTTGGTTTCAGTTTGACAAAGCTGGCACCCTGTACCAGTTCCTGTTTTGCTCTGCCATTGACTGAGCAAGGGAAAATATGTGGAAGAACATAACAGCATCAATTATGCCTAGTGTCTCTTCCTCGTACAAAGATACCAACAGAAAACATGCACACAAGCCACATGGGAAGAAAATGAAAAGAAAATGCAGGAGAGAGAAAGTATTTGTCCACAAAATAATGGTAGAAACAGATGCCAAGTTGCTGGCTATCATCCCAAATTGCATGGCTGAGCAAAGCTCTGTGCAGGTTAACGCAGCCCATTTTCTTAAGCATGTTCAATGTGAGCCAGAGATTACAGAGAGACTTCCTGACACTGAAGAAATGAAGTCGCCTGTCCATGTTCTTTGGTTTACACCAATTGATAATGTAAGTTTTAACTACCAAATGGATTATTTTGCTGTTACAGGTTCTTTATGCTTGTCCTTTCAGATATATCAAAGGCACTTGGTGAGTCTGTCTCCAGGTCATGGCTCAGTGACATGGCTTTAGTGGTGATTTCCCCTGAGATCATGTTCTGGCCTTGTTTAGTGCCTGGTGGACCACGAGTCACTGGGTGGCTGCACTCACTGTCTCCTAGGAAGCCCACCAGGAACAACATGGAGAACCCCAAGCTGTCCCCGGTCCCATTGTATCAAATAGAGATACTCTAGGTGGAACCCATTTGACCTTTCTCAATCAGAAAGAACACCTATAAAAACTTTGTCACTGGAACCCATGGTCAAAGTTGTCCTCCTCCTCCCTTTCAGTCCCCTTTTCCTTTGTGTCGTGGCTTGAAGATGATAAATACTGAAGGCAGGTAGCGATGGTGTTGTTACTGATTTTTGTAAGCTGCTCTGAAAGACGATTTCAACTGAAGAGCTGGGTAAAAAATGTTTTAAATCTATAATAATCAGAGAATATGTGTCTTTCTCATTGTCCATCTATCAGTATCATAATAATACAACTGTGAAACCTGGACACCTGAAATGTAGCGTGCATACTAAAGGGACCCTAAAGGTGTGCATTCCAGGCTTGTTTTTAAAACCTGTACATTTTCATTAATTTAAAGGGGTCCAGGTGGTTGAAGCCTGAAGAACACCTTCCAGCTTCCTAAATCAGCACATAACTTTAAACTCCAGAAGGCCAGGGAAGTTTATTCGGCCCAGGGGATAAGCTGTCAAAAAGAAGGGAAGTATTGCAAGGTATTTTAAAAATTGGTAAGCTACTGTAAAAGCAGATCAATAATTAAAAACATGGAAAAATACACTTTCCATTTGCATTTTTAAAAAATGTATTAACCAATTGCAACAAAATTAGTATATCTGAAGTGTGTATGTGCATCTCAGCAGTTAATAATAAATAAAATATGTAATAAAAATTAAATTTAAAGAAATTAAATTAATAAAAAGGAATTTCTAAAGCTCTGTCCTTGGGGGTAGCAGGTATGCTTGCGTTTCAGGATCCATTTCCCCAGATCATAAATATTTATGCCTATGTACGTTACCTATGAACAAAAGAGACAGCAAACAGAAACAGATTCCAATAAGACAGTGCAGACTGAATCTAAATATCACAGGAAACTAAACTGCCAGCGCTTAATAGAAGAAAGCACACAAGGATTGGCAACTCAGTCCACCTACAGTGGGTCCTACACTTTGTGATGTGAACTAATTGATATCAAAATCCAGAGGAAGCACAAAGCTCTGCATCACTTGGGAAAAGAGGAGAAACAGAAATGTTGAGGAAGGAGGGTTCAGAAAATTTCAAATTCTGGTGCAGGAGGGCGAGACAAAGGACCAAATAGCCATCCTCCATTCCTCCAGCCTCACCCCACACAAGCACACTGATTAATTTATTTCTATTACAGCATTTGGAATGTGGCTATTTTCTGTACTTTGGGAGAATCTCAGCAAGCAGCAATGGCATGGCTTGTGTGTTCAAACCAACTACATACAATAGGGGAGATGTGGCTGATGTTAAGCACTATGCAATCCTCATGCTTTCAGTTGGTGGGGTTAAGCATCTGCTTAAGTTTCTCTTGTTAAGCTCAGTGGGACAGAAGAAGTGCTTATGTTTTCCTGGTTCATATCAGGCAGGAACAAGTAAAAACTTAAAATGGGTATACAACTGAGCAACTACAGGATTTTGTTTCCCTCAAGTCAGTCTTTTGCACCCCTGAGCAATGTTGTCTGATAGATTTTTTTCTTCTTAACACCTAAATGTTTATGTAAATGCTCATACACATACTGTACCCTCAAATTCTCTTGCTTTAACATGACTGTTGTCTGTCTTAACGGTGATTCCATATGCTTTATAGTCTGCAAAAGAAAAGAAGAAATGTTTTACAATACAATGCCTTTCACTGAAAAGATTTGGAATAAAAACCTTGCCTGCAAGCTGCTTGGAGACATCTTTGCAATCAACAGGATTTAACCAAACTATGTTAAATCCAAGTCTTTGTGGAGTTTTAAAATACATGTCCAAATTTAATTCACTCGATTTATTTTTATCTAAAAGTGTAACCATTTTGTATTGCCCAGGTATAGATCAAAATTACATATAGTTTTGGGCTACAAATTATGTTATCTTAATGAAGTAGCTTTGTTATCTTTCGGGTCCAGTAAGATTCACCTTGGCAAAAATATCTAAGCCCTCTTTCCCCAACTGAAAGCAACTGAGGTATGCCATTAAGAGGTCTCCCCTTCTCTCCAAGACACTTAAGCAATAACACTTAGGAGAAAACACGTGCCTACACAAACTCTGTATGGTCTGGAAGTTAAATTTCCACTGTTCTCAATTTTTAAACATCAATCACCCAAGTCAAGGAGACAACGGTGGTTATAATTTTCATGTTATGTCTATAACTCAACAGTGAATCAAATTGTACAGCCAAGTTTTGGAATTAATCATCATGATCTCTAAGTTTCAGAAAGAAGATGGAATATTATTTGTCAAGAAATCTTTCCATTTCAGGGGGCTGCACTTCATATCCCATCCATAAATATTAGTATGAGATTTCCAAGTCATACTTAGGAATGTTGTAATTCCACATAGAGTATTAATACAGTCACAATAGCAAACTCAAGTACTGAGAGTTAACAGGGTTGCAGTCAAGGACACTGAGAAATGGGAAGAAGGTACACATGTTCAAAATTTTCTCAATTAAAAATGGTGATGGTGATGGGAAAACCCAGAAGGAGCAACTCTCTCATCCCTTGTCCCAAATAGGCCAGTGACGACCAGGGACAGTGGGTGAACTGAATGTGTGTTTGGTATGGTGCGGATGGGATGCTGAAACTAGAGAGGGACAGCAGGCGCGGGCATGGCTGGCAGCCTGGCACTGTGCCTAGGAGCACTTCGCAGTGTCACACTGGGCAAGTTTTCCCAACTTCACAGCCCATTCTTGCAATAAGCCATGGTAGGATGGTTGCTATGTGAGCAAGCCTAATATTAATGCCTCTGTATATCCCTGTCAATAAATCATGAATCTCATCCAAAACCCCTTTTAAAAGGAACTAACTGTCAAAGCAACAATTCCTTTTAAAAGGTGGTGACTCACACTTTCCCACAGTCTTGGGAACAAATGAAAAAGTGGAGCAGCTTTAGGATGGTGATGTCTGAAAAAGGAGGAAAGGGGGAAAGAGCATATTTTCATGAAGGGAGTACAAATCCCGCCCACACCGTTTTTGAAAGCACAGAACACGTGTACCTTTGGTTTAGCTTGATAGCTCGCCTTTTGACAGCTGTCAGACCAAGTGAAATGTGAGAGAATGGCCATGTGGGATCTCTGTCAGTTGATCCATACTTGGCTGCAAATAACTCTCTAGATGCTGCCCGGGCTAACCATTATCAGACCTCATTGTGTGCCAAACAGGAGGACTAGCTTAGTAACTCATCAAGAGTATCTGGATTAATATAAATGGAGCAACATATAAAAGGAACATGGTCTATTACTGACCATCCAGTCAAGGAGAAGACAAGGATGAAACTTTTGAAAAGTGAATTGCAAATGTTTCAAGGAAGCATGATGGGGGACTTCAATTTCCCCCATATCTGTGGGGAGACAAATTCTGCCAGACATGGCTTTTCCGAGAAATTCTTAACGCAAGTTGCTGATAATTTGTCCTGGAGTTGTCAGGAAAGTGGAGGAAGAAACTAGAGGAACAGCCATCCTTGAGTTGCAGATGCAAGCAGACAGCACAGAATTGCAGAAATGACATCAGGAATACTAAAGCTAGGAATGAACAGAGGTTAGCAATGGATGCTAAATCAACAAAGAAATGTCCTTCAGATACATCCATAGCAAAGGACAGAGGAAAGAAATGGTGGATGGCAAAATGATAACAGATGACAAAGAAAAGGCAGAAGTGCTTAATTCCTGCTTTGGCTCAATCTTCTCCCAAAAGAGGAAACAAGAGGAAGAACATGCTGAAGGAACAGGATGGCAATTTGAGACTGATAGCCAAATGGTCAAGGATCATCTGATATGATTGAATGAGTTCAAACCTCCCGGGCCCATGGCTCCATCCTAGAGTCATAAAGGAACTGGCAGAACTCTCAGAACCATGGGCTCTTATCTCTGAGAAATCATGTTGGACAGAGAAAGGACTGGAGAGGTTTTACAGGTGCTTTACAGGATGTTTTTGTCCACCAGGGCTTCTCCAGTACTTTGCAACCATTTCTGTGGGGAGGTTTTATTATTTATTTATTTATTTATTTATTTAAACATTTTTATGCATTTTAGAGTGAGGAAAGTCTGGTATGATTTGTAAATCATGCTATGAAAGACTTGTGTGTTTTTACAATTTTGCTGTACCACAGGACCCCCTTGTGGTTGTGTAAAGGAATGTACAGAAAGGGTTCCCCTTTTCTAAAAGCACTAATCTTAACTCCACCAAGAATCTGGAAGCAGAAGTTTCAATAAAAGCCTTAAAAGCCTCATGTAGATAAAGCACTCAGAGTGACAGAACACAATTTGTTTTAAGGATTCCCAAGAAATATCCTATCCCTTCCAATGCACCTTACTGAGTGAACAAGGTCAACAGTTTATTTTTGTTTATTTTCAGTTTATTATTTATTTTAGGTTTACTTTTGTTAAGTGTAGCAGGGCAAAAAATGCCAACACTCAGTTTTGAAAGTAGTTGGAGAATCATGCGGCCAGTCCAGTTTCCTTGGTAATGAATAGAGAAATGGGGGTCGAGTGTTTAAAACAACTTAGTACCTCATGAAGAATAGCCTTCAACTGCTAGTGTCAGAGATGTGCAGAGTTTGCTTCCATAGCAACAAAGTTATCTGAAAGGTTGCCAATTTATAAAGCCCAGAAATGCAAATGCTGTCGTTTCAATGACTGCTAATCTGATGCTTGTAAATTCTGTGGCTTTTATTTTTAAATACTGTATGAGCCTCTTAAGAAATCTTATGGGACTAGCATAGCCCAACAATAGCAGACTAAGGGTTTAACCTAAGAGCTGCTTGAGCTTGCTCAACAGGACTTTTTTAAAAGGAGTTTTATTGCACACATTTGCACATCTTGTTAGTTGTGTACAAGAAATACTTTTATGTAGATGCAGCTGCTTAGGGAGGAGAATGGCAGCTGCCAACCCTCTCCTTTACACAAGTATTAAAGAGCCCTTTTCTGCTTTGTCTTTGGTCATGCTGGTACCCCCCTTGCATCTGTGTATAGACCAGCTGAGGGTGCACTTTTGTCCCATCAAAAAGTGAGGCGCTCAACACACAATGCACACAACTCCACAGGAGCACATGGAGGGACTGCATACTGGGTGACCTAGCATGTACTGTGTCTCGAAAGTAGCAGCAGCCCTGCAAAACAGCCCTGTCCTTGGCAGCAATGGGAGTAATCTCTCATTATGGATAACAGCTGGGTGCACACGCATCCCCTAGCCGCGGTCCCTGCATGGCTTAGCTCCCCCATGCTCCAAGCTGATTACTTATTTTGTGTGGCAGACATCATGTCTACTTTGGCTTTAAGAGACTTCTGCTGTCCTGCTACCTTCAAGCCAAAACAAAAACAAAAACTAGAGATACAGGGCATACTTGAACTTGGCAGCTGGACTTGGATCTTGACATTTCACGTTACAACGCCACAGGAGTGACACTGTTCAATCTCACTGATTGTTCTTTTGTAGGCAAAACGAAAATAGGTTTCTAAGATAAAGCCAACTGGCTAATTTTGCAGTAAATGAGCTCTTTGATTCAGACATACTGCCCTTTCCAATCTTTTAAACATGCCACACCTATTTATATATATAAACAGCACATGGTGGATGCAGATTACAAAGGAAAACAAGATAAACAGGAAAACAGGCAAGGACTGTATTTGTAGCTTTAAATTTATCAGTTAATAGCACTACTTTTAAGGGGGATTAACAGCAATTTTTCACTTCCTTTCCTTTGAACAAAAAGAAGAGCCCAACTCTGTTCAAACTGAACTTTTAAGGACAACTTCGTTACCATGCAGCTCTTTGCCTCAGGTCTTACAAAGGCAGTAAAGTGGAAAAACCATTCATGAATATAGCATACTGACCCAGGATGTTACAAAACAAAAGGCAACTAAGCTTGGCTTTGTCAGCCAGCATTTGGGCTTAGGAAGCAGCAGCAATGCATCACCTCTGCTAGTCAGCAATTAGAGAAAACCAAATGTGGAGAACTTTCAGAAACCTCCTTCCAACTCTAGAAGGTTAGTACTTTTAAAAGAGGCTTGAAACAAAGCAAGGAAAAGCTGCGATACCGTAAAAGCTGGCAAGGCCTCCGGAAAGCCCTACAAATAGTTGTTCGTCATTTATGTAGTATTTCAGGGTACAGCATTTGGCAACTGGCTCTCACAAATGGAAAATTGAGGTGGAGAGTTAATGAATTGCCCAAGACAACACAATAGCTGAAACTCTCCGCCCAGTGGACCACAATGACAACTACTGGCTTGACCTTGCTTTAAATACATAAAACATTATGTTGCCCATTATGTTTGTAGTATTTAAAAATATACCAACTTGCCAGTTGTAACAGTAGCTGCATTCTGCATTCTCCTATTGCCAGTCAACAGATATTACAGTGCATTTATATCTTCCCTCTTATGGCAAGGAAGCTGAAGCAGATTACATAGCTCCATTTCATCAACCACAACATCCCAGTGCGATAGGCTGGACTGAGAGTCCGTGACTGAATCAAGTCACTCAGTGAGCATCCTGACTGAGTGGGGATTAGAACCTGGATCTCCCAGGTCCCCAGTCTAGCACTCTTGACAGCTCTTCTTTGGGTAAGAAGCAGCAGCACTGGAAAAATACACAAGGGTTACAATCCA